CAACGAACGGCTACGTTCCACAACCACCTAGACTGTAAGACTCAGCGTTCGGCCTGAGTTTTGTGGCTCTATACTCTAACACTGCGTCTCACGAACAGATAGACTTTGTCATTCAGTTGTTACAAGATCCTCGACTACAACTTTCATATTTCAATACACTAGCGACTCCTACAGCGCCCTCTAGAATCACCTTCTCACACCCCAGGCTCCGGGATCAGCCACCTGCTCCCGGCTGAGCATCCCGGCATCGACATACGCGCTGCGCCCAGCCTTCGCCTCGACGTCCTTCGTGTGCGCGGCGGCTTCCGCAGCCGCCTTCACTGCGCCGGAAAAAGCCGTCCGGGAACGCGTTGACGAACGCAGCGAGCGGGTCGACCAAGGTACGAGACGGCGGCCGTGCGCGGGTGTACGTGTAGAGCTTGGCAAGCGCGCTGGCCAGTGCTCGTTCCCACATTTCGGGAGCCGAGTTCTGGGCGTGAGTCTGGATTCCCTGGGCGAGGGCGGAGAGGTAGATCCTGGGAGAGCTTAGCGGTGAGACAGTCGACGACGCGTGGGGACTGCTCACGAGTAGATGGCCCCACTGGTTCCCCCCATCCGAGTCTCCGCGACCTTCGAGATCGCGACGACGTCGGAGACCAGATCCGATCCAGCGATGTTCCCGGCCTCGATCTCCCTCAACACGGCCTGGCCCCCGCCTTCAAAGTCAGGCCGCAATCGCCGTCACCCGCGATCGTGTCCATGCGGGTGATTTCCGGCTCGGAAGCAATGAGCGCATTGCACGCCTTCGTAAGTGATGTGACGAGATTCGGGACGGACACGGGGTTAGCGCTAGAAGCCTTGTTGACGGCAGAGACTGCAGAAGGCGCGAGAGGCGTTGGAGTGATTGGAGCCGTGCCTGAGGACCACTTCCAGCCGGGGGTCTTCGCAGGCGCATCGAGCAGCATGAGTAGTTTATCGACTTTCGGGGCGTCCGACTCGTCCGCTCGAGGCAGCAAAACAAGTGAAATGAAGAAGCCTGGCATGTTGAGACTCGTCTGGGGAGAAGGATTAGTTCAGGATCCAGAGATACACCGTGCATGTTCACCATGAAAGTGCCGGAGATGACTCTGCGGACGACGATCTGCCTCTTCTGCAGCTCCTCGTAAGCAGCGCGCGGACGACCCCACCCAGCTCGAGCTCGCTCATCCCACCAAGATTGTTCACCAGCAACACCACCTCGTCCTTTCCGTCGTTCTGAAATGGCAGGTACGCCCGCTCTGGATCTGTCGTGAGAGTGATTAGGTCGAGCAGAGTCACCATGAGCTCTGAGAGCGGTGGGATGCACGAGAGACGCTGGTTGCCCGGCTCGTTGTGGATCCCCAGGCCGATCTCAATTTCGCTTGTACCGAGGGAATGGGAGGGTGACGCGGTGCCCGGGACCTGTTGAAGCTTGTTAGGGCACAATAGAATGAGCGGTAGCAGGAGGGTCGCAATACATGGCAATGTTCCAGCCCGACCCCGATCGTTCCGACGACCCGAGACCCATTGCGCGACGGCAGCACCTCGTCGAGCGTCGCGCCCTCCGCCGCCAGGGCCCAGCTATCTTATACACCAGCACGACGCCCGCAAGGCCACGGCGGCCGACGAGCCCACCCTGTGTTCTGCCTACGGCCACATCGTCGCCGACTACGATAAACTTGACGCGATCCGACTTGTCTGCGTGCTCCGCGGCGTACTGTTCCGCCGCGAGCCCGAAGTTGAGAACGTCGCCGGTGTAGTTCCTAGCGATGACGATTGGCTGGATGCAATCTTGCACGCTACTGGAGGATGGGAATCACTGCTCACTTGACCAGAATCAAGGTTCTTCGAACGAATGAGAACGCCAAGTGCCCCAAGATGTGTTGATCGAGAACTTACCCCGCGTCGTTCTCGACCAGATCCATCCCGCGCCGCACTTGCGCCGCGTTGGAGGGGGGAAGCGAACACGTGGCCGCAGACCGCGGCGCTGAGCATCCCTCGCCTGGTCCGCATCGTGAGCTGCTGCGTCGAGACAGCGTCTCTAGGGTATCGCGAACCGACGAATCCAGCATGCGAAGGCTCATGGCCGGAGCCGCCGCCGCAGATGAGCGCGACTTTGGAGCGGTCACCGGTGGGAGTTGTAGACGACTGCCGCCGTCGCGTGTGAGACTGCGGGCCACCTCAAAACGAGGATCGCTCCGCTCACCTTTGCTCGGTGGGTCGAGGACGAGTTGGTTGTTGACTGCGCACAGGCCAGCCAAGGAATCGATGACAAGAGATTCAGGGTCGTTCAGGAGATGCTTCTGGAGCGCCATCATGATTGTCGACCAAAGGGAAAGAGCAGAATGGTGCGGAGATACGATGATCACGGTTTGCTCGAACTTTGGCGCCTGGAACTCCGGCTTAGGGGACGGTTTCCAGCACGTGACACACGTGACGCACTCACTCTGTCACGCTAAGCGCGACCAGCACCCACCCACCCGCTGGTCACACATTCGCACACTGATTCAGTGGAAAAATAATCTCATTACAATTTCATAATCTTCGTACTGTGCTCATGCGGCTACTTTTTCTGTGCTCGTAGCGGCGCTTGGCTGCATACTCCTCGAGCGCACTGGCTCGCTCGCCCAGCCCGCAACGTACGCGGCGACCTCGAGCGCGAAGAGCACCCAGAACGCGATCGTGATTCCGCGGGGCACGAGCGTCCCGGCGTCAGCGACGCGGTTCCACTCGTCCATCCCCGTCTTCATCCCCGCGTAGAGCAGCGCGGTCATCGCGATCCCGCAGAAGACGTGGACATGGCGCAGCGCGTGCTTCTGCACCGTGATGGTCGGGAACGCGCTGCCCGGCTTGCTGTACCCCGCCGAGTGCGTGTAGTGCGCGACGACGCCGAGGATGAACTGCAGCAGGAACAGGATGAAGATGGACAGGCCGATGTCGTGGTGCGGGTCCTTGCGCGACCCGACGAACTGGTTCGGGTGCGCGCCGCTGTCGACTGCGGCGGTGCCGACGATGAACACGATGATGACGCATACGGCCGTGAGCGTCTGGAGTACGAGGTGCCCTTTGAACCACCATTGGCGGTCGCGGAAGAAGCGGCCGATGAGGACCGCTGCGGGCGCGGTGAACAACACCGCGATGGAAGCGAATACAGCTGAGCAGGTCGATCAGCCGGAGGCCGGAGCTCTATGGAAGCCATGCGCACCGTGAGCGATGATCATCTGGTCATGGTAGGTAAACATGTTCGTGGTCGTTGGCAGCTGAAGGGCGGGGGGAAGGGCAGAGAGGGAAAACCTGCTTCAAGCGCTGAATCCGGGAACCCCACTTATATTACTGTACGAAACCATCCGGCTTCTGTCGGTGGGATAGAACTGCCATTAGGATACTTCCGGGCCCGTTTCGCGATACTTATTCCCGGTAAGTACACTGACAGGCGGTGTGTCGGGAATGCAACTAAGCACAAGTAGCACAGGGAAGTAATTCGCTCTCCCAGATGAATCGACACGGATCTAACGACGATGCCATGCCACTCAGCCAAGCTTTATGGGCGCTCGAGCTCACAACGGCTTGCAAACACTGTCGCCCGGCGACAAATTCATAGACGAGGAAAATTTTGTCGCTGTCAGTCAGATGTGCTTATCAGATTTCGGCTATCGGTTTATCTGATAGTCGGTGACATGAGGTCGAAGAAAGGGCGAGACCGCCGCATCTGGTCCCACGTTGTCGTTGGAGCCTGCAGTCCGCCAAAAACCTCCGAGAACGGTATTGCAATTTGCCTAGTCCACGCCCGACAGATATATAACCCGGCGCGCCTTTTACACTACCTGAGTAGTGGAAAAGGAGAATCCACGGGGGTCAAGTGGACATTAGGTTGCCATGCAATCAGTTTACCAAAGTCCCGCATAATGGCCGTTCGATAGTAATCTCATCTCCGTTTATCAGATATTGCGCCGTAAGCTTCTTCTATCAGATTAGATGAGATTCTCCATGTGCTCGCCTATCGGACACGTGTGTTCGGGTGATGATTATATCCTTTGATCCGATATAGATAGTGCGCAGTCCGGACATCACCGACACCTCACTGTTCTATTTGTGACGATCCTCACTGTAGGTCTCGGTTCAGCCCTCATTGGAAGTCTTCCTTGATCAGAACGACATGGGACGACTCGATGCGATTCCGAAATACCTTCCGACTACTGGGTTCACCGCATGACATGATTGGACAACATACGATGGGATTCGTCCTGTTGTTTGGTGGACATACCTCATCAGTGACTTGCAACTCTCGTCAGTGGAATCGACAGCGCAGTTGCGCCAGATGTATCCGGAGCCTCTCTTACCCCGCCTGATAGGGGTTCCGACCGGCGCGACTGCGATTAAATCACACGATCTCCCTGTGTCAATCATGCAATCGTCATTGTCTACACCAACGACACTCGAAAACCTGCTCGAGTATCTACTGCTCGCACTGACGACTAATGGCGCATGTTTAACACGCCCGCTCTCATGAATTCAAGAGCTATCAACTCCGTGGGTTCTTCTCGGATGTAGCTTTGTAGCTGCCAGACGTCTGCCTCTCCATGTTGATTTAGGGTCTCCGAACTGTGGCGCTCCGGGCGTCTCACTCGCTCGGCTCCACTCCCACTCACGGTCTCTGAAAACAGAAACCCTTAGCACTGCGCCATCCGTAACGAGTTCGATCATGATGTAATATCTGGAACTGAACAGATTAGCAGTCTGCTCCGAAGAACACACGCCCCTTACTCGGGAAAGCCGTTGAATCTGTCGGGGTGGATATTAAACCCAAAGGTCGCTGGACGTCTGTGACGCTGTCCTGTCATATATATATCAAGACTAGCTGGCAATCAAGTTCCGTGTCCCTCACTCCCTCGTCGAGCCATGGAGTCTCCGAACGATTCTCCGATAACCTCTCTCTCCGAGTATGCCACGTTCCCTCAACGCAGCTCTCCCAGCCCGATGGACCCCGACAAGAGGGAGGAATCGGATCGATTCAATCTCGAGCGCACTGTACCACCGACGCACAGACATCGCACTCTCGTCCTCGCGTTCGATGGGACAGGGGACTGTTTCGACGACGATGTAAGCTTCTCGGCTACGCACGGATTCATTTCAAGGTTATTCTCTCAAATGTGAGCCTAACCTTACCTCCCAGAACTCGAACGTGGTGAACTTCTTCTCGATGCTCAAGAAGGACGACTGCGAACACCAGCTGGTCTACTACCAGGCAAGTCGTCCGCTCAGCATCGTGTCCGAACCACGGGTGTCTGAGGTCGCTCGCAGGCGGGGATCGGGACGTATTCTGTCCCGGAATCGCCCACCCGTTCATGGCGAAGCTCCACCGCACCATCGACGCCATGCTCGGCCTACATCTGAACGCACACGTCATGGGCGGATACGAGTTCCTGATGCAGAACTGTGCGTACAGAGCAGGGGCGGAGGCTGGCCTTACCTGACAATGGCGTTGCTAGATCAGGCGGGTGACAAGATCTGCCTATTCGGCTTCTCCCGTGGCGCCTATGTGAGTTCGTGCGAGCTGTCTGTGGACACTTTCTGACGGGTGCAGACCGCGCGGGCATTGGCGGGAATGTCGGTGTCCCACGCTCGATCCGCGATGCTGCAAATTCTGAAGAGACATACGATTCCAGGATCCACAAGGTCGGCCTATTGCCCAAATGTAACCACCAACAAGTAGCCTTTGCGTACAAGATGTACTCGCGGGAGGACGAAGTGGGCTGGCGCCAGGTGAGTCTCGAGAGTGCTCGATGTGAATACATGCGCAGATCCTCGGTCCAGAGCACAGCGTTCAAACGCGCGTTCAGCATCGACGTCGAAATTGAGTTCCTCGGGGTCTGGTGTGTGCTATTCGTGTCGTCCTCTCCGTTCTTATCTACTGATTCTTACTCGCATCCGGCAGGGACACCGTAAGCTCAGTGGGCTTCGTCCCGCGCCGCTTGCCATTTACGAGGAACAACACGAACGTGCGGTACTTCCGACACGCGATCGCACTGGACGAGCACCGGGCTCGGTTCCAGCCCAACTTCTGGCACCGCCCGTCGCCCGATGACCTGCTCCTCGGCGTCCAGAAGGGAGAGATGCCGCGCTCTCGGCACACGCAGAAGGTCCGCGGCAAATCGCTCGACGATCTGGAGCGACAGTACTCGAGTGAGAAGATTTCAATTCAACACGGCGCCCAGATTGAGCTGAGTCTGACGGACCCCTCACAGTCGCAGCGGAATTCGAGACGGACATCCAGGAAGTGTGGTTCGCGGGTTGTCACGCCGGTGCGCCTCGGTTCCCACCGGCTGTGTACTGACCTGGATGCCGCACGCAGATGTCGGCGGCGGTGCGCTCCCGAACAACGCTCGCAACAGTCTTGCCCGGATATCACTCCGGTGGATGATCCGCCAGTGCTTCGTGGTGCGCACGGGGATCATGTTCCATGCAGAGATGCTCCGCATGGCCGGCATCGACCCGGATCGGCTGTATCCGCACGTCCTGCCCCGCCCTCCTCCGATTATGCCGGACCCAGACGACGAGCGCATGCAAGGCAGCACGGAGATTAAGGGGAAGGTCATCGCTGACCGGGACTTCGTGAGCGAGGAAGAGGAGGATCTGGCGGATGCCATGACGGCGCTCAACGACGAGCTCTTGCGGCGGAGGATCTGGTGGTTCCTCGAATGGTTCCCGCAGAAGCTCAGATTTCAGGAGAAGAACGATACGTGGACCAAGGCGATGATGTGAGTAGTCAAACTAGGCGCTTGCAAATGCCCCTTTCCCCGATTTGGGTGGATGCGATGATGGTCTTCCAGAATACATCGCGGCCGGGGACGCCATGTCCCCCGTCAGACCACGCACGGAGTGCATATCCACCGGACCGTCAAGATGCGGATGGACGCGCTGGGATACAACCCGAGAGCGAACATCAAGGCAACCACAGATCCTATCTGGGTGGACTGAAATCATGGCCTGTGGATCAATGTATGAGTTGGAGGAAAAATTGTGGATGGAAATATTTATTTGAGGATTGCCGGAGCTCAAAGTGGTTGGATGTTAATAGGAAAATCGTGCGCCCACGATAAGTTGAACAACGATCACGTGCTGCTCCCGGTCAATCCACCGACAAACACTTGCAAATACTCATTGTTCTCCCCACAATGCGCGCTCACTGCCCGCAGCCATTGTCCGATACATAATGGTGATACCCGTATAAGAACCACAGGCGAGTCTGTGGGACACCAAGACTCTCGGTCTCTTACCTCCTGCGCTTCTGCACCGCTCTTCCGTTTCGCTTGTTTCGACGTTTCTACCTGCTCGACCTTCACATTCCCATTCCCATTCTACGTCTACGACCTTCACGCTTGACACGCTAGACTTTGCATTCATCGCCGGACGATACCTCACACAGATCCAATTGTCACGACCATGTCTTCATCCTCGAACGTCTCCGCCGTCGCGCACGTCGTGGCCTACCTCACGAACCCCCTCCGCTCTATGCAGACCATCCCGCACACCAGCATCACATCCGCGCAGGTCATCCTGACCGCGTCCCTCTCCGGCACGCGCGCACCGTGCACCACTCTCACTCTGACGCTCGCGACGCCCCCGCCGGCGGTGTTCGCGGCATCGATTGGGTCGAACATCCCATGGGCCGTGTGGTTCGCCGCGCTCGGTGGGCAGACGGACGAGACGATTTCTGTCGTGTTCGGGCCGCGGTTCGTCAAGGCGCGGGTTGGGAACGGCGCAGTCGTCGATGTGTGGAGGTGGAGCCTTTCGAATGGTGGGAGTGTTCAGCCACAGCAGCCGCAGAAGAAAGCAGCCAAGGTGCAGGATGCTGCTGCTGCCGACGACGAACAGCCGACTCTTTTGCGGCTCCGAGCGACGTTGTTCGCCGCGCGCATGCGGACCATGCGCCGTCAGCCTCTAAACGATGACGCCGCCAGCAGCAACAGCAGCAGCTCGGATTCTGAAAGTGACTTTTCCGACTCTGAAAGTGATACCGCTTCATCCGTGACCTCGTACCGACTTTCCTCTCCCGTCCAAAAGTCTGCACCTGCGACAGTCAGGCCCACTTTCACTCGTCGTCTGCCCGCTTCCTCGGCTGCTGTGCAGCAGCGCCCGGCCAAACCGACCCCCAAGGTCTCTTACCTGTACCAGGGGGGTGTCACCCGTGTCATGACCGGCGGTGTCATGCTCGGTGGTGCCCGCTCCTGAAGATCTCAACGACCAACGACTTGAGCCTTTCTCCCGTCTCTTATATGATGTATCCCCCAGTTCCAGTCCGTTCCTCTTCCTGTAGCTCGAACCTTTCAGCTTAGAAACCTGTACTTTGTAGTCTCCCTCGATGATCCCGCTGTATCTTTATTCCTTTGCTATCCGACATGGTCCTTTTGAGTTCTACCATCATTTAGCCCAGCGTTCGGCGTGGATCCAGGTGATTAAGCAGTCGCTCAGATCACATTCATCTGATGGTGTCGAATCAGACTGTCGATGCAAAAGCAGGGCCATACAGCACGCGCTACTATGTAGTGCTCATCTGCTGACGAGAACGTTCCGCTCAAAGAGATCTGCCTCATCGTCGCAGTCTTGCCTCCGAGTCCCCTCCCACGTGGCGATCCCCCGTCATTTCATTTTTCTAGCTCTCCTATGGAACAGGGTGATTCCATTGCACTTCGGCATTGAGTGCTCTACCCGTGAATCTTTGCAACAGGAGAAAACCTTGGCGCTGGACACGCAGGCGGTAGATCGGGCGCCGGGGTGGACGCTGAACAAACCGACTGCAGCCTATGCACGCTTTCGCTGGAGGACATGGCACGGCTGGTTGGGATTCCAAGCGAAGGTAAAGTTCGAGGGCTGCTCCTGAGCATTGCGAATCGGAGCATTAATCCAGCTTGGGCATGTGATTGCGAATTTCGAAGAGTTGCAGCACAGTTCTGACACGGCGGCGGTGTCCGAGATAACCAACCGTTCTCGTCACCATCCGCAGTCAGTTGGGGATTTATCATTCTTTATTCCGAACTACGAACACGTCTCACTTTCGCTGGGCAAGAACCGACCTGCTCGACCTCCTCGAAAATGCCGTTGGTCTTGACCAAATCCACTCGATACGTGATACTCGTCCTGAGCTTGATCCTTACCTCGCACTTCCTCCTCTCCGCCACCCACGAGCCGTACAACCGCGCGACGTCCATCTCCTCCCTCACCGCCGGGTGGCGCAAAGAGCAATCACAAAGCACTGACTTGGCGGTCCCCGAGCAACCTGGGATCGAGCCTCTGCCGAAATGGGCCATCGGAGGGCACAGCGGGAACTCCACGCGCGCGAACGCCACGTTCGTCATGCTCGCGCGGAACAGCGACGTCAACGGCGCCGTGCAGAGCATCAGGAGCATTGAGGACCGGTTCAATGAGAACTATGGGTACCCGTATGTGTTTCTGAACGAGGAGCCGTTCACGGACGACTTCAAGAAGTGCGTACGGTCGCTCCTTGACTGCGCTTTTTTGATGAACCCCGCATCATTTTTCCCAGGCGGGTCTCCGCAGTCACTCGTGCCCCGGTTTCGTTTGGCGTCATTCCTCATGAGTTTTGGTATCAGGTGAGCGGGCCCTGGCTTCCGCTGCTCCACTTAGCGGTCTGCTGAGTCATCACACAAGCCGGACTGGATCGACGAGGCCAAGGCTAAGGCAGGCCGCAAAAAGCTGCAGCACCAGGGGATCATCTACGCCGGGAGCGTGTCCTACCGCAACATGTGTCGCTTCAACAGCGGGTTCTTCTTCAAGCACGAGCTCCTGCTCCCGTACAAGTGGTACTGGAGGATAGAGCCCGACGTGCACTTCCACTGCTCGCTCACGTTCGATCCGTTCTTGTACATGGAGGAGCAGAAGAAGGTGTACTCGTTCACGATCGCTCTGTACGAGTGGGCGCCGACGATCCCCACGCTCTGGGACACCGTCAAGGATTTCATGAAGAAGTACCCAGAGTACGTGGCACCGCAGAACGCCATGGGCTTCCTCAGTGACGACGGCGGTGACGAATTCAACATGTGCCATTGTGAGGATGTTAGGCAGTTCCCTCGTGTGCACACGATTTGACAATCACCGCCCTGCTCTTCCCAGTCTGGTCCAACTTCGAGATCGCTGACATGGACTTTTGGCGAGGCGAGATCTACACCAAGTTCTTCGAATTTCTCGATGCGACGGGCGGGTTCTATTACGAGGTGCGCAGCAGTTCCATCCGATAGCGCTAGTCCGTTGACCCAGGTCTTCTATCAGCGGTGGGGTGATGCTCCAGTCCACTCGATTGCCGCTGCGCTTTTCCTGGACAAGTCCAAAATCCACTTCTTCAATGAAATCGGCTACGAGCACCGCCCGAACCAACATTGTCCCACTGACAACGACGTGTGGACGAAAGGCATGTGCGGATGCGATCCTGGCAAAACACACGGTATGTCTCATCTCATCCGGGCCAATGTCCTCGTTCTGACTGAGTGGCTGCTCGCAGATTACAGTGGGAATTCATGTCAGAAACAATGGGACCGGATCTTTGAGTGATATATCTACTGCACTAATGGACTTGTACTCTAATTTATCGGCTGTAGAAACTAGCGATCATGTCGGGGGTACTGGATGCTGCTGCTGACTCGAGTGGGGAATTGTGGCCCTATGGACACACCTGCCTGTCACAGTAGACTGAACACAAACCATCCTCAGGAGCAACCTTCTAGAATGTTTACCTCAGAGGCTCAGGCTCTAGGATAAGACCGATACGTGGACTAAAGCAATGATGTGAGTGGCGACCGCAAATGCTCTCGTTCAGCATTCCACTCAGATCCCGTTTGCTCCCAATTTGGAATGATGGGATGATGCTGCCAGAATATACCGTGGCCGAGGACGCGATGTCCCCCACGGTGAAATTCGCAAGGAGTGCACATCCACTGGACCGTGAAGATGCGGATGGACCCTGAGATACAGCCCGAGGGCGAACATCAAGGCAACCACGAACCTCGTTTGGGTTGACTGGAATGATGAACTGCGGATCAGTGTACGAGTCAGAATAAAAATATTGAAAGGAATTTTTTTCAAGGTGCTGCACGATTTCAAAGTGGTCGGACGTTGACAAGAAAAACTTGAGGCGAACCATAGGTTGAACATTGATCACGTGCCACCATCTCCTGACTGACAAGCAGCGACAAATATTTATTCCTCTCTCACAATGCGCGTTCACTACCCGCAGCCATTGTCCGATACATAATGGTGATACCCGTATAAGAACCGCAAAGGAGTGTGTGGTACATCAAGACTCTCGGTCTCTTACCTCCTGCGCTTCTGCACTACTCTTCCACTTCGCTTTTTTCGACGTTTTTACCTGCACGACCTTCCCATTCCCATTCCCATTCCACGTCTACGACCTTCACGCTTGACACGCTAGACTTTGCATTCATCGCCGGACGATACTTCACAGATCCAATTCTTACGACCATGTCCTCATCCTCCAACGTCTCCGCCGTCGCGCACGTTGTGGCCTACCTCACGAACCCCCTCCGCTCTATGCAGACCATCCCCCATACCTGCATCACATCCGCGCAGGTCATCCTGACCGCGTCCCTCTCCGGCACGCGCGCACCGTGCACCACCCTCACTCTGACGCTCGCGACGCCCCCGCCGGCGGTGTTCGCGGCATCGATTGGGTCGAACATCCCATGGGCCGTGTGGTTCGCTGCGCTCGGTGGGCAGGCGGACGAGACAGTGTCGATCGTGTTCGGGCCGCGGTTCGTCAAGGCGCGGGTTGGGAACGGCGCGGTCGTCGATGTGTGGAGGTGGAGCCTTTCGAATGGCGGGAGTGTTCCGCAACAGCAACCGCAAAAGAAAGCAATCAAAGTGGCTACCGCCGAGGATGAGCAGCCGACTCTTTTGCGGCTCCGAGCGACCCTGTTCGCCGCGCGCATGCGGACCATGCGCCGCCAGCCTGTGAACGATGACGCCGCCAGCAGTAGCAGCAGCAGCAGCAGCAGCTCGGACTCTGAAAGCGACTTTTCCGACTCCGAAAGCGATACCGCTTCGTCCGTGACCTCGTATCGGATTTCCTCTCCCGTCGAAAAGCCTGCGCCTGCGACAGTCAGGCCCACTTTCGCCCGTCGTCTGCCAGCTCCCTCGGCTGCTGTGCAGCAGCGCTCGGCCAAACCGACCCCCAAGGTCTCTTACCTGTACCAGGGTGGTGTCACCCGTGTCATGACCGGGGGTGTCATGCTCGGTGGTGCCCGCTCGTGAAGATCTCAACGACCAACGACTTAAGCCTTTCTCCCGTCTCTTATATGATGTATCCCACAGTACCAGTCCGTTCCACTTCCTGTAGCTTGAGCCATCCAGCTTAGAAATCTGTACTTTTTAGTCTCCTCGTCTATCTCCTTGTATTTCTATTCCTTCGCTATTTGTTGTTGTGCTTTGGAGCTCTATCAGCCGGACAGCTTTGCCCAAATGGTCCTCGTAAGCCGCCACGACGTGGATGCCGACGAGTAAGTAGTCGATCGGATCACTTTCATCTGATGGTCTTGATGTCCAAGCAGAGGCAAGCAGCACGCGCACTACTCATCTGCTAACGAGAACGTTCCGCTGAAAGAGATCTGCCTCATCGTCGCGGTCCCGCCCCCGAATCCCCCTCACTTAGCGATCCAGGTCAGTCCAATGTTCTAGCTCTACCATGGAACAGCTTGGCTCCATTAACCTCTCTCCGATTCGGCATTGGGTGCTCTACCCGTGAATCTTTACAACGTCTCGTCAGACCTCATTTACCTCGCACCTCTTCTCACCACGCGTGTTTGTTCCTCGTCTCATTGCTTCCCAGTTTCTCCCCCATGGCGCCCGATCTCTCGCTCGATCGAATCCTACATGAGATCACCACTTCCACCAACCTGCAGGCGCTGAACTCCACCCTCAAGAACGGACTACCGAAGGAGTCGAGGGAGACGATCCTGTCAAGTCCGTTGGGAAGCGGGCAAGATCCCCTGTCGGTGCTCGACGTGCGGCAGAACACGCTCGGTGTATTGTATCTCTTGTGCGTCCGGCTGCCTTCGCGATCCTCTCCCTCCTCATTCTCAGCGGCGGGCGCCCAGGTCCGCGCGCTTAAATATGACGAATGCACCCGTGCCACCGCACACAGTGGTCGCATTCTGCCAGTCTTTCATACCGGAGCAAGCGCGTTTGGCACCCGAACGCGGTGCGTCATTATCGTCGCGCTCTCATCTTGATGTCGGCTGAATCCGCACTAGTCACGCTGCTTGCGCGGGGAATCCAGAAACTCAGCCATCATATGGGCAATGTAGGCCCTTGTTTCGCCCGTCTGGTCGACCACTATTGACTTGCGCATCTGGATAGCCATCATGGGCTATACACCCTTTGCTGCAGCTCCTTACGCATTATCCCACTGATCTGTCGTTTCTAACCACCATCCATCCCATCTTCCTTCAAGTGCGCGTGTCCCTCTCTGCAAGCACATTCCACGTCTTACAATATCCTCTCTACTAGGTCTGCATTGCAGCCAACCAGCCCACCGCCGCACTCCCCGTTCTCGGATGCCCGATCGCCAACATCTCAACCGCCCTCTCCGACTTGACGTACAATGACAACCTTCTGTATCACTACCTCGGCGGCATCATCCTGGCGCTACTCAAACAGTGGGCTGCGGCTGAGGAGTTCTTCGAGATCTGCGTGACAGCACCAGGGGCGGTTCCCGCCGCGATCCAGCTGGAGGCCCTCAAGAAAATGCGGCTCGTGCAGCTGATTCACCGGGGAGGGGTGTCGCCGCTGCCGAAATACGCGCACCCATCCCTTGCGCGCATGCTTAAGAACTCAGTCTACGCAGATCTCATCGCGTTCTACCCGCAGAACACGGAGAAGCTGAACGGGCTCCTGAGTAAGGAGAAGCAGACGTTTTCCACGGTGTGTCCATTTCCCCCACCCTGAGATGGGTGTGCGTACTTGTTTGCTGACGATTGGGGCAGGAAAAGACACTTGGGCTGGTCACACAGGCGGTAGATCGGGCGCCGCGGTGGACATTGAAGAAGCTGACCGCAACCTATGTCACGCTTTCACTGGAAGACATCGCACGACTGGTCGGGATTCCAAGCGAGGACGAGGTTCGGGGGCTGCTCCTGAGCATGGTGCGTGTGCACTCTATTATGACGTGTATGTATGTTGCATACCGAGGCTCATGCGTTGATCAAGATCGAAACGGGAGACATCTCAGCTCAGATCTCTGCTTCGGGCACGGTCACGTTCTCGGACCCGCCGCCTCAATTCACGCGGGAGGAAGTCGATGCTGTGCTCTCGGGCGCACAGCAGCAGAGCGCACTATTGGAAGAACTGGAGATGGAAATGGCGAGGAACCGGGACTTTGTCAGCAAAGCCATCAAGGGTGGAGGAGAGAGCTCGTGGCCGGGTGCGGGGATGGACGAGGATGTCTATGGAGGGGCCTTGTCTAACGCGGCTTGGGCCGATGACAGTATGTTCGGGTAGAGAGAGGTCTATAATACCAAGAATCTGTAACAGTTGCATCCCCACCTGGCCGCATTTCCCGACTGGAGTCACTAGCAGCATCGAGTGCCGCCGACATGATCGCTAGTTTCTACAGCCGATAAATTATGAGTACAAGTCTATTAGTAGAGTAGATATATCAGTCAAAGATCCGGTCCCATTGTCTCTGACATGAATACATATTATAGTCTACGAGCAGCCGTTTGTTCAGTACGAGGAAATAGACCCGGATGAGATAAGACATACCATGTGTTTTGCCAGGATCGCATCCGCACATGCCTTTCGTCCAGACATCGTTGTCAGTGGGACAATGCTGGTTCGGGGGGTGTTCGTAGCCGATTTCATTGAAGAAGTGGATCTTGGACTTGTCCAGGAAAAGCGCGGCGGCGATCGAGTGGACTGGAGCATCGCCCCACCGCTGATCGAAGACCTAGTCAACAGACTAGCGCTATCGGATGGAACAACCGCGCACCTCGTAATAGAACCCGCCCGTCGCATCGAGAAATTCGAAGAACTTGGTGTAGATCTCGCCTCGCCAAAAGTCCATGTCAGCGATCTCGAAGTTGGACCAGACTGGAAAAAGGAGGACGCTTTCGTCAAATCGCGCACGCAAGAGAGAACTACAACAGGCTTACAATGGCACATATTAAATCCTTCACCGCCGTCGTCGCTGACAAAGCCCATGGCGTTCCGCGGTGCCACGTATTCCGGGTACTTCTTTATGAAATCCTTGACGGTGTCCCAGAGCGTGGGGATCGTCGGCGCCCACTCGTACAGAGCGATCGTGAACGAGTACACCTTCTTCTGCTCCTCCATGTACAGGAAGGGATCGAACGTGAGCGAGCAGTGGAAGTGCACGTCGGGCTCTATCCTCCAGTACCACTTGTACGGGAGCAGGAGCTCGTGCTTGAAGAAGAACCCGCTGTTGAAGCGACACATGTTGCGGTAGGACACGCTCCCGGCGTAGATGATCCCCTGGTCCTCCATCTTTTTACGGCCGGCCGTGGCTTTGGTCTCGTCGATCCAGTCCGGCTGGTGTGTCTCAGTGGACGGCGAAAGTGGACAAGGCCCTGCTCACCTGGTACCACCAGTCACGGGGAATGACGCCAAACGAAACCGGGGCGCGAGTGACGGCTGAGACCCGCCTGAGAAAGAAACAGGGTTGTCAATCAAGGAAGCCAAGTCGACGAGCGACCGTACGCACTTCTTAAAATCGTCCGTCCACGGCTCCTCATTCAAAAACACATACGGGTACCCATAGTCCCGATTGAACCGGTCCTCGATGCTCCTGATGCTCTGCACCGCGCCGTTGACGTCGCTGTTCCGCGCGAGCATGACGAACGTGGCGTTCGCGCGCGTGGAGTTCCCGCTGTGCCCTGCGATGGCCCATTTCGGCAGCGGCTCGATCACAGGCTGCGCAGGGACCGCGAAGTCGGTGTACTTCGACTGCTCTTTGCGCCAGCCGGCGGTGAGGGAGGAGAGGGATGTCGCGCGGTTGTAGGGCTCGTGGGTGGCGGAGAGGAGGAAGTGCGAGGTGAGGATCAGGCCTAGGACGAGGAGCACGTATCGAGTGGGTTTATTCAGGACCAACGGCATTTTCGAAAGAGTCGAAGGGGCCGGTCCTTGCCCAGCGACGATGAGAAGAGGTGTTGGTAGGAATCAAAGGAAAGACGAATCCCCAATCGGCTACGGACGATGACGAGAACGGTAAGTTATCACCGACACCGCCACGGTGTAAGAACTTGGCTGGATCCCTTCGAAATTCGCAAGCAGCTGCCCGAGCTAAATTACAGCTTCGATTCGCGGAACTCGACACAACACAACAGTGAAGAGCAACGATATTTGATCGCTGGTTCTATAGTAAGGCATAAAAATACAGATGGGAGGCTGAGAGGAATTGCTGATGCTACATGATGAATGTCTATACAAGCGAGGAAATCGTTTCTTGTCATCGTTCGGAGATAAATGTCGGAAGATTCGTCCTCAGGAGCGGGCACCACCGAGCATGACACCGCCAGTCATGACGAGAGTCACGCCGCCCTGGTACAGGTAGGAGACCTTCGGGGACGGTTTGGCCGAGCGCTGCTGCACAGCAGCCGAGGGAGCTGGCAGACGACGGGCGAAAGTGGGCCTGACTGTCGCAGGCGCAGGCTTTTGGACGGGAGAGGAAATCCGATACGAGGTCACGGACGAAGCGGTATCGCTTTCGGAGTCGGAAAAGTCGCTTTCAGAGTCCGAGCTGCTGCTGCTGCTGCTGGCGGCGTCATCGTTCACAGGCTGACGGCGTATTGTCCGCATGCGCGCGGCAAACAGAGTGGCTCGAAGGCGCAAAAGAGTCGGCTGTTCATCCTGAACAGTAGCAGAAGCATCCTGCACCTTGGCTGGTTTCGCCTGTTGCTCCTGGACACTCCCACCATTCGAGAGGCTCCACCTCCACACATCGACCACCGCTCCATTGCCAACCCGCGCCTTGACGAACCGCGGCCCGAACACGATCGAGATCGTCTCGTCCGCCTGTCCGCCGAGCGCGGCGAACCACACGGCCCAGGGAATATTCGACCCGATCGATGCAGCGAACACCGCTGGCGGGGGTTTCGCGACAGTCAGAGTGAGGGTGGTGCACGGCGCACGCGTGCCGGAGAGGGATGCGGTCAGGATGACCTGGGCGGAGGTGATGCTGGTGTGCGGGATGGTCTGCATAGAGCGGAGGGGGTTCGTGAGGTAGGCCACGACGTGCGCGACGGCTGAGACGTTGGAGGATGAGCACATGGTCGTGAGAATTGGATCTGTGAGGTATCGTCCGGCGATGGATCCAAAATCTAGCGTGTCAAGCGTGAAGGTCGTAGCCGTGGAATGAGAATGGGAATGTGAAGGTCGTGCAGGTAGAAACGTCGAAAAAAGCGAAACGGAAGAGCAGAGCAGACGAGCAGGAGGTAAGAGACTGGGAGTCTTGGTGTCCCCCACACTCGTCCGAGGTTCTTATACGTATAGCGCCATTATACATCGGACAATGGCTTCGGGCAAATGAACGCGCATTGTTACAGAAAGAGAACAATGGGTGTTTGTCCGTATTTGTTGAACAGGGACAGCATCTCTCGGGCGGCGGATGCCAATGACAAGAGTCGCACTGGCTCGTCCCATCCCTTCCGGGAGAGTAGCAAACAGAAGACTCTGGCACGAGTGAGCTCTCCGTCCCGCTCCGCTTGGGAGTTTCGTTCAAGGCATCGCGATCACGTGAGAGTCACGAGCTGACATCGCACCTATAACTTTTCCGACTCCACGCGTCATGGACATATGCGCAGGGATATCCAAGATCCGAGGCTCAGAGCCATCTTTTTTCTGCAGCCTTTCAAATTTCACTCCTCAGTAGCGAGGGCGAAACCGACAAGCTCAACTTTCCCTTTCCTCGCCGCTCGATCAGATTCCGATGAGACCCACAACTTGTCGGTCACGAGTCGGGATATCCCTTTGGAAATGAAATTTCACCAGGGATCAATTATCCATGTCAGATGTCCATGCATTTTCCAGCGGCTGTACGGACGGACATTCCAAATGGTTCCGAATTCCGGAATCCTGAAACACCTTCCACATGTGATTGAAGGGCCGCAGCTGCCCGAATCACTGGCAAGCGGTATTATGTATTATGCAACCAACGGTGAGAAATCCGAAGTGCCTCGTAATCCCGACCCAGCGGAACAAGCCATGTAATTATCCTGCGGAGATCTTGTGGAGAATCTCCGCGCTTCTTAATTCTCCGCACCAGTATTTGCAATACACAAGCCGGCTAGATCTGCCCGATTTTCAAATGATAGCTGATGAGTAGACTGTCTGGAGACTGACTCCGCTGGCGGGGAGGCACGTGTACATACATATATGGCATTGCAAATGCTGCTCTACAACTCCATGAACGCGATTGCTCCCGAGAGCAAGCAGATGTTCCCCGCACGCACCCCGTATGTATTGTAATGTAAGTACCCCAAAGGAAGAATAGATGGTCTAATGTACCGCAGAAATACAACAATAAACAAAATAAATGGGTTACTTGGCATCCAGGGAGGACGTCCCGTCGCCATCGAATTGCACACTCGTCTGGACGTTGATCTGCATTTCCTGCGCAGACGTCAGATGATCGGCGATACCGAGCCGGCGCGAACGAGACTTACTGCGGGCGAGTTGGGGCCGGTCTTCGACCGAGTCTGTGTCCGAGTCCTTCCCGTAAGCAACGGCTTATGCTGCCGAGAGAAAGAGAGAGAGAATGACGCACAAAGTAAGGTATCGTCGTTGTCCTCAGGTGCGGCGTGGTCGGCCCGCCGTTCGTGCGGGACTCGAGGAACAGCACCTGGCCCCGCTCCCGGTCGCCGGACGACGTGTTTGCGCGCGCGCGGCGGATGTTCTCGCGTGTGTTGAGACTGCTGTCGTGTCAGTTGCGCTGCACCACCGCGATTGTATCCATCACGCACGTAATCAGGAGCGAGTTGGCGTAGACTGTGCGGAGAGGGTCAGATCCTGGCGACCGGAGAGGAGAAACGGGACGTGCGTTTGCCGATGACAAAGTGAATTCCGAGGAAAATGAGGTTGGTCGACATGGTCACCCACTGCGGCCGATGGTCAGCACTTTCCCTGCGCGCGGTATCGATCTACTCGGGGACTGACACAGAGCATGGTGACGATGGTCCCAATGGTCGTCAGGCTCCCCGCCTCGAAAGCGTACAGAATCAGCTGGTCGATGACATGGTTGAAGCTGTGGACGAGGTCAGCACTACATCGGCGAGCCACAGCACAACTGACGGCGAGGTTTCCGAACGGTTAGACTGGAACAGATAAAACAGAGCGCCTGTGATGTACACATCCACCGCAGACGAGACCGAGAGACCCATCGTGAATATCCACTGCAGCGCTGTCAGTCAGAGTGAGTCGCGCGTGGGAGGGATGAAGCCGCACGTTGGCATGGATCTTGAACCCTTCGAAGCTCTGATAGTGGAACCTGGGACAAGTCGCTCAGGGTCGCGGTTGCCAGTCATCTCGAATACACCCACATTTCCCAAGTCGAGACGGACGCGGAGGCGAGTCGCAGGACTGCAAGAACGACCTGCGGTTGTCAGCACCGCTCACAGACCAGACGCACGGAATGGGGTCGTACAACGGGTGTCGCCAACATCCAGTTCCTTTTGCTCAGAAGATAGATGCGGTGTGCGAAGAAACTGGTGCGTCGTCAGTGCCACACACGCAAACCAAGGACGCAAAGCACTCACTTGTGAACGAAGAAGGTGACCAGCGCCGTCAGAAGCACAGATATCTGCAGCACTTGAGCAGCAGCACGCCGGAGCCATCCACAGCTACTCACCGGCACACCACCGGGAATGTGGTCCAGGCGGAGATTCTCGTTCCCGATCTGAGGTATCACGTAGTTCCATATCCCTTCCCAGATGAACGCGGTGTGCAGAGTATCCAAGAGCCTGGTTTGTCGGTACACTAATTGCAGCGAGCTGCGGACACGCTCACCATACGATTCCGACCTGTCCGAAACAAACGAATCCTCAGTGTGTGTGCAGTATCCGAGCGCCATAGCAGACTCACGAGCGCCTTGAAGTGGATGGGGTCCTCGCGGTAGGTCCGGTAGTAGAAGAACGCCGTCAGGTGCACGAATCCGCTCAACCTGCGCGCGCGCATCGTCGTCAGCAAGCCTGAAACACAGCGCGGAACGGAAAGCTGCTGCCGCTGACATCGAAGCGAAGAGCGCACCCAGCACCATGGGCCCAACAGTGTTCTGCACAGTCATCTTGCGGTAAGGACAGGTGGGGCGGTCGGTGCGTGGAGGGGCGGAGGGTCCTTGAGTGGGAGGAGACGAGCGCGGCCGGAGAGCAGGCGAGGACCTGGCCGGGTCATACTTATACGCTCTCATTTCTCCAGTCTGCATCGCCCGATCGGGAAAGCTGAGATTTTGACAGCAATTCCAAAATTTTCGTGTGGCATCGGCATCCGAAGGGTAGTGTGGTGTGGGGTGGTGTGTCATCATCATCATCCTTGGGCTCGCGCTTCTTCCATGAATCCAGGTAGCCCGTCCGAGCTGCGGCGCATCAGATGCATACCATACATAGCGCAGGCCAAAAGTGCACCGAACGAGGCGGGAACGAACGACGAATCTGCGCCCGGTTATCGCGTCGCAGGCAGGGGGGGGACCGGTTCGGGTACGCGGGTCACCGTGGCTCCTTACTAGACGAGGACAGATGGTGGCACGCACTCAGGAGCTTGCGCTAAGAGAGAGCCACGCGATTCGATTGGCTGCAGCCCTTTGCAACCGCTCAGAAATAGGAGAGGGGGGCAGGTGCCTGGCCTTGGTGGGGGCACTCCCCCGGGACTCCTGATTGTCGGACACACAGGGCGGGCGTCGGGGTGAGTGGCGGCAAGACGCCGCATGCCGCGTAAGCTCGGAGGTTGTTGAGGGCCCGAGGCGCGAGCCCGTGACAGATTATTCAAGATCAACGCGCCATCAGTTGCACCGCGTGCTTGCACGGGGAGAAACAGGCGACACCGAGTTTTCGGTCAATCAGAATGGCAAGGTATGGGTCAGGGGAGAGGTCGTATCGGGATTAATTCTCGTGGGACATGACTCATCCAGAATGAGAGTTTAGGCGCGAGTCACAGGCTGCTCAAAAATCACTCGTTCGCATAGAGACATGATGATTACAGGCAACATAGCGAAAACACATAGACCACGTCCACAACTGCAGCCGCACTGGTACAGTTTACACAAGGTCGGGCAGTTCCTCATCCTCATTTCCGCCGGCCTTGGCCTTGCGAGGGGCGCTGGCGGCAGGGGCAGCTTTTGATTTCTTCGACCGGGACTTCTTCGCCGGGTACACCTTGGGCTCCTTCTGGGCCGCAAGCAGTGCAGATACACGGGCGAGCGCAGCCTGCAAGACAACGTGTCAGCACGGAACAACAGCGCATGCAGAGTGATCGAAAAGAAGAAAGGGATGTTAGTGCCAAAGAGTCGGACTCATCGCGGGTTGCAACGAACGAGGCCCGATAGCGACATGGCGCGATATCCACAGGAGTTTGATCGGCTCCGACGGGATGGGGGTTTATATTGCAGACATGTCCACACCCAGCTGTTCATCCATACGTCCAGTGGGTTCTAACGAGAATGCGACGAGAAAGAGAGAAACAAGAAAAGGAGGCGGAGGGGGTAGATCGAAAGGAGAGGAAGTTGTTACGCACGGTGCGGAGATCTGGTCGGCCAGCCTTCTTGGCCGCGATCAGAGCCACGATACCTGCGGCGCGGCGCGAGCCAGACCGCGGGCGGATGACATCCTTCGACAAGGCCTTGGCGACAGCGCCAGGTGCGGCCTTCTGCTTCCGCGAAACGATCTCAATCCCGTTGCCGGAGTCGGTGATCGCAATAGTCTGCGCACAGGTCAGAACGCACCCACGAAGAAGCAGAGAGGCTGCGTAGACCCACTTTGGCGTTGGCGAGACCGGAGTATTTGTGCGAGTGGATGTTACGCAAGTTAGCCTGCACACAGCACGCCGTCAACACGCGCTCTCGCCACCACATGCACCGAACTGACTCACGGGCTCCTTGGAGAAGGTGACACCGACTTCAGCGCCGCGCTTCACCGTGTACGCGTTTCCCTTCTACAAACGGCGGGTGAATTCAGGTAGGGTACATGGTGGCCACATGGGGGAGCATACGCGGACGAGGAGCCATTCGAGGTCGGTCGACATTGTGGTGAAGCGTGGGTTTTTGGGAATGGCTTATGTGGCTGTGAGAGGGACGGTGGCTGTGGACAAACTAGGCAGCAGTTCGTCACGCGTCGACAGGTTTCGGCCCGCGATTAGCCGGTGTGTGATGGCAACATCCGAGACTAGCCTCGACGACGACACTGCCTCAACCGGCACTCAACCGAACTGGGTTGCATACGAATCACGGAATCGAGAGAACCAGAGGACTGGTCGCAATTTATCTCCTTTGGGTAAAACATCCAGGGATTCAAAGTAGCACCCTGCTAACAGTTCTCTAAGCAGAAACGAACGATACTCTTTCCCAGTGGTTGGGCTGTTTCAATGAATGTATACAGTTCGCTGTAGTCTTCAGATGGGATTTTTCGGGTGATCCTTACATCTCGGCAAGACATTGGCTACCAAATCGGACCTGTTAAAAGTCAGGTGACTCTGAGGAGCTGCGCGAGGGAATATACTTACAAGGTACCAAGAACCTCGTGTTCAGTAGGTCACACCAGCAGCCACGATAGAACTGGCTGCCTGAACTCACTGACTTTGAGTTTACATGAGGCTTCTCCGCATCTTAATGATCTCATGTCGGAATTTTACGCCGGACTGGTCGGCCAGCCAGAAGTCGGCGACAATCTCAGATGGTCCAATGGTCAAGATTCCCGCCTGTCATTCAATGGATTGCGCGGGCGACCGGGGTTCGATTCCCCGTCTGAGAGTCATGACTTGTATTCCGGGATACATTAATTTTTGGTGTAGAATGAATCCATCCCAGCGCATGAACTTTTCATTGAAGCTGTATCCAGCCCTAACCTACTATATTTCCCGTAGTGACAGTAATTTTTGCCCTCCCGAGCAACTCTCATGAGCCTCTACTCAACCTAAGTCGCAACAAGCTCAGAAGATGTCCTCGAGTGTCACGTGCCAACCCCAACCAGTACTCACAAATGACTCATATCTTGGGCCACATCCAGGCTTGCATCTGCCGCACATGCATGTAAGTAAGCGATCGAGTTGGCGGACTGACAGGACGTCTGGCGACCCACCACCGAAGCCACGCTGAGGACCAAACGACATCATCGTGTCGGCTTGCAAGATGTTGGGGTCGGCCGGACCGTTGAACATCCAAGACTCGAAAAAGGAGATTTGCGCTTCGAAGTCGAAGTCAGACGCCAACCCCACGGGATCCACAGCTCCCTCCCCTCCCTCTCCTGCTCCATCAAGTTCTTCCCGTCCCCGCTTCAATCCAGAAGCCGCCGGTTTCCGGGCGTTCGCCTTGGCCAGTATCAGCGCATGGAGCGTGTCGCTGCCCGGGTATCCGTTAGAATGTGACGCGGGCGCAGTGAAAACGGGCTTACACGTCCCGGCCCGCGATCATCCACGACCGCTCATACGCGGCCAGCGCGTCCAGGCACCGCTGCACGTCCGGATCCGCTTCGCGCGCGTTGCTGAGGACCAGCACAATGGCAGAGTTGTACAGCGCGGACTGCGCGTTCCAAAGAAGAAGGGAAGGAAAAAGCACAAAGAGAAAGAGTTTTGGAAGTGTGGCTGAGCGCGCGAGTGAAAGAGGAGGAGTGGCGTGGACGGACCAGCATTTGGGGGTTGTACAGCGGCCCGGTGCCGCGCCGTAGCTGCACCTCCGCGACGCGGCTGCACGAGCGGGCGGCGGCCGCGCAGATCGAGAGTGAGGCGATCGATGTCTGTTTTCGCGTCTCGGAGTGCACTGGAACTCGGATTGCAGATGAGACGCACGGGTGACTTGGAAGAGATGAAGTGCCGGTGCACGACGATCTGGACTGATGGGGATGCGAATGTGTGTGTGCGTGGCGTTGGTGACGGTTGGATCGGATCTTACCGTGCTGGGAATCGAATCAATAGTAGCCCTCCTGAGAAGCCCGGTGTGAGACTCACGTAATAAGCCATATGCAGGGACGCTGACTGGTTTAGCTGGATCAGATCCTGACATTCCGGATTCCATTTCACTCGGAAGAATGAGGTCCCGTTGAGGTCTAAGAAGAAGAAACCTACGATCCAGAGGCACGGAGCTGAGCCACTGGTTGAGATCTGAGCTATCACAGGGTCAGTTTATAGTCCGGGAGCGATCGGCGAGCGAGAGCCCTTACTCCAGCTCAGCCACCATTTCCTGGTGGTTGCTCTGCTCTTTCCTAGTCAAAATCAAAAACTAGCACGCCCCAGTCAGCGCGCATCGAGACCAGCGAATAAACATCTGCCGAACCATATCCTGCATTTTCCGGAAGATCGTCATGAGCTTGATCATCAGCTGGCCATACGCCGCGAATCGAGGATGTTCGTCCGCGAACGGCGCGTGGTATTCAACATCAAAACTGCCAACAGCGATCAGCGCGGGGCCCAACAATCGCACGCACGCACTCCTTCAGGTCCCACACGCGGGGCCGGCCGAGGAGCGCGTGGGTTTCGACGTCGCAGATCATGAGCAGCCAGAAGACGCGCTTGTACATCTCGGCCTCGGCGGGAGAGTCGTGCGTCGAGCGGATCCGCCGGTGGGCGCCCACGTCGACCGCCATCCGGAGCCCGAGCCCAACGAGCATCCAGGTCTCCTCTGGGCGCGAGCCGCTCGAGACGTAGAGCGCGCTCAGCTACAGTAGGAGAATTGCGATATGAATGACGCAATAAACCACTGGCTACTCGTTGGGACGCACCGCAACGACCTGCAGATCATGCAGCGCGCGCGACGACGCGCCGGTCGTGAGGAAGGCGGACAGCGCCGGTTTGACCTGGTTGAACCACTTCCACCCGGCGCTCAGCAAGTCGGGGGTGCCGTCCGGAAAGACCCGCGGATCGCACGAGAATTTAGCACCAAACGCACACACCAGCAGCACCAGCGTCCCGAACTTCTGGTCCCAAAAGTGGTCTTGGAGGCGCAGGGCGTCGCGGAACGTGCGCTCGTGCAGGATGCAAAGGATCGTGTTGACTTGGCTGAAGAAGAGATCTACGAGGGACGCGAGGAGATCGGGTTCGGGAAAGAACTGTGGCATGAAGATCTCTGGCGTCATCTCCCACTTTGATCCTGATGCGTGAGATTCGGAGCACAAATCAGTCTGGCTCAGTCGCTCACAGGCTGGATGCCCCAGAACCGGGGCCGGTGGATCGCCGCTTCGGAGGTGTTGACGCCAGTGGCCGCCACTACAGTCTTGAGGAACGTCATGCCACTGAACCTGCCGAAGAACCGGTTGGCGCCCGTTTCGCGCGTGAGAAGCTTCATCGGTTCGGACATGCTCGCGTTGATCAGCAGCCCACCCGAGTCTGAGTCCGAGTCCGAGTCGTCCGAGCCGGGATCCGAGTCGCTCTCGCTTGATGTCCGGGTCGGGGGGACGGACACCGGGGCCGCCGTCGCCTCGGATGGAACCGCAACGACTGCCTCCAGCCGTTTAGCATACTGGCAGACGGCGACAAGAACGTTGTAGAGAACCAGGCGGTCCGCAGACACGTAATCCTGCGAGCCAGAGAGGATGGCAGAGATGTGGTCCCGTGCTGAAAGTGCCGCCTGTGATGGAGTAGCAGGTCCGTTTGCCCGGGAGGCTATGCTCAGGACTCACATTATCAAGACTGCAAGAGAGACTAGGGTTATTTTAAATAGGAGTATAGAGTGAAACGGCAAGTGACCTCGCGTTTTTCTTGAGCCGAATTCGAGAATGGGTGCAGTTTACCCCAAATGATATGCAATTCGAACATTGGTTCCCTGGGACATCGTCAGGCTCGCACTGCGAATGTACTGTTGCTACCTGGCATTTCCGCGCTGTTGCCTTCAGAGGTCAGTCAGCGCGATGGCTCAAAGAAGGCTCTAGCGACGCGCGAACATTTAGCTAATCATACAAGTTCGGCGCGTCAGCAGTTTCTCCTGACATCACCGCGCAACGATCGCGTACTTTTCTGCCTACTACACCGGTCACACGCATTCCTCAGACGTCGCTTCTTCGGCGGCGGCAGTGGCGGCGGCACGGCTGCGGGGTCATCCATTGTACGTGTTTAGGTCGTTTGTGGTGAGAAGAAGAATGTATTCACGTGATTCTGAGACATGGCATACCGGCTTGTCGTTCCGTACCCCGCATGTCGGAGTTTGAATATGGCTCATTTTTGGGACCTGCTTACAACGTCGATTAGAACGTCGCTGCCGTTGCAGACGCGCTACACTTCATCGTGGTCGATTCCGAAGAACAAGTGGTCGCGTCGCGCTCCTGGGCACATTCGTGATGTGTCATCTTTCATCATTTACCAACCTGCCAGTGTTTTTCCAATCGCGGAGTACGCCCAAGATGTTCTCCCATTCAAGAATTCCTAGGATAGCATATTTATTGAGCATTCGGCCCGCTGTGTTTGAGTGCGCACTTACTGAGGATGTACGCAAATCTGGTCTAACACATCGTGTTCCTGTATTCTGAGAAACAACCCATTTTCGGGAAAACAACCTCACGGCAATTTTATTGCATAGAGTGCTATCCGTCTTGACTAAGAGTGCGACGCTCGCCAACACTCTGTCGCGGTGAGATAGTTTATTCGGCAGGACAAGCAGGCCATTTTATTTATTGGCTTTGCTGGCCTAATGGCATCAATCTCAGGCCTGTCATATTCGTAATCCAGCCGCGTCTATCAAGAATTCGGCATCGCATGATGACATAACTCTGACTTCCTGTCCACTGGTTCCGTCGAGCCTAAAGTGCTTCGCTCTGTGGGGTCGACTGCACGCTGCCCGTGGAGGCCTGTCATCGCTTTGTTCAACATCGTGTCCCTCTCCAGCGTGCACGAACAAGTGAAGTCGAGTGTTTTATGGCCCTTGCACCTGTTATCGCCTCATTATTACTACAGCTGGTCGTGTGATTCGCAGGCCCTAAAAGTCTTCGATCTATTCTTAGCGCGTATCGCAAACAACACATCCTGTGCGAATCGTGGAGCAGGGAACGGCTATCTTGGGCGTACCGCTGGCCTGGCGACCCAGTATTTCCGAGTCCTAGCCGACTGGCCGGGCCTCGGCAGGGAGGATGAGAGACATCGGGTAGAGCGTCCATCCACGTTTTTGAGGCGAGAGTGTCTGCGAGGAGCCGATGTCATGCTGCGAAAAGCAATCGCTTCGGTCCCTGGTCCCAGAAACTCGTCGACAAGCCAGGCAAGAGCGGGTTCAGCGCTGCTGTGTCCAGCCCAGTTGTGCTTGCGTCAAATCTTATTTTTCTTTGCATCAGCGCTGATACATATCCATCACCGGTTATGCAGAGTCTGCTGCCTCCAGCTCGGTGTTACTTGCTGCGCAGATCTGAGCCAGGTGGGGGCGGAGAAGCGCATCTCTTTTTAAGCCTCGATGTCTATCGCTGATGAGGCAGAGTCTGGATCCCTTGCTCTCTTTCTGGGGCGTGCCATCATGTAACCGAGCGGTCGTTAGCTGACTACCCCCCCTTCCTCCGCAGTTCCTGGGACGCAAATACTCCCCGGTGGGCATGTGAGCGTGTCCGAATCAGGAAGACGAACAAACAAGGTTCGTCCAGTCGCAACTGTAGGCCTGCCTCGGGGGTTGTTGGCCGGCAGCGCAGGGGACGCTGATCTGGTGTGTGACCTGGGTTTTTGGATCTGACGACCGAGCGGACCGCGATACTCGCTGGGAGCGGACCGCCTGGTTTCCCCACTGATCTACCCCGCACGGTTCGGTTTTGTATAAAGAGCTTCGGCCCAAGGCACTGAACTCCAGCGACTCACAGTCCTTCCAGCGCCTCGATGTTCTCTGTCCCTGCCTTCCTTCAACTCGCAGCCCTCGTGTCCGTAGCGATCGCTGCCCCCAGCAACGTCACTAGAACCGAGACTGCGAAGCGCGCGACTTGCACAGTCAACAGCGTCTCGAGCGCGTCGAGCCTCGGGAGCTGCACTGATGTCATCATCGAGGGCTTCACCGTCCCCTCAGGCGAGACTCTCACTATCGCGGTTGGTTGTCTCGCCGCCTCGCCGATGTTTGACGCTCAACTTTTGCCGCCCGATACCAGGCTGCCAGCGGCGCCACCGTCACTATGGCTGGCGATCTCGTTTTCGCGAAGACGACGTGTATGGAGATTCCTCCCGCCCCGCGTTTCGGTGCTCATGCGACCATGTTAATTCTTAGCGGCGGGTCCTTTGATTACGTTCAACACTAACAACATCAACTTCAACGGTGGAGACCACAACATCAATGTCCGTTGCCGGTTGCACTTCTGTCTGGCTGCGGATGGTCTAATCGGTGATGCAGGGAAACGGCGCGTTGTACTGGGACGGCCAGGGCACCAACGGAGGTGTGACCAAGCCCCACCCCTTTGTCAAGTTTGTGTTCAGGTTTAAAAAACAATCCGGCACGTCCTCACACAGTCCACAGATTCAAGGGCTCGGGAACCTTCTCGTTCGTGACTGTTCTCAACTCTCCGGCCCAGGCCATCTCTGTCGGGACCACCGCAGCGAGTGTCATCGAACGCGTGACCGTTGACAACTGTGAGTCACTGGATCATCGCAAACGAGCGAATCTCTCATCACTGGACCATTAGCCGCGGGAGCGTCACTCGGCCACAACACGGACGGCTTCGACGTGAGCGCGTCCGACCTGACCATTGCGCAGTGCACGGTCATCAACCAGGACGACTGCGTCGCGGTCAACTCCGGAAACAACATCCTCGTCGAGGACACGACGTGCACCGGCAGCCACGGCATCTCCATCGGCTCGATCGCGTCGGGCAAGTCCGTCACGAACTTCAAGGCCGCGCGCAACACGATCACCGGCGGCCTCTACGGCCTGCGCATCAAGGTCGACGCCACCGCGACTGGCGCATCGGTCTCTGGCGTGACCTACGAGGCGTGCGTCTCTATCGTGTTCGCCGCTGCATGCCGCTGATCCGCTGCCAGGAACGTCGTCTCGGGCATCACCGACTATGGCGTCCTGATCACCCAGAGCTACCCCGCCAACGACGGCACCCCCGGCACCGGCGGCCCGATCTCGAACGTCGCGTTCAACGGCGGCACGACGACCGTCGCAGTCGACAGTAGCGCGATGTCCGTCGTCATCGACTGCGGCGCGTGCTCCGGCAACTGGGACTTCTCCGGCCTCGATGTGACGGCCGCCGGCAAGGGCCACAGCATTGTTGCGAACAATGCCAAGGTGCGTCGGACTGGTTCCGTTGGCTGCGGTTGTCGCTGAGCTGTAATTTCGTCTGTAGATCACCGGTGGAACTTACTGAAGAAGACAACAAGGCTCTGAGCGCCGTTTTATCCGACACGCCCAACCAAACTAATATTTATCTCGCATTGTATGTACATACTTCAACTGAACTGAATCACACCTAGTCTCCTCCTCATCCTCGCCTGGTGTGAGCCCAATTGCCTGTTGGGTGCCCCCCGCTCCACATTTCGGCCTTGCTCCAGAGCGTGTCAGAAACATCGGTGGGTATGCGGATTGCCGGTGGACCTGTGATCCATCTATGCTTGGCGCAGCAACGCGACTGCGGGGAGGCCAGTAGTCTGGTGAGCACCACGGAAAAGCCACCGAGCCTCGTCGGGCGCCGATGCGCTTCGGTCACCGAGGAGCGCCAAGGTGGGGTGACCAGTAGGTGTCAGGATATAAATACGCCTTCGCTGATCCATCATGTCCCGTGCAACCCTATTCTGCTACGGCACCTTCGGTCCCTGCATCAACCGCGTTGGCCTCGAGACCAGTATTTCCGAACCCTACCCGAATTTCCGGCCGTCCCACTGTGCCACGGCCGCGGGAAAGGGGAGGGCGCGGTGGGGGTGCCCCATGACCAGCGTCCACGTATGGTCTGCTCCAGAGGGTATTTTTAGGCTGAAGCGCGAAACACGAACTCGGAATCTGTGCTCGGTGTTGACGGTCTTGCTTGGGCCGCAGAAGCCTAATTCTTAGCCGGGACTCGTTAGCTAATTTCTCCATCCTTGCCTGGGGACGCGTCAGGATGATTACTTGCTGCGACTTCGGTAACCAATCCCTATCTGAACCCTATCTTTCTCAGATATTTGTCAGAGGCAGGCTATTGGAGGAGGTCGGTAAGTGTTTTTAGACCTCTCCCCCTCCCGCTGCTATGTTTTCTCTCTTTGGGGTGGCCTGAAGTCGCCCATCTGGGGATTCTACCAGCTGCTGGGGCTTCTGAACTCTAAAATGCTACGGTGTGGACCGGGACCTGTGAACGACATGTGAGCGGTTGAAGTCGTCATGATCTGCGGGCCTTCTCTGATACCTGTTGCGGTGTCTATTCGGCGAAGGGCGCGCGCTGCCGTGACCTGTATCTCACTGTAAGCAAAAGTACAAACGATCTCCGGCGGTGCGTCACGGACCGCTTGGTTCGAAATAGCGGGAGGGGGAAGGAAGTATAAAGAGCGCTCGTCTGGTATCTGGTTTCCAGCAGCACTCGAATCGACTCGACTTGACTCAGACGAAAGATGTTCTCGACCGCTACCGCCTCCTTCCTCCAACTCGCTGCTCTCGCGACGGTGGCCCTCGCGGCACCCAGCAATATCACGATGCCCCGCGCGACATGCATCGTCAATAGCGTCGCGAGCGCTGCGAACCTCAAGAGCTGCACGAGCGTCGAGATCCAGGGGTTCACTGTGCCCTCCGGACAGACGGTGACCATTGCGGTGGGTTTTTGCCTACGGTGACGAAAACGCCCACAGTACTCAATGGATGTTTGCTGCTAGGCTGCCACCGGCGCGACTGTGTGGATGACAGGCGACATCGTTTTTGAGAAGACAACATGTGAATACTGGCAGCTAGATTTTCGAAGCGATGTTGACGCCATCGCGTACCACAGCTGCGGGCCCGCTCATCACGTTCAACACCCCCGGCATCAACTTCAACGGTGGAAACCGCAACATCAATGTACGCCCGACTGCGATTGGCGTTGACTCCGCTGATCTGATAATCTCACAGGGCAACGGCGCGGCTTACTGGGATGGCCAGGGCACGAACGGCGGTGTGACAAAGCCGCATCCGTTTGTCAAGTACGCTTTGCGTTCAGAATTTGTCGTGGATGGGATGTTAATGCGCTTTCTGCAGATTCAAGGGCTCCGGCACGTTCGGGTTCGTGACCGTGCTCAACTCCCCCGCGCAGGCCATCTCGGTCGGAACCACGGCTGCGACTCTGATCCAGCGAGTCACCGTCGACAACTGTTGAGTCCCTGTCTCTTTCTCTACGAGGGTGGGTGGCTGAACCCGCGCCCACCAGCCGCTGGCGCCGCGCTCGGCCACAACACCGACGGCTTTGACATCAGCGCGTCGGACGTGACGGTCTCGCAGTGCACAGTGCTCAACCAGGACGACTGCGTCGCGGTCAACTCCGGCGACGCGATCACGATCGAGGAGTCGACCTGCACCGGCGGCCACGGCATCTCCATCGGGTCGATCGCGACCGGCAAGTCCGTCACGAACTTCAAGGCCGTCGGGAACACGATCAGCGGCGGGCTGTATGGCCTGCGCATCAAGGTCGATGCGACTGCGCAGAACGCGCAGGTGTCGAACGTCGTCTACGAAGGGTGCGTCCCCCGCTTCGTCCTCGCTCGACCCGGGTCTGACGCCTACCCCCAGGAACATCATCTCAGGCATCACGGATTACGGCGTCCTGATCACCCAGAGCTACCCCGCCAACGACGGCACCCCGGGAACCGGCGGCCCGATCTCAAACGTTGCGTTCATCGGCAGCACGACGACCGTCGCAGTCAACAGCGGCGCGATGTCCGTCGTCATCGACTGCGGCGCGTGCTCCGGAAACTGCAACTTCGCCAGCCTCATGGTCACGTCGCCGGGTAAGGGGCACAGCATTGTGGCTGACCGCGCGTCGGTACGTCATTTCATCACCCGGATCTGCTTCTCGCTCAGTCAGTCTTGTCTCCCAGATCACCGGCGGGACATACTGAGTCCAAAACAAATCAGAAGCGAGGATTAATACCCGTGGAATCATTGTACGATAATAGTCGAATGTCCTTTACATACCACACCACTTGTACTTTTTACACAATAAATTGTAACTAATTGTGGTAAACGCTCGCAGTGTTCAAAAATCTGGCTCATGGCTCATGTCTGTGTGGAGGAAATCAAAAGAATCAAACGAAAGAAGAAGGGGAAAAAAACGAAGGAAAGAGAGAGAATTAGCCTGTATCTACCTTCGAGTGGCTATGATTGAATGAATTCAGACAACTATTGGACAACAGACCATCTGGATTGCAATGCTTAGCATTAGTCTCACAGGATGGATGATGTCTGATCTTGGAACAAGCACCATGCCTGAGTCCTTTTGGAGTAATGTTCTCATTTGGGCTAAGCCCCAGCCAATGAGAATCAAATGATTCTTGCAACAATTGGTTCAGAAAAATCCAACTCTAGAGTGCTCCAGGATGACACAATCACCTCACATTGAGAGTGACCATCACAGCCATGATTATTGTGTCAATGCCTTGTTGATGTTCTCACGATTGTCTCTCTATCCTCTCACTGCGGGCAGTGCCAACCATTGTGAAGCTGAGGTTGCTGTTCAAGCATGAGTGTCATAGTTCAATCACTTTTTCATCTTTTCATCAAGAATCTTATCTTATCTCAACATGGGTTATCTTATCATGGATCACAGCATCACACAGTCCGGACTAGGGGCTCAGAGGGGTTATCTTTATTGATTCAAGGCTGCGCAACATATGCTCCAGAAGGTTCCACTACGACCCATGACCAGCGCTCCATGTGGTACATAGTCTTATGACTCAGACTGGATTTAGGTATAAATACTGTAGCTACTTTGTTGTATTTGTAGATGAGACTGTAAGGGCAACCTCGAGGCCCAATCTCAGAGTCCTGACAAGGGAGAGTCCAAAGCATCAGGTAAAGGGATCAACTAATACAGGAGACTTGGCAAATCTGACAAGGGAGAGTCCAAAGAGAAACCAAGTTGGGGACTCTCCTTGTCAGGGCCCACTATATATAGCCTACGGAACAATGGATGACCAATCACAATGGAAGCCCCAGACAATGGGGCCAGGGAACAATGAGGGGCTGGATCGGGGAGAACAATGGGAGCCGGACCATCAGAACAATGGGGGTCCAGGCCGGAGTGTCATGTGGACGTGCTTGGCAGGGAAGTCCGGACCGAAGCATGTGACGCCTGACAGATGGCACGTGCACAGTCACATGCAAGATCCCATGATGATCAGACAAAAGCTGTCATAATTTGACCCTTTTTCATCTTATCATAGACAATCTTATCTTATCTTGGCATGGGTTATCTTATTGCGGATCACAGCATCTGACGGTCCAGGGTAGGGGTCTGGGGTATTATCTTTATTGATTCGAGGCTGCGCGACATATGCTCTGGAAGGTTCTACTACAACCCATGACCAGTGCTCCATGCGGTACATAGTCTTATGACTCATTAGTTGTAGATATGACTCAGACTGGATTTGGGTATAAATACTGTAGCTACTTGGTTGTATTCTCCAGTCTTCAAATTCACATCTCTTTTCGACATTATTTCTTGTTGATTGTCACATAATTTGAAGACTCCCCTCATACCCTCCTACCTCATACCTCTTACCCTGCATCCCTCACTGCTATGCCCGCTATATCCTCTTAAACCCTTATCAACCAACTCACCTGACGTGCCTACGGCGCTCCTGGATTCAGAACAAGGTGGGAGGGATGGCGTAGATACCGTCAATAAGCTCCTGATTGCCCGGGACTGTGGCCGTAGGAATAGCAATGAATTCGAGGGGTTTTGGTCGGACTGAGTCAGACTTGATGCGCAATATTGCAGAGGACTAGCGGCAGCTTGGGATTAAAATAAGTGACGATGGGAGCGAAACAACAACGTAGGGATGAAATAAAAAGACCAATCTTCGAGGTGAAGGCTCCCGAAGACTCTGTGAGAAGTGGGGTAGAATCAACTTGGATTTTATGGACTGTTACATGTGTATTTATACTGTAGGTAGATGAATAGAGTCCGATTTTGGTTAGCTAGAAGAAATAAAAGGAACATGAGACCTATAATATAACGGAATGTGAAACTGGGGAAACTGTATTCTGAGAGAAATCCTGGACCAATCTCGTCCCTCTGGAGCTGCCTGGGCCCTTCCAGGAATTCAGTCCTAGTCTGGGGACCATTTCTGTGGCAGTCTTGCATCGTAGCACCGCGTTTGACAAGTGCTTGAAATGTCATAACTCGACTCTTTTTCATCTTATCATCGACGATCTTATCTTATCTTGGCACGACTTATCTTATCACGGATCACGGTATCAGACGGTCTGGGCTAGGGGTTCCAGGGGTTATCTCTATCGATTCAAGGCTGCGCGACATATGCTCCGGAAGGTTCTACTACAACCCATGACCAGTGCTCCATGCGGTACATAGCCCTATGACTCATTAGTTGTAGATATGACTCAGACTGGATTTGGGTATAAATACTGTAGCTATTTGGTTGTATTCTCCAGTCTTCGAATTCACTTCTCTTTTCGACTTTGTTTTTGGGTTGATTGTCACATAATTCGAAGACTCCCCTCATACCCTCCTACCTCATACCTCTTACCCTGCATCCTGCACCGCTATGCCCGCTATATCCTCTTAACCCTTATCACCCCACTCACCCTTTTACCGAATCATCTAGTCGTCCTCCACTATCGCAGTGAAGGGTTCATATCAAGCAAACAGCACCAGGCCACGGGTAACGTTGAGCCCGACCCAAGCCTTACGGTAGCTACAAGGAGTGCTGCAGAGACCTTCGGGAAAACGCACCTCGGGATCATCGGGCACGTGAAGAGCTAGGCCCGGGGTCTTTTTGCTAGCAAAAGAACCTTTCCTCGAGTGCTTGTACAGCACACAAATCCACCATTTCGTACCGAGTCCCATCGTCATCTGGGAGTCCATCCCCTCCCCCCATCATACCATTGTCGCCCGATCTGGCGCATCAAAACCAACCCGGGCCCTCCAACCCCTATCTCGCCCTCCCGCCGCCTGAAGACGAGTTCCCCGACCTTGGTGAGTTACCCTCCGAACAACCACCCTCGCCCCCACCTACCGCACCTGCTCCTACCATGTCAGGACATCACCGCATCACCCTCGCCGCCAATCCTCCCTACTTCGATGGCGACAAGTCCAAGTACCTGGGCTTTGTGGATGCGTGCACCACTTACATCGGTGCACCACTTACATCGGTGCCTATCGGTCAGAGTTCTCGCTGGACGAAACAAAAATCCTCTTCGTCCTGTCCTACCTCCGCAATGAGAGCGGCACAAGCTGCGCTGCCTCAAGATGGGCGATGAACTGGAAGCAGCACAGTTTCGAGGGCTTCCAAGGACTAAAAGCGGGAGTCACTGCAACAAGCTTCTTGGAGGAGCTTCAGAGGGCCTTTGGGGATTCTAACGCAGAGCAAGTCGCTGCCGCCCGACTCATGGCCCTTCGCCAGGGCAGACGGTCCTTTGCGGACTACATCTCCGACTTCGAAATGCTGGCTGCAGACGCGGGGTACAACGTGGTCACCACCACCGACAGCAAGGGCGAGTACAAGAAGGGGGAACAGGACAATATCCTCATCGAGTTCCTGGAGCGCAGACTTAGCAGCGAAATTGCAAGCCGCCTCTACAACACCGGCGTTCCCCTACCCAAGGTGTATGGTGCCTTCAAGAATTGGTGTGTCAACATCGAGGCAAACACTCTACGTGATCAGCTGCGCAAAGCATCGCATGCGCAATCCGCACCACGACCGCCTCCCCAATTCCGCCCTCAGGCAGCACCAGCGGCGCCCACGCCTGCCCCGACCCGGCCGGCTGCCAACGAACCAATCCCGATGGAAATTGATCGGACCCATGCCCGCGGCCGCAATATCATCTGCTACAACTGTCAGCAGCCTGGGCACATTGCGCGGAACTGCCCTGAGCCCAAGAAGAAGCGCACATTCTTCAATCGGGCCACAATGCTAGAAGAGATCGAGAACGGGGACAAGGACAACGAGTTCCTCAAGGAGATCGCCGAGAAGCTGCGCGAGAAGGGTTTTTGAAGCGCTCCACTCCTCTAGCCAAGGAGGTGGAGCGTCCGGACTATGGTCGTTTTTCTGTACTTGTTTCGATTAAAGATATGAACGATTCTCCTCATACATACACGATCCCAGACTCACTACGTACTAATATTCATGATTTTCTCGTTGCTGATATGGAAAAGGAACGTCAAAGGAAAATAAACTTAAATAGAGAGTATTTACAAAGTAAAAAGGATCAGAAAGCTGCAGATAATTTGGACTCCTACGTATTTATGGCTCGTGGAGAAGGAACCACGTCAACAAAGACCGAAAAGGGGAGCATCGCTCCGGAGGCTCAATCCTTGAAAAAGGAGGAAGCGCCCAAGGAATCTGCCGAAATCAAGGTTCCAGAAGCACCCAAACGCACAAGGGTGCCAGATGCCGTTCAAAGGAAATTGGCGGCCGAGAAACAGAAGGGCCCGCAGCCCAGCAGACTGGCGCAGGAATTGCGCAACTACCAGGCCGAAAGGAAGAGACATTCAATGGACGTATATGTCCAGATCACAGGCCTGGACTCAGGAAAGATGCGTGGAGTTAAGGCGCTACTTGACAGTGGCTGTAGCACCTGTTGCATCAATACCGACTACACGCGGGCAGAGAAGCTGGATATCCAAGAACTTCCCCAACCCATTGTGGCTCGTAACGCCGACAACACCGAAAACATCAGCGGCCGGATCACGCATTACGTCAATCTGAGGATGAGAATCGGTCCTCATGTGGAGACACGCACGTTCCTTCTGACGTGCTTAGGGAAAGCCCGGATCTTCATCGGTCTTGATTGGCTGATGGAACACAACCCCGAGGTGGATTGGCAGGAGCAGACCATGAAATTTAGTCGATGCCCAGAGCGGTGTCACATGAGGGGTCACGAGGAACATCAAGCGATGATTGACATGGATGCGATCGACCTGGACATGGGCACACCGGATCTGGAAGAGGGAGAATCGATCCTGTTGGTCGATTTTGGGAAGGAAGTGGACCTGCGGCTGAAGGAAACGCCGGCGCAGAAATTTGCAGAGGAAGCAGAAAAGGAGAAAGAGAGAATGACCGAGGGAAGGATCCCGGATCAATATCGGGAATTTGTCAGGGTGTTTGCCAAGGAATCGTTCGACTCGCTGCCAGACCGACGGGCATGGGATCATGCAATCGAGCTCAAACCTGGTTCCAAAGCAGTGGACTGCAAGGTGTACCCGTTATCACGAAACGAGCAGGTCAAACTCGACGAATTCTTACAAGAGAACCTGGCCAGTGGACGGATCAGGCCATCAAAATCACCCATGGCCTCAGCATTCTTCTTTGTCAAAAAGAAGGATGGTTCACTATGCCCCGTCCAGGATTATCAGAAGCTGAACGAGATGACGATCCGAAATCGATACCCGCTGCCACTGATCTCCGAGCTGGTCCATAATCTATGTGGCACCAAGTTCTTCACCAAGCTCGACATCCGATGGGGATACAATAACGTACGGATCAAAGAGGGCGACGAGTGGAAGGCTGCGTTCCGCACAAACCGCGGACTGTACGAGCCCTTGGTCATGTTCTTTGGTCTCACGAACTCCCCGGCCACCTTCCAAAACATGATGAACGACATACTCCGAGAACTGATCAACGAGGGTCACGTGGTAGTCTATCTGGACGATATACTGATCTTTACAGAGAACTTGGACGAACATCGGCGGATCACGAAACGAGTGCTCGAATTGCTCCAGAAACACAAGCTATACCTGAAGCCCGAAAAGTGCGAGTTCAAACGCACGGAAATCGAATATTTGGGTGTAATCATTGGACACAATTCGATGCGGATGGACCCAATCAAGATCAAGGGCGTGATGGAATGGCCTGAACCAAAGAGCGTCAAACAGGTCCAAGCTTTCCTCGGATTCACAAACTGCTATCGGCGCTTTGTCCGGGGATACGCGGAGGTTGCCAAGCCATTGACACGGCTGACAGGGAAGGCAGGATGGTCATGGGGTGCAGATGAGCATGCGGCATTTGATGGATTGAAGAAGAGAATTGCGGAGGATGCGGTCCTAGCACTGCCAAATGACACTGGCCAATATCGTCTGGAAGCCGATGCTTCGGAAGGGGCAACAGGATCAGTTTTGAGCCAAAACCAAGACGGCATTTGGCGCCCAATCACATTTATTTTGCACGCACTGACCAAAACCGAGCGAAATTACGAGATCTACGACAAGGAAATGCTGGCAATCATGCTATCATTGGACAAATGGAGACAGCTACTACTGGGAGCCACGGAGACGTTCGAGATCTTCACTGATCATCAGAATCTTGAGTACTTCCGGAAGCCGCAGAAGCTCAATCAACGGCAAGCACAATGGATCACAGAGTTGGCGGAGTTTGATTTCACCTTACGACACCGACCCGGCGCACTCAACCGCAAGGCGGACCTCCTGTCTCGACGAGCAGATCACGATCAGGGCAAGAACGACAACAAGGACGTCACGCTACTGAAGCCCGAGTTCTTCCGATCACAAGAAGTCACATTTGAGGGACAGGATCAGCAGCTAATCAATGAAATCAAGGCCATTCGATCAATTGATGGAAGCGTCAAGGCGGCCTTAGAGAAGTCACTCGTCGGATGGAAGAAGGAAGAGGGGCTTATCACGTATCATGGGAAGCTCTATGTACCAAGAGACGAGGAGTTGCGGGACAAGATCATTGGACTACACCACGACACCCCTTTGGTCGGACACGCTGGGATCAACCGAACACAGGAAATGGTGGAAAGGAACTACTGGTGGCCAAGGATGGGAAACCAAATTCGGAAATACATCCAGACGTGCGAAGCGTGCCAGCGGACCAAGACCAGAAGAGCCAGGACAGGGAGTTTGCACCCGCATGCAGTTCCAAACGCGCCGTGGGAAATCATCTCCATGGATCAAATCGGACCCCTGCCGGTCAGTAACGGGTATGACGCAATTCATGTGTGGTGTGACACCTTCACCAAAATGATCCATGTCGAACCAATTAGTACTGACATCAGCAGCGAAGGAGTGGCACGACTAACCAGGGACCGAGTCTTCCGCTACCACGGGATCCCTCGCAAGATCATCACCGACAGGGATTCGCGTTACATCAAGGGCTTCATGAGGGAGACGAATCGGATGTTGGGCGTGGAAATGAATCCGGGGACCGCATATCACCCGATCACGGATGGGCAGACAGAACGCATGAATCAGGAGATCGAGCATTATCTCCGCATTTACGTCAACTACCATCAGACGGACTGGTCGGAGTGGCTGGGGATGGCAGAATTTGCATATAACAATAAAATGAACACATCTACCAAAATATCGCCATTCTATGCAAATCACGGATATCACCCATGGAAGGGAGTGGAGCAACGGATGGAGTCGAGAAACGAGTCGGTGGAGGAATTTGTAAAAAGAATGAAAGAAATACAAGACGAAGCAAAAACAGCACTAGAAAAAGCAAAGGAAAAAATGAAAAAATACTACGATAAACAAAGAAAAGAAGTTCCGGAGTTGAAGGTTGGGATGAAGGTGTACATAGAAGGGGAAAATATCGAGACGGATCGACCATCAAAGAAGATGAGCGACAAGAGACTAGGGCCATACGAGATATTGGAGAAGGTTGGAGCGGCTGCATGGAAGCTGGATTTACCAGACATGGACCGAAGACATCCGGTGTTCAACGAGTCACTGTTGACACCCTATCACGAACCACCCCTCCATCGCCGAGAGAAGAGGCCTGTAGCCAAGATGATCGGAGGAGCAGAAGAGTAGGAAGTCGAAGAAATCGTGAAAGAGCGAAATGTCGGCCGAGGAAAACAGTACTTGGTCAAATGGAAGGGATGGCCGCATAGCGAGAACACCTGGGAACCATCACGTCACCTTACCCACGCGAAGAAGGTCCTGAGAGATTGGCAGAGGAAACAATCCAACCCAGACACACGCATTCGCCTCCTGCCAACTCTCGAAGCCGGACATTGGGATTATCTCATCCATCGCTACAAACCCAAAGACGAGCGCCTTCCATATCCCCAACGACAACTCTTTGATCCGTACGAAAACGTCTTCACGCCCATCGGCCTAGTCGATGAGGACATCGACCCTAGAGAGGGGGTAATGTCATAACTCGACTCTTTTTCATCTTATCATCGACGATCTTATCTTATCTTGGCACGACTTATCTTATCACGGATCACGGTATCAGACGGTCCGGGCTAGGGGTTCCAGGGGTTATCTCTATCGATTCGAGGCTGCGCGACATATGCTCCGTAAGGTTCTACTACAACCCATGACCAGTGCTCCATGCGGTACATAGCCCTATGACTCATTAGTTGTAGATATGACTCAGACTGGATTTGGGTATAAATACTGTAGCTATTTGGTTGTATTCTCCAGTCTTCGAATTCACTTCTCTTTTCGACTTTGTTTTTGGGTTGATTGTCACATGAAACCGGGATTGTGGATCATTATAAGAGACCGAATATTGAGTATTGATGGGTGATGGGAGTATCGCCACTGATGCTGAACGTCACGTGGAATGACGTGGTAAGCTGCATGAAGCACAGCTTGTGATGTGACCGCTGTTATATCAATCAGCGCCGGTCTGGTTACACAGTCAAAGTGACCACAAGCTTGTCACACCCTTTTACCGAATCATCTAGTTGTTCTCTGCAATCGCAGTGAAGGGTTTATCTCGAGCAAACAGCACCAGGCCACAGGTAACGTTGAGCCCGACCCAAGCCTTACAGTAGCTACAAGGAGTGCTGCGGAGACCTGCGGGAAAACGCACCTTGGGATCATTGGGCACGTGAAGAGCTAGGCCCGGGATCTTTTTTCTAGCAAAAGAACCTTTCCTCGAGTGCTTGTACAGCACACAAATCCACCGTTTTGTTCCGGTTCTCATTGTTGTCTAGGAGTCTGTCTCCTCCTCCCATCCTACCATTGTTGCCTGGTCTGGCGTATCAAAACCAACCAGGGCCCTCCAACCCCTATCTTGCCCTCCCGCCTCCTGAAGACAAGATCCCTGACCTCAACAAGTTGCCCTCTGAACAACCACCCTCACCTCCACCTACCATGCCTGCTCCTACCATGTCAGGACACCACCACATCACCTTCGCCGTCAACCCCCCTATTTTGATGGGGACAAATCCAAATATATTGTCAGGGGAACCCCTGCTTTCGTCCGATCATCATGGGATCTCGCATGTGACCAAGCACGGGCCGTCTGTCAAGCGTCACATGCTTCGGTCCGGACTCCCCTGCCAAGCGCACCCACATGACACTCCGGCCCGGACCCCCATTGCTCCGACGGTCCGGCTCCCATTGTTTCCCCCGATCCGGCCCCTCATTGTTCCCTGGCCCCATTGTCTGGCGCTTCCATTGTGCTTGGTCATCCATTGTTCTGTAGGCTATATATAGTGGGCCCTGACAAGGAGAGTCCCCAACTTGGTTTCTCTTTGGACTCTCCCTTGTCAGGTTTGCCAGTCTCCTGTACTAGTCGATCCCCTTATCTGACGCTTTGGACTCTCCCTTGTCAGGACTCTGAGATCGGGCCTCGAGGTTGCCCTTACAGCAGAAACCGAGTTCTTAGGGATAACTGGACAAGCTTGTGAAGACCGCCGACAGCGTCATCCGCTTCTCACTTCCAACCTTGTCCCCTCCTCCCCCTCTACAATCATCATGTCCCAAATGGAAGAAGAGGACAACCCCTCCCACCCCCAACAGAGGCTTGCGAATCTAGAGGAAGCCATGCAACGGATGGAAGGCCTCCTCCACAACCTCATAATTACACAGCAACAGCCTGCCCCTGCCCCTGCTCCGTCTCCGGCAGTGGTTCCAGGTGTATCTATTGGCCAACAGGCCAGCACGAGACCCCTCATCCGCCCCAACCCCCCATTCGCGTTCGACGGGGATCATACCCAGGGCAAGACGTTTCTCCATTCCGTCAAGCAATACTGGCGCCTCCTCCCTGAGGCCTTCCATGTGAACGGAGTAGTATCAGAAGAGCGGGTGGTACATTTCACTCTCTCCTACATGTCCAAGGACTCGGCGGCCTCCTGGTCAGAACGCATGTCAGAGCGCCTCATCTTCCCATTCCCGACTTGGTCCTCCTTTGTGGCCGAGTTCAAGCTCTGGTTTGTTCAGGAGAACGAGCAAGACCACGCCCTGGCACGACTGGAGACCCATGCTTACTACATGGGATCCCGCGACATGTTCAAATACACGGACGAGTTCGATGACCTTCTCGACTTGGCGGGGTACTCCGACAACTTGGTCAAGGTCACCAAGTACCGGGCGGGTCTGGACCCCAGAATCAATCAGGCGATCACGACCTCCGGTAACCCGCCTAGCCTCACAAACTACTCGGAGTGGCGTACCCGCGCATTCCGCCAGTACAACGCCGAGGTGGCCGCCCGAGCAGCACGAGGACAGGTGTTCTCTTCACCCCGCGCTCCGCCTCCTGCGGCTCCCCGCCCTCGCCCCATGGCTCCTCCAGTGGTCGCCCCACCCCCTGCTCCCCGACCAGCCCCGGTAGTCCTCCCACCAGGCATTCCCATGGAGATCAACCAAACCCGAGCCCGCAGCAGTGTTCGTCGCACATGCTTCCGATGCGGCAGCCCAGGACATCTGGCCCGAGACTGCCCAACCGCCGCTGATGTCCGGCACACCGACGTACTGGACGAAGTGATCAATCAGCTGGGAAGCGACCTGTTGGCGGAATTAGTAGCCCGGCTAGCAACTACGGCGGCCGTAGAAGAGCATGAAGCAGAGATTGCCGACGAGTTGGAGCAGGGTTTTCTCCCCGCGACGAGTGAATAGTACACCCTCGATCGCCTCACGTAATTGTTTCGAATGTCTGTATGATGAATGCGACCTCATTTCCCCCACAAACAAAACGATAGACGTACCTCCTGCCCCCCGCTCAGTCCCGCTGGTCCGCAAGGAAAAGTGGGAACGAAAACTCCCTCAGCGCTATGTGATTGCGGCCTCCCCTGGCGCCAACTCCCTGCACCTCCCCCTGGAGATCCAGTCCACCGACAACGCAGTCCAGCTCTCCCTCAACGGACTGGTCGACTGCGGCGCCACGTCGGACTTCATCGACTCCACCTACGCCTCCGAAAACCGACTTCCGGTCCGGCAGCTCTCCCAGCCTGTCCCAGTCTACAACGTGGACGGCACGCCAAACGAAGCTGGCTCCGCTCGACAAGTTGCCGATGTGGTCCTGTGTTACCGAGGACACAGTGAGCGGGTCCAGCTTGCTGTCACTCGGCTTGGCAAGCAGAAGCTGATCCTCGGCTACTCCTGGCTTCGGAAGCACAACCCGGAAATTAACTGGGACACGCAGGAAGTGAAGATGAGCCGCTGCCCGTCTGGCTGCTCCACCTGCACCGAGGAGTCCCGCCAAGAGAGACGGATAGCCCGAATTTCGGCCCGAGCACTCCGGTCAGCCCGACAAGGCCCTGCCCCCTCCATCTGCGTCGTCGACATGGAAGACCGCGGAGACGAGGCTATGCCGCTACTCCAGGAAGACGACAGAGAAGATTCCGATGAAGAAGAAGACTGTCTGGAAACCGGTGACCGTATCTTCTACACCCGTTTCAACCCTTCTGAAGACATCCGAGCCACTAGCACCGTCTCCCAGCGTCTCGCAGAGGCGTTTGCCAAGAACTCTGCCCCCTCTCGAGATTCCATACCCGAGTGGGCGCGCGAGTTTGAGGATGTTTTCAGCAAAGAATCCTTCGACAATCTTCCGGAACGTCGCCCTTGGGACCACGCCATCGAACTGGTGCCCGATGCAAAGCCAACAAACTGCAAGGTCTACCCTATCTCCCCCCTGGAGCAGAAGCAGCTCGACGCTTTCATCGAAGAAGGCATGGCCACCGGCCGAATCCGACCCTCGAAGTCCCCCATGGCCTCCCCCGTCTTCTTTGTCAAGAAGAAGGATGGCAGCCTACGGTTTGTCCAGGATTACCGGGCACTGAATGCAATGACAGTGAAGAATCGGTACCCCCTTCTCTTGATCAACGACCTGATCAACAAGCTCAAGGGAGCCCGCTTCTTCACCAAACTCGATGTTCGGTGGGGCTTCAACAACGTACGGATACGAGAAGGAGACAAGTGGAAGGCTGCGTTTCGGACCAACCGTGGGCTCTTCGAGCCACTGGTGATGTATTTCGGCCTTACCAACTCCCCTGCGACGTTCCAGACCATGATGAATGACATCCTCCAGGACCTCATCCTCTCGGGCGACGTCATGGTATACCTGGACGACATCCTCATTGCGCACTCCGACCCTCACCTCCATCGTCGTATTGTAAATAAAGTCCTCCGGCGCCTCCGCGAAAACAAGTTGTATCTCCGAGCCGAGAAGTGCGAATTCGAGATGGAGTCCATTGAGTACCTTGGCGTGATCATCTCCCACAACCACGTCGAGATGGACCCCGTCAAAGTGGCGGGCGTAGCTGAATGGCCGGCCCCCTCTAACAAGAAGGAAGTGCAGCAGTTCCTTGGGTTCACTAACTTCTATCGGAGGTTTATCCGGGACTTCTCGCACGTTGCACGCCTGCTCTTTGACCTCACCAAGAAGGACGTACCGTGGTCTTGGGGCGACAACGAGTCCACTTCGTTCCAGGCCTTGAAGGATGCAGTTACCTCCACGCCGGTTCTTCTCCTCCCAGACTCCTCTCGTCCTTACCGCCTAGAAGCTGACAGCTCCGATTTTGCCACAGGAGCCGTCATCTCGCAGCAGTCCCCCTTGGATGACAAGTGGCACCCAGTCGCCTTCTTCTCCAAGAGCCTTAATGACGTCCAGCGCAACTACGAGATCCACGACAAAGAGATGCTCGCAATTGTGCGGGCGCTGGAGGAGTGGCGGCACTTCCTGGAGGGCGCCAAACACCCCGTGGAGATCTGGACCGATCACAAGAACCTGGAGTACTTCCGCAAGGCCCAGAACCTCAACCGCCGGCAAGCCCGTTGGTTGCTCTACCTATCCCGCTTCGACTTCACGCTCCACCACCAACCCGGCCGGCTCATGGGACGACCAGACGCGCTCTCCCGGCGCCCGGACCACGGAGCCCCTTCAGACAACACGGACGTCACCCTGTTGAAACCGGAACTGTTCCATGTGCGAGCACTCGAAGGACTGTCCGTCTCTGGCCTGGAAGCCCTGCTTGTCCGTGACATTCGGGAATCGCTCTCCGGTGACCCTGACCTCGAGGAAGAACTTGCGCTTATAGCGCGACGGCTTCTGAAAGGGATGAAGGGGGCCCGCTCCGCTGTAGCAGCGGAATGGTGCATCCAGGACGGCCTCCTCTACTTCCATGGGAAGCTAGTGGTTCCGCGTGACAGAGACCTATGGCGACGCATCCTTGAGCAACACCACGACACCCGCGTTGCAGGGCATGCAGGCCGCTTCAAGACGCTGGAGCTGGTCTCCCGGAATTACTGGTGGCCCCAGCTCTCACGACATGTTGGCCGGTACGTGGCCACCTGCGACCTGTGCTGTCGGACCAAGGCCCTCCGACGACTCCCCACCGGAGAGCTTCACCCCACGGAGATCCCCTCGGAGCGTTGGGAATCGGTGTCAGTGGACTTTATCGTGGAGCTGCCTGAGGCGCATGGCTACGATGCCATCATGGTGGTCGTTGATATGCTAGGGAAGCGTGCTCACTTCATTGAGTGCCACACTCGCCTCTCGGCCGAAGGGATGGCTCGATTGTTCTACAAGCATGTCTGGCGACACCACGGATTACCCATCAAATACGTCTCGAACCGTGGCCCTCAGTTTGTGGCAGACTTCACCCAAGAGCTATGGAAGCTGGTTGGCGTCTCCCCTGCCACGTCCACCGCTTACCACCCGCAGACTGATGGCCAGACCGAACGGGTCAACCAGGAGTTGGAACAGTACCTCCGGATCTTCACCAGCTACAAGCAGGACAACTAGGATGAGCTCTTGCCTGCAGCTGAGTTCGCTTACAACAACCACGTCCACTCCTCGACCCAGCAGGTTCCCTTCATGACGGACACAGGACGTTTACCACGCATGGGATTCGAGCCAACAGAGCAGCGCTCCACCCGAGCAGAGTCTGCCAACGAGTTTCTGGACCGAGTCGCGTCGGGTGTAACCGAGGCTAAATCAGCACTGGTCAAAGCAAAAGACGAGTACAAGAGGTACTATGACCGACAAAGGACTACCGCTCCCGACATCAAGGTTGGCAGCCGGGTCTGGCTCGACGCCTCAGACATCACGACAACGCGACCCTCTCGCGGCCTCTCCCACCGACGCCTGGGCCCCTTCAAAGTCACCCAAGTCGTGGGCCGGGGCGCATACAAACTCGCCCTCCCCACCAGCCTCTCTCGCCTCCACCCAGTCTTCCCTGTGGTCAAGCTCCAGTTGGCCGAGAACAACCCGTTCCCCACTTGCCTGCGTCACGAGGAACCACCCCCTGTCCTGGGACAAGGCGAAGGGGAGGAGTGGGAAGTGGAGGAGATCCTAGACGCAAAAATGCACTACCGGAGTGTCTGGTTCCGAGTACGATGGAAGGGCTATGACCCGTCTCACGACCAGTGGGTCAAGCACTCAGACGTTTTTGCTGACGACGCAGTAGCAGCGTTCTACCGCAGATACCCGGGGAAGCCACGCGTTATTGCAGCAGCCGTATTCGACTCGCTACCCTTCAGGAACTCGTCGACCCCTAACCGTACCTTGCATCGAGGCGCCGCAATCAAGAGGGGGGGTGATGTCAGGGGAACCCCTGCTTTCGTCCGATCATCATGGGATCTCGCATGTGACCAAGCACGGGCCGTCTGTCAAGTGTCACATGCTTCGGTCCGGACTCCCCTGCCAAGCGCACCCACATGATACTCCGGCCCGGACCCCCATTGCTCCGACGGTCCGGCTCCCATTGTTTCCCCCGATCCGGCCCCTCATTGTTCCCTGGCCCCATTGTCTGGCGCTTCCATTGTGCTTGGTCATCCATTGTTCTGTAGGCTATATATAGTGGGCCCTGACAAGGAGAGTCCCCAACTTGGTTTCTCTTTGGACTCTCCCTTGTCAGGTTTGCCAGTCTCCTGTACTAGTCGATCCCCTTATCTGACGCTTTGGACTCTCCCTTGTCAGGACTCTGAGATCGGGCCTCGAGGTTGCCCTTACATATATGGGCTTTGTGGACTCATGCACCACCTACATTGGTGCCTATTGGTCGGAGTTCTTGCAGGATGAGACAAAAATCCTCTTCATCCTCTCCTACCTCCGCAACGAGGCTGGGACAAGCTGCACCGCCTCGAGATGGGCAATGAACTGGAAACAGCGCAACTTTGAAAGCCTTAATGGAATAAAGGTTGGGGTCACCTCAGCAACCTTCTTAGAGGAACTTCAGAGGGCCTTTGGGGAATCCAACGTGGAGCAAGTTGCCGCCGCTCGACTCATGGCTCTGCGCCAGAATAGGTGATCCTTCGCAGATTATATCTCCAACTTTGAGATGCTGGCTGCAGACACGGGCTACAATGTGGTCACCTCCACCGACAACAAGGGCGAGTACAAGAAGGGGGATCAGGACAACATTCTCATTGAGTTCCTCGAGCGCAGGTTGAGCAGCGAGATCACAAGTTGCCTCTACAACACTGGTGTCCCCTTGCCCAAGGCGTATGGTGCCTTCAAGGACTGGTGTGTCAACATCGAGGCAAATGCTCTGCGCAATCAGCTGCGCAAAGCATTGCACGGGCACTCCACGCCACAACCACCTCCCCAATTCCGTCCTCAAGCCACTCCAGCAGCACCTGCACCTGCTCCAACCTAACCCGCTGCCAACAAACCAGTTCCAATGGAAGCTGATCGCACCCATACCCGGGGCCACAATATCATTTGCTACAACTGTCAGCAGCCCGGGCACATTGTGTGGAACCGCCCAGAGCCGAGGAAGAAGCGCACGGTCTTCAAGTGGGCCATGATGCTTGAAGAGATTGAGAACGGGGACAAGGACAACGAGTTCCTCAAGGAGATCGCCGAGAAGCTGCGCAAGAAGGGTTTTTGAAGCGCTCCACTCCTCTAGCCAAGGAGGTGGAGCATCTGGACTATGGACATTTTTCTGTACTTGTTTCGATTGAAGATATGAACGATTCTCCTCATACATACACAATCTCAGACTCATTACGTACTAATATTCACAACTTTCTTATTGCCGAGATGGAAAAAGAACGCCAGGAAAAAATAGCTCTAAATAGAAAATACTTACAAGATAAAAAGGATCAGAAGACAGCGGCTGCGGATAAATTATTTTTGGAAACATATTTATGGCTCGTGGAGAAGAAACCACGTCAACAAAGACCGGAAAGGGGAGCGTTGCTCCGAAGGCTCGTTCCTTGGAAAAGGAGGAAGCACCTAAGGAATCTGCCGAAATCAAGTTTCCAGAAGCACCCAAACAAACCAGGGTGCCAGATGCCGTCCAGAGGAGATCAGCAGCCGAGAAACAGAAGGGCCCTCAACCCAGTAGGTTGGCGCAGGAGTTGCATAACTACCAGGTAGAGAGGAAGAGGCATTCAATGGACGTATATGTCCAGATCACAGGCCTGGACTCAGGGAGGACACGTGGGGTCAAGGCACTGCTTGACAGCGGTTGCAGTACCTGTTGCATCAACACTGACTACGCGCGGGCAGAAAGATTGGATATCCAGGAACTCCCCCAACCCATCATGGCCCAAAACGCCGACAACACCAAGAACTGTCGCAGACAATATTGCGCAGTGGAGATACGACCAGTAGCAATCACCTATAGAGACAGAGTCTCAGCGAGTGTAGAAGACACAGAGCTAACATTAGCAGTACCTATAGAGACAGAGTCTAGGTACAAGTCATGAGTATGAGTCGTAAGAGATCATAAGAGAGTATGCATACCTCAGCAAGTGTAGAAGACACAGAGCTGAGGATATGGAGCATATAGTACTAGGTTTATATACCAGTCTGGAGCAGATATCATGATGTCATAGTGGAGTAGTGATATCATAGATGAGTAATGGATGACGCAATAATGAGGTCAGGTATGAGGTCATTGTGGAGCGAGCCAAAGTAATCTAAAGATACTACATATGATGTCATGTCTACATACTGTGATAGTCGCTAATACAAACAACCTTCAACAAGAACATCAGTGGCCGGATCACCCACTATGTCGATTTGAGGATGAGAATCGGCCCTCATGTGGAAACACACATGTTCCTCCTGACGTGCTTGGGAAAAGTCCGGATCTTCATCGGCCTTGATTGGCTGACAGAGCATAACCCCAAGGTGGACTGGCAAGAGCAGACAATGAGATTCAGCCAATGTCCAGAACAGTGTAACATGAGGGGTCACAAGGAGCACCAGGCAATGGTAGATATGGACTTGGTTGACCTGGACACGTGTGCATCAGAGTTGGAGGAAGGAGAATCAATCCTATTGGTCAACTTTGGGAAGGAGGTTGATCTACGGCTAAAAGAAACGCTGGTGCAGAAGTTCGCAGAAGAAGCGGAAAAGGAGAAGGAGAGAATGACCGAAGGGAAGGTTCCGGATCAATACTGGGAATTCATCAAGGTGTTCGCAAAAGAATTGTTTGACTCGCTACCAGACAGACGCACATGGGACCACGCAATTGAACTCAAACCCGGTTCCAAGGCAGTGGACTACAAGGTCTACCTGCTGTCATGGAATGAACAGGTCAAGCTGGACGAGTTCCTTGAGGAGAATCTGGCCAGTGGACGTATCAGACCATCCAAATCACCCATGGCCTCGGCGTTCTTCTTTGTCAAGAAAAAAGACGGCTCCCTATGGCCTGTCCAAGATTATCGAAAACTGAACAAAATGACCATCAGAAACCGGTACCCATTGCCACTGATCTCTGAACTAGTTCACAAGCTGTGCGGTGCGAAATTCTTCACAAAATTGGACATCCGATGGGGATACAATAATGTCCGGATCAAAGAAGGTGACGAATGGAAGGCCGCATTCCAGACAAATCGTGGTCTATACAAACTGTTAGTAATGTTCTTTGGACTGACAAACTTGCCGGCAACGTTCCAGAACATGATGAACAATATCCTACAGGAAGTAATCAACGAGGGACATGTTGTGGTCTATCTGGACGATATACTGATCTTCACAGATAATCTGGATGAACATTGATGAATCACCAAACGGGTATTCGAGTTGCTGCAAAAGCACAAACTGTACCTGAAGCTGGAAAAGTGCGAGTTCGAACGCACAGAGATCGAGTATCTGGGTGTAATCATTGAACACAACTCGATGCAGATGGACCCTGTGAAGATCAAGGGCGTGATGGAATGGCCGGAACCAAAGAGCGTCAAACAAGTCCAAGCTTTCCTTGGATTCACAAACTTCTATCAACGCTTTGTTCGGGGATATGCGGAGGTGGCCAAACTGTTAACACGGCTGACAGGGAAGGCAGGATGGTCATGGGGTATGGATGAGCTTGCAGCATTCGATGGATTAAAGAAGAGAATTGCGGAGGATGCGGTCTTAGCACTGCCAAATGACACCGGCCAATATCGTCTGGAAGCTGATGCTTTGGAAAGGGCAACAGGATCTGTTTTGAGCCAAAACCAAGATGGCATTTGGCGCCCAATTGCATTTATTTTGCACGCATTGACCAAAACCAAGCAAAATTACAAGATCTACAACAAGGAAATGCTGGCAATCATGCTATCATTGGACAAATGGAGACAGCTACTACTGGGAGCCACGGAGACGTTCGAGATCTTCACTGATCATCAGAATCTTGAGTACTTCCGGAAGCCGCAGAAGCTCAATTGACGGCAAGCACAATGGATCACAGAATTGGCAGAATTCAATTTCACCTTACGACACCGGCCCAGCGCACTCAACCGCAAGGCAGATCTCCTATCACAATGGGCAGATCACGACCAAGGCAAGAACGACAACAAGGACATCACCTTGTTGAAGCCCAAGCTGTTCCAATCACAAGAAGTTATATTCAAGGGACAGGATCAACAGCTGACCAATGAGATCAAGGCCATTCGATCAATTGATGGAAGTGTCAAGGCAGCATTGGAGAAGTCTCTCCCCGGATGGAAAAAGGAAGATGGACTTATCACGTATCACGGGAAGCTCTACGTACCAAGGGACAAGGAGCTACGAGACAAGATCATTGGACTACACCATGACACGCCTCTCGTTGGACACGCGGGGATCAACTGGACACAGGAAATGGTGGAAAGGAATTATTGGTGGCCAAGGATGGGAAATCAGATCCGAAAATACATCCAGACGTGCGAGGCGTGCCAATGGACAAAGACAAAGAGGGCAAGGACAGGAACTCTGCATCCACACGCAGTACCAAGTGCCCCATGGGAAATCATCTCAATGGACCAAATTGGACCTCTACCAGTCAGCAATGGGTATGATGCAATTCATGTGTGGTGTGACACCCTCATAAAAATGATTCACGTGGAACCAATCAGTACTGACATCACTAGCAAAGGAGTAGCACAGCTAACTTGGGACCGGGTCTTCCGTTATCACGGGATCCCTCGCAAGATCATCACTGACAGGGATGCACGGTACATCAAGGGCTTCATGAAGGAAACAAATTGGATGTTGGGAGTAGAGATGAACCCTGGGACTGCATACCACCCAATCACGGATGGGCAGACAGAACGCATGAATCAGGAGATCAAGCATTATCTCCGCATCTATGTCAATTACCATCAGACAGATTGGTCGGAGTGGCTGGGAATGGCGGAGTTCACATATAACAACAAAATGAACACATCCACCAAAGTATTGCCATTTTACGCAACCACAGATATCACCCATGGAAAGGAGTAGAGCAGAGGATGGAATCGAGGAATGAGTCGGCGAAGGAACTTGTGAAAAGAATGAAAGAAATACAAGACAAAGCAAAAACAGCATTAGAAAAAGCAAATGAAAAAATGAAAAAATGAAAAAATACTATGATAATCAAAGAAAAGAAGTTCCGGAGTTGAAGGTTGGGATGAAGGTGTATGTGGAAGGAGAAATTATTGAGACAGATAGGCCATCAAAGAAGATGAGCGACAAGAGATTAGGGCCGTACGAGATTCTGGAGAAGGTTGGAGCGGCTGCATGGAAACTGGACTTGCCGGATACGGACCGGAGACACCCGGTGTTCAACGAGTCATTGTTAACACCCTATCACAAACCACCCCCCCATTGCCAAGAGAAGAGACCCGTGGCAAAGATGATTGGAGGAGCCAAAGAGTGGGAAGTCAAAGAGATCATGAAAGAACGGAAAATTGGCCGAGGGAAACAATACTTGATCAAATGGAAGGGATGGCCGCACAGCGAAAACACCTGGGAACCATCGCGTCACCTTACCCACGCAAAGAAGGTCTTGGCAGCCTGGGAGAAAAAACAATCTGATCTGAACACCCACATTCGCGCTGTGCCAATACTCCGAGCTGACCACTGGGATTACCTCATCCATTGCTACATACCCAAAGACGAGCGGCTTCCATATCCCTGACAACAACTTTTTGACCCCCATGACAACGTCTTCACACTGATCGGCCCTGTCGATGAGGACATTGACCCTAGAGAGGGGGTAATGTCATGATTCAATCATTTTTCACAATCATTCCATCAATCACCTTATCTTATCATTGACATGGGACTATCTTATCACGGATCACGGTACCACACGGTCCGGGTTTAGGGTTCAAGAGGGTTATCTGCACAGGAGGTCGCGCAGCGTGTGCTCCAGAAGTCTATACTACAACCCATGACCAAAGCTCCACACAGTACATAGTCAGATGACTCATTTGATGTAGATAAGACTCAGGCTGGACTTAGTATAAATACAGTAGCCATTGTGTTGTATTCTCCAGTCTTGGAATTGACTTGTCTTTTCGATCATATTCTGTGTTGATTGTCACACAGGCTATGATGGGTTGTGAAAGCTCTTGGATGTCCAATCTCTCCGCTTGTGCGTAGTCGGTATCAATATAACAGGTGCTACAACCACTATCAAGCAGTGCCTTGACCCTGCGTGTTTTCCCCAAATCCAGGCCCCCTGCCCCCAAAATAGCCAGCTGCCCCCTGCACCCCTGCTGGGGGTACCTGCTGTGCAAACTCTAGAGCTATGTCTAAGGGCATCCAGTAGGTACCCCATGGGGCCTATACCATGAGATGGTGGTGGTAACAATGTCCCATGTTTCCTAGAATGAAAGAAATGATGGGAGGGTTAGCTTCAAGAATCTTGCTGGATTTTTCCAGAGAATCTGACCCCAATTGAGTAGTCTATTGGTAAATTACTGTATGTGGTTCATGGAACCAACATGGATTAAGGACTTGAACAGGACCACAGTTCAAGTAATTTTGTGTCTTTGTACAAAAGACTCAAGGATTGTTTCTTGTATATTTCACAATATCTGCATGCATTTTTCTTTGGATTTCACATGTCAAAACATTATGAGCTTGTATTATACACGGTTCAAATATCTCAATTTTCACATACTTACTCCAAAGTGTCCAAATTGGCCTCTTGGGCCATAAAAGTTGTTCAATGTGAAGAAAAGATTTTCACTCAGGGCTAGTGCCTGCGAGTCTATCACTCATGATGGCGGTGATAAGTGAAGTTCTGGTGACTCCGTGTTTATCATCTCTTCTCTGGGTCTGCCTTATGTTAAACGGACTGGGCCTCGCCCGACGGACACGGACCAAAGTTGATGTGTTATTGTCTCCGCATTGCGACGTTCCCTGATATTCCCGAGGCTCCCTCATGATTGGTGGAACATCACCGAGTGCGATTTAGAAGCTTTATATTCGAATCGTTGCTCCAGTCTGTGCTGCAGAATTTCCCACATCGACAGCTCATGAACTCGAGTAGCCCGAAGATGGTACGCGTCGCCGTCACCCAGGCCGAGCCATGCTGGTTCGATCTGAATGCGGCGGTAGCCAAAACGTGCCAGCTGATCGTTACAGCGGCAGAGAATGGTGCTAAGCTCGTCGTCTTTCCTGAGTGTTGGATTCCTGGATATCCTTGTTGGATTTGGTGAGTGCGCTACAATTCTAGACTGCTGCACAAGCCTGAAACCTTTCAAGGACACGACTGGTGGACTTTGACCTCGGTGTAAAGTACATCAAGAACAGCCTGAGCGTCTCTTCGCCCCAGATGCGAGCTATCCAGGCTTGCGCAAAGGACAACGACATCGCTGTGTGTCTCGGGTTTTCGGAGAACGAGAACAACAGTCTCTACATTGCTCAAATCATGGTGGGGCCCGACGGTACGTTGTCTGGGCACCGCCGCAAGATGAAGCCCACGCACATGGAGAGAACCGTGTTTGGAGACGCGTCGGGCCACTGTCTCACCGCTGTCTCACCACTTCCGCTTCTCCGGCCCGCAAGCGAGGATCTGGTCCGCGTCGGGGCACTCAGCTGTTGGGAGCACATACAGCCGCTCCTGAAATTTGCGACGCTTGCGCAGGGAGAGGATATCCACGTCGCTGCCTGGCCGAGCCTCGAGGTGCACAAAGACGATGGGCCGGGTTTGTGGAGCATGTCGCGGGAAGGATGCCACACGCAGTCGCGGATGTATGCTATCGAAGCGGGGTGCTTCGTGTTGCACTGCACAGCGCTTACGAGCGACAAATCTATTGCTGCGCACAACAACGCGGGCGGTGCGATCATGGCTCAGCCCGGAGGTGGGTCGTCTGCCGTGTTCGGGCCTGATGGACGACGTTTGAGTGAGCCTCTGGATGAGCACACGGAGGGGATTGTCTATGCGGATCTGGATATGGACGCCATTTTGAGGGTCAAGATGTTTGCGGATTGTACTGGCCACTATAGTCGGCCCGATCTTTTGAGGCTGATGGCGGACAAGGAAGTCAAAAATGTTCTTAGTAATACTTCATAATTCAACGCTGTATCCAGTTCAGACATACAAGCAAGGAATTTTGATTTACGCGCCTCATGATTCCAGAAGACTCCGCGCAGAATGTCCTTCATCCACTCGAGCCACCGAGATTCCGCGCTATGAGGTATAAACTAGTCCTCGTTTCTCGAATTAATGAGCCGAACCTTTTCCAGAATTACGAAGGAGGAACTCGGAGGACTTGCTTGCGCTGAGGGTGGATGATTTGATGAAGGAACGGGAAAACAGGTACAATATATCAACTAGACTCGAGCCAGTCACTATTCGCATCAATGAACACACGATCGTCCTCTTGACCTGTCACCATAGGGACTGGATTGGAGTCTAATACGTACCCTTTTGTCGCTTCCCTCCTACGTCCATCAGCCATCCTGGTCAGGCAGCTAGAAGGCTCCCATGACTACGCCCGAGCTGGTTAAATATGGCGAAGCTGCGTGAACACGTTCACCACGAACGCGAGCTCGCGTAATCTTCGTTTCGCCTAGATCAAGCTCAAGATCAAGACGCTAGTGTCCCAGGGTCTTTCTGCCGACCGGTCAAGTTGGCCTGTGTTAAAACAGCCAGAAAGGGAGCTGCACGGCGTCGACCCGAAGCCAGTAGGAGACTTGTGGTCGCGCTCAACGAGGCGGAGGAAACGTGGGCTGGAGAGAGACAAAAGCGGGCTGGTTGGTTCGCGGGCTTTCTGGCTGTACGCCTAGACATCTCAGTCCCGAAAGAGAGCGCGACCAGCTGCAGGAGACGACAGACCAGATCAAAAGCGCCGGTGGGGGGAAGCAAAGCGTCCGTTTCATGAATGCGCTCCATAAATGGTGTGCCAAGGGTGGTCTGAAGGGGTTCATTGTTAGCACATGAGTCGAACACTGCTTGGAATGGGAATACTTCCTGAAATTTGCTTGGCCTGGTCATTCGTCGAAGACACATCCAGCGGCCGCCGCAAGAGCCGTCGGTTCAGAGGGCCGACGTCGCTGATGATGATCACTTATCTCTATTCTTAGGCATGTTGACTTTCAACTTAGACCAGGTTGGCTTTTCCCTGTACCTGTCGTCCACTGGTCGGGAGCTCTGGAGCAACATTCTTGACGACCGATCGAGGCTCATTTATGCTTTTTCGAGAACTACACCTGCGCGACCACTGCATACGCTCTCAAACACTCACGTCAAAGCCGGCATCGAAGTAACTTTCGGTACGTAACCGACTCACTCTGCGATTGGACGCACTGATCCTGTAAAGCATCATATGCCCCGACCTCAGGACCTGTATTTCACCGAACGGGAGCAGCGCGGACCGCGGCGCAAAGCTAAACGTGAGCTTTACCGCGTGTTTGGTCCTTCTTGCAAGACCACTGAACAGTCTCGGGAGATGCTCAGGAAATGCTCAAGCTCAGGTCGTTGATCCTATCAACATCGACATTGAGACGGTACGACACCAACGTTTTCAGCACCGAGAATGGGCAGCTACTCCTCAGACGAAAGAGGATGGGGTCATCTGGAATGCAAAAGAGGCATGGATAGCCGTGGTAAGTTCTCCCGATCGGCCTGATCTCCCCACTCTGACGTGCGTCTCTCAGACGTTTTTTCCAGTTTACACCCATTCATCACGGGCCTCGGAGACTATAATCTGGGAATATTGCACTGAACGCTAGGTCAGCGGTTGGCAACCCCGCTGCCATGTGAACGCTCCCGTGTGAATGCTGATGCGCGGATTTTAGCATTCCCTGACCTATTGCCTGGTTGTCGGGGCGGTTCCTCTTCGGGAGAAAGCAATGGGTCCCGGCGCGTCCGGATTCGCCATCTTTATGACCATCACTGCCCGCGTGTGCGAGAGCCAACTTGGATCTAAACCCGCAGCTCGTGGATTGTATAAAGAGGTGCAGAGCGAGCTGGTGAAAACTCAGTCTCGCTCTCTCTCTGTCCTCGGTGACACACACACACGGACTAAATGCTCTCTCTGTCGACCTTCCTGCATCTGGCGACGCTCGTCGCGGTCGCTGTCGCAATGCCCAGCAACGTCACCCGCACCGACACCGCCAAGCGCGCGACGTGCACGGTCAACAGCGTCTCGAGCGCGTCCAAGCTCTCGGGCTGCTCGAATGTCGTGATCGAGGCGTTCACCGTCCCGTCCGGGTCCACGCTCACCATTGCGGTAAGTCGATCGGCCGCCGTTGCCTTTTGCCGCGCTCATCCGCTTCACAGGCTGCCAGCGGTGCGACCGTGACGATGAACGGGGACATCACGTTTGCCAAGACATCCTGTCAGTTCGCGTCCTCGACCGCTCGGGACTATTCATGGAATACTCATTTGTTCCAGCTGCGGGTCCTTTGATCACATTCAACACGAACAACATCAACTTCAACGGCGGTAACCACAAGATCAATGTCGGTTGCGATATCCGCGTTGCGCAGCGCCGTCGATTGACCGAGTTTGCAGGGCAACGGTGCTGCTTACTGGGACGGAAAAGGCACCAACGGCGGCTCGACCAAGCCCCATCCTTTCGTCAAGTTGCGCTGCCTTGTGTCGCCGAGGCTTGAAGCTAACGAGCACGTTTTCAGATTCAAGGGCTCTGGCACGTTCGCGTCGGTCACGGTCCTCAACTCTCCGGCTCAGGCCATCTCCGTCGGCACCACCGGCGCTACTCTGATCCAGCAGGTGACCGTGGACAACTGTGCGTGGTCAATCTGGGATATCATCACCTGCTGACACCCAGCATACTCGCCAGCGGCCGGATCCTCGCTCGGCCACAACACCGACGGGTTCGACATCAGCGCCGACTCGGTGACCGTGTCCCAGTGCAAGGTCATGAACCAGGACGACTGCGTCGCGGTCAACAAGGGCAACGCGATCACGATCCAGGACACGACCTGCATCGGCAGCCACGGGATCTCGATCGGGTCGATCGCGTCGGGCCACTCGGTGACGAACTTCCGCGCGGCGCGCAACACGATCAGCGGCGGGCTGTACGGTCTGCGCATCAAGGTCGACGCGAGCGCGACCGGCGCCAAGGTCTCTGATGTCACCTACGACTCGTGCGTCTGCTTCGTAAATGGGTGTGGACCGTCGGTTCGATGCACTGACTCTGCCTCCTTCCCCCAGGAACGTGATCTCGGGCATCAGCGACTACGGTGTGCTGATCACACAGAGCTACCCCGCCAACGACGGCACGCCCGGAAAGGGCGGGCCGATCTCGAACGTGGCGTTCACGGGTGGAACGACGACGGTCGCGGTTGACAGCAGCGCGCAGTCGGTCGTGATCGACTGCGGCGCGTGCTCCGGAAACTGGAACTTTGCGGGTCTGAAGGTGACCTCGGCGGGCAAGGGCCACAAGATTGCTGCTGACAAGGCGGTGGTGGGTGCTTCTTTCTTTCACTGCTTATCGTTGAAAACTCAACATCTGGTTGCAGATCAGCGGTGGATCCTACTAAAGAAGAAATGTTTGTGTCATTGCTGTATTGTTGTTCTGTGTGTTCTGTGCTCTTGTATCAAATCGAAATACCCTGAATTTGGTTGAACTATTCTGACTTGAAACCCGTTGTGTGACTGGTCCATTCCATGGTCCGACACCGGTGTGAAGGGGTAGAAAATCGCCGTGGATTGGTGGATCCTCATCACGTGCAAGTCCTCCGCTCTCCTGATTTGGAAATATCTATTATGTAATCCTTCTACAAGATAAACGAACAGTTCGTCTCAGAATCCCAGCTCTTCAACAAGACTCTGCCATGTTACATCCAATGGGGGCGAAGTCGTCGCGAAGTCGGCAAACTCGGGCAGAAGTCCATAGTCCGTCCCGGCCATTGCAGAGGCCATGTCTACATCGCTCACGTAGAACTGAGACGGCTCCCCCACATCGAAGCTGTCCATGTCCTGCGCACTGGTCGGGTGCATCTGCGAGCGCTCGCTTGTGGCTTCGGCAGACAAGTCAGTCGGGTCGACTTGTTCCGTCCTCCAGTCGTTGAAGTCGGCCGGGGGAGCTGGCGTAGGGGTCACCAGGTGCGTCCGCCCACCCAGACGATCCAGATCGGCAGGCGTGACTATGCATGCCTGGGGTGGAACGATATCCGGGTTTTTGGCGACGGCTGCTTGTGCTTTGTGGTTCAGCATCATAACGGCTCCCTGCGCGAACTCAAGCTCAGAAACAGCGATACAGAATAACTGATGAACTCTCACATTCATGCACTGGGCAAATCGGCTGTTAGAAGCTGCGTCTTGGAACAGCTGCGACACGACTTCCAGCTCTTCCAGGGCCGACGCCGTCATCTTAGACGATGGGGCGCGGATCACTAACACACACATGACAAGCTTCGAAGGATGAGCACCAGCAGTAGCCCTGGAAACAATACAAGACTCACCGCAGCTGACACCGCAGGAGACCAGGCACACCCGATGCGAGACACCGCTGGCCCTTGATCTCTCCATATTGAAGCAAGGCGAATGAGCCGCCACGCAGATCGATACGTCGCCATGACAGAGGGAATGTATCGATGAGTGGCCAAGTCCTCGGGCTGATCGTGCAGCGCCTGAGTAAAGTACGGCCGGTGCAGATTCAGGAGGGCTTAGAAGGACGTCAATTCAGCAACTGACATGTGTAACAAGCAAAGGTACGCACTGCTCTCCTTGATGATTAAACACAGCAACTGGATCATGTGCTTTCCGCGGTCGACGGGCGGAGGTGCCCCACACACGGGCCGCAGAGACGGCGGGACATAGAAGTCGCGGACGCGACGATCCAAAGCCAAAATCGCATTGTAAGGTTTATTGGGAAGGGATGCCCCTATCACATCATGCATGAGCAATGAGTATTTCGAGACCCATGTCAGATCTGCTTGGAGGTAAGCGTTTATACATGGTGCACCTGCTGCAACGCACAGCTCATTTCCTTCACTCCGTCTGGGCCAATGACTTCATCGTCCGGATACGGACAATCCGTGTGTATCACCGAGACAGTCGGCGGTCGGCCCAGGGAAGCGCTCTACAAAATTGAGTCATTGAGAGCTGGGCACGAAACAGAGTGGGCACCCACAATCCATGTGTCCTGTACAAAGAGTTGCCAGAACAACCGATGACGTCTCTTCGATTCCGAATCGCACAATTTCCATCGCTTGCTGTTCAGGTCTAGGAGAGTGATGCTGAATGATGTGTGGCAAAGGCTGGATGAATGGTCTCACGTAAGCCGATCTATGAAGCAATCGTTCAGCTGAGCATTCAGGGAGAGATTGATCCAACGACACACCCCGTATGCGAGACGCACGGCCATCCCCACATGCAGCCAGCCCTGATTGGGACCCGTCGCTTCCCAGTCACTAAGCTCCAGGTACGATGCGAGATGCAGCTGCATCAAGAGTGAGTAAGGTGGGCTGCTTGAAACCAAGTGTGTGCTTCTCACCAGAGCCTGGATAGCCGCTAGTGTCGTCTCTTTCAACGGCGACACGATAGCGAGAACAGCCCTTGCGAGATGATAACACTCTCGTGCTTCGATGCTCCACGGATTCTTGACAGGGTCCAGGACGAGCGCGATGGCGAAGACAGCGAAAAGCAGGGAGAGATTGTGCGGGTTGTGCAGATTTTCGAAAGCTCTGGGCTGGTGCATCAGCACGAGGACACACAGCGGCGCGAGACGGTGAATCGGCCCACTCACCCCGCGCGATACACTGTCTCCAAGACATCATCGATCAGCTCCGTTCGCGGCAGCGAAATGTTTCTCGGAGACAGGGGTCAGAAAGGGCTGTCCTTCCATCCATGCACAACGTCAAGAGCTTACAAGTATGTTGCATGAGTCACATACATGTCGCACAGTTCTATCGCTTCGGACAGCGGAGGCAGATGGCCGTATATCTCACGCCCGAGACTGAGATCCATTTTCTCCAAATCCGGGAAAGCGAGTGAGACGATACGCTTTGATAGCCTGCGAGGGATGATGGGAAGAGGGGCTTCGGATTTGGACAGGGCACGTAAGAGATGCTGCACGGTAATCCAGCATTGTGACGGAAGGAGGGAACATGGGGGCATGCATACACACCTCTGAGCGGGCTGTTTGTCCTAGGAAGTTCGCCTCGCCATGCGGTCCGATCGTTAACATGCCTAGTCGCCGATGGGCATGAAGCCATGAGGACAATCAGTCACGTACCAAATGCGTCAACTAAGGCTCCGTCTGCCTCCGGCGACGTCCGAGCGTCCGAGCCCTCGTCCGACACACGGGGAGACGACGAAGACTGATCGCAGCTTAAGGTCGGCGAGGCGGATGGATTGGGTCGGGGCGGAGTCTGGGTTTTGAGGCCGAGCAGATCTTCTCGCAGGAGGGGATGTGGGTGGGTCGATACGGACTCTTGGAAGGTCCGGAGTGCATCTTCAAGGTCACGGATGCGAGCGCAGAGCGTCGCAATACGGTTGTGCAAGTCTTCTGTGTTCGCGAGGATCATTCTGTGAGAGATCAGCATCGAGGTACGAGCTTGAGAAAGGCTGAGCTACCGGTTCCCTTTGCCTAGATGCTCGAATTCGAAAAGCTGCACTTGGAGAAGGCGCGATGGAAGGCGTACCGGAGGAGAGTTGGCCTACAAAGCGTCAGGTCACAGAACGGGTGATCGTGCACAACGGCGGGCTAACTTACCATCAGGACATATAGATCCACACCCTCTGCAAGTTCCTTCGTGTCAGCCGCAGACCCACAGCATTCCGTCAACCTCATACCGCGAGACACATTTTCCACAAGGGATCTATCACACGAGTTCACTTCACGTCAGCTCAGCCAAGTCTCGTTGACGCACGGATCTGTCGCAACGAAGTTTCAGACGACGACATTCAGCGCATGAAGTCGGACTACGCGAGGGAATGAGCGACCCCGTTCAGGAATCCGTCAGAGATGTTTCTGCACGCACACGCGACCCGGCTTCTTCTTTGGTCTGTCCTCCTTTTCCTTTCCCATTAGATCGAAGGTTTTGTGCGCTGGGGTATGGGGTGTGTCGGACAAAAGAGCTTTGAAGCGAACACTGGACGGCAGAGAAAGCGGGGGGGATGGTGCCGAACTCGTAATTATCATTGGATCACTAATCAGAGCATGAGTCAGCAGGATCACTGGCTCCCGATCAGGACGCAATGCTGTGCTCATGAGATCTGCTCACGGAGCTTGCGGTTCAGCCTTTTTCATGCCAGACACAAGGGAGATAATCGGTGTTTGGCAGCAGACAGCAGGTGATCTGGGCTGAAAGGCGGTACCTGGCTGACCATGGATTGGCTCAACCATCACTCGTTACATATTTTTTGTGGTCCGTGTTCAAGCTCGGGAGGCTGGAGCGATCTTTGCACACAGCATTGACGACGTGTACTCTCAAGTCCTGGTAACTTTTCATTTGCGTGCAAAGTGTATGTTGATATGGACACACGCTGAATCATGGATAAAAGGCCCGGGGTTTCGAGTCAAGGAGCCCGAGCCTGCTCAAACCTAATAGTTGGGCCGGGCCGGGCTTCCAAAGCCCGAGGCCGGGTACCCGGGCTTTCGGGCCCCAGGCCCAAGCCCAAGCGCGACAGCTGAGACTCGAGGACCGGGCTCATCGTGCATTCGTAGAAAACTATGTAGATGGATATCTGGTAAAAGAAAGGGTTTAAAGCGACGAGAAATCAAGGGGAGGTCACGACGAGGACCGAGGAGAAAGGGAGAATGAATTATGACTTTTTGCGCACAAAGCGGTCCGAGATCCTGCCTGCTTGCTAATCCCCTCCGATAAGCGTCACCCCAACATATATTTATTATTTACCGCTCGACTTACTCGCCATGGATTAGTCCACAAGCCCTTGAGCCGGTTTGAAGTGGTGTAAGTCACGGCTCGAAGAGCGCCGTATCTCAGTCTGAAAAATGGAGTGTCCATTGGTCCGGAAACGCTAGTTGGTAGGGGACTGGCTGAGATACTGGGCTCGTGATCTCTTTCGAGAATGACGTCTTCCCTATAATTAGAAGAATGACAAGATGACGTCATTCTTACACCCGCATAATGCCTGAGCTCCTACTGAATGCCCGACGACAAAAAGAGGACGCAGCTGCGACAAATTGGATAGAGCTCTACATGGGATGCTACGGATAATTAATTTATCCCAATTTTCGGCGGAGGCGTTCGGTTTGGCGCGAGTCGGGGCTGAAGTAGCGGGTCTGGGAGCGTGAAATGACTCGGCGGTGGAAGTACCTATGCAGGCCCACGGACACTCCCGGTTATGTCAGTCCGCCGAGCCAGGCTGATTTGCACTACGAAATTGGCCTCTAGAGCCCTTGATTTGCACTAAATCGGACTGAGATATGCCATCATTTTAGCCCTTTTCGGAGTTTTTTGCCCATTTTTTGCCCATTTTTTGCCCACGATGGCCCTGATTTTGAAGCACTCTTGACATGCGTCAAAAGCTCTCCGTTTCATCCAGGAATAGGTCAAAATTTGCTGATCTGACTCTCTCACCGTCGACCGATGATATATTGTCCAAAAATTTTGCGGGCTTCGCCCGCGATTTGCACTAACTGGGACTGGGTTTTCGGCTCTTGGGCCCGATCTGCACTAACTCTGGCCCTGAGATAAAGCCAATTTTGGGGCTTGATTTGCACTAAATTGGACTGACATATGCGGGAGTGTCCGTGGGCCTACCTATGCTCACTGCATTGAAGCCTGACACTCGAGACCATCTGATCCATCATCAAGCTAGATCTGATCTGGCCGTGACCAACAATCCGTCTCGTCACACAACTGTGATGGCTGTAACTGTGATGGCTGTGTGCTTCATTTCTCGCTTTCGTCACTGTCGTTCTCGAGAATCCATCAGCCTTACATTGCGGACGCCAAAATTCACACGTATATGAATGACTGGATGTTTCCGAACAAGCACGACCTCGAGCAGTTATTGTCAGCGGCGGCGGCCCGCGGAAAACTGTCCTGACGGACCGCGGTCTGCACCTGATCTTAGCGTGACCTCTTGATATTTCCCTTGGCTCGAGAACTCGAACGAATCTGGGCTATTCGCGTGGTCATCCGGGGAAACACTGCCTTTGTAGCCTCAGCGGGTTCTCGTGGTCCGAGCTGCCCAGCTCAATGCCGGTACCAAAAGGTGTAAGATTTCTGTTTGTTTAGAATTGCTCTGGCGCAGAAACTTTTAGTGGAGGACCACATGCACTCGATGGATCTGGTTTTAAGCATGTAACACCGAGATTCCTTCGATCTGGGACGAGCAGTTGTGGGACAGGCGACAGTATAAATGAGAACGAGCCCGGTAGTTATCTGGCAGTTTCCACAGCTCGAACATGCTGCTCTCTGTTGCGAACATCTTTTATCTCGTCACGGTGGGTGCTGTCGCCGCCGCCTCACCCGCGGCATCCAGGACCGCCACCGCCAAACGCGCGACCTGCACCGTCAATAGCGTATCCAGCGCGTCGAATTTGTCAACCTGCACGAACGTCGTGATCGAGCCATTCACTGTTCCTTCGGGAGGTGCGCTTTGATTTCATGCATGATTCTCTAGAGCCTGCTGATGTTTCGTCAGGCATCGTGACCATTGCCGCCGCGCCTGGGGCCTCAATAACGATGACCGGTGACATCACCTTCGCGAAAACGAATGGCGCGTGCACTCCTACGCGAGCGTGGCATGGGAGAGCTCACTTTTTCTTAGCAAGCGGCCCTCTGCTCATCTTCCAAACCGACGGAGTCTTGTTCAATGGAGGAAACCACAAGTTTAATGTGAGGCGATCCTTTCGTTCGTTAGGCGTGCTAGGTCATGACATAATATAGGGCAATGGTGCTCTTTATTGGGATGGGCTAGGGACAGGAGGTGGAGTGCCCAAGCCCCACCCTCTCATCAGGTGAGGACCTTTCGCTCCATCCGATCGAATCGACCTCGTGTCTGATTGATGGCGAAACAAAACAAGGTTCAAAGGCTGGGGAACGTTCCAGAACGTGACTGTTTTCAATGCGCCCGCCCACGCCATATCCATCAAAACGACGAACACAACTCTCGTTCAATTCATAACCGTAGATGATGGTGAGTGACCCGCCTGAACCTTTTCGCCTTCTTCCTCAATTCTCATTATTTTCTTACAATAGCTGCGGGAGCAACACTAGGGCACAACACAGACGCATTCGACGTCGGCGCCTCTGATCTCACCATTTCCAAATGCACAGTCGTCAACCAGGACGACTGCGTCGCTGTCAACTCGGGCAGCAATGTCCTCGTCGAGGACAACAGCTGCACGGGCAGCCACGGCATCTCCATCGGCTCAATCTCCTCAAACAACCACGTGTCGAACTTCAAGGCCGCGCGGAACATCATTCAAAACGGGTCATACGGACTCAGGATCAAGGTCGATGCGAATGCCACGAACGCCAGCGTGTCCAACGTCATCTATGAATCGTGAGTTCCTCATTTCTCATCTATCCCGCCCGACTACTCGCTCATTTGTTCGCCAGTAACACTGTCTCGGGCATCAAAGACTTCGGCGTGCTCATCACCCAGAGCTATCCCGTCGAGGACGGCACCCCGGGCCCCGGCGGACCGATCTCGAACGTCTCGTTCGTCGGCGGAACAACGAACGTTGGTGTGACGAGCAAGGGCTTCTCCGTGGTCGTGGACTGTGCCGCGTGTCTCGGCACGTGGGACTTTTCAGGCCTGAACGTCACGGTGCCTGGGCTGGGCTCGAAAATCGCTGCTGATCAGGCAAAGGTGCGTCTAGATCATTTTTCTATGCAACGATTTTGGGTGCTGACACAGCCTGCTTATTCTACAGATCATTGGCGGGCACTTTTGAAAGCAATAGTATTAGGGATATGATGTCAATGAATTTTCTTACATCTTCCAATTAATTTTCCAAGTCGACTCACACGCGGTTATAGCGCCGCGCGGTCTGTGGAAGATGCGTTCTCACGCGTCTATCTTCTGAACGGAATCGTTGGACTGATGAATGATCATCTCTTGAGGGACGTCACGGAAGCATCTCAAGCATTGGGTTCCTCGAGGCAAGTGGCGCGATGCTGATGCGAGCGGATCCAGTCCCAAAATTGGTTCAACGTGCGATCCGTATGCGGACGAAATTAGGGTCTTCGAACACTGGTCATGCGGACACAACCGCCCTTGGGTGCGGTGATCCGATCCGGATGCGGAAGAGGAAGTAGAGAATAGGGTCACATGTCTCGAATTCTCTTTGGGTTTGCATCGCGTCTGCCACAAACTTTCCTTGCTCTGTGGCTGTTGATGGCGAGGAACTATTTGTCTGAGTAACCGCTTGGCAGATATGAGTTTTGAATGATACGTACCTATGAATAGCAACGCATTCAAATCTAGGAATTCGGTTAGATCCAGCATATCGAGCGGGAGAAGAATCCATTGGCGATCTTGACGGGCAGTCAGCCTCCTGCTATTGAGTCCTGGAGTAAACCATCAATTTAATTATTGTGCACTCAGAATTTTGACGTACCCAGTACTTCCTGAAACTGTTTGCGACCTAGTCTTTGTCCAGGACGTGATGCGGAGTTGATGAAGCGAAGGAGGCTAAGTACGTGCTGAGCGGGCCACATGCAAGAAATTCTGTTTGAAGGGAGGCATTATATCGGAATTTGTCTTGTTCTGAATCACTGAGACGAAGCTGCCAAGTTGGCCACGCGAATGGGCTCCAGCACAGTACGTTACATTGGTTCCAAATTAGGAAAGCGGAGGACTTGCACGTGACTACGATTCGCGAGTCTTCCTTGTAGTTTCTACCCCTTTTGTACCGGTGTCAGGCGGTGGAAGGGACCAGTCGCACGACGAGTTTCAAGTCAGAATAGTTCAACCAAATTCAGGGTATTTTGATGTGATACGCGAGCAAACATGACCTAGAACAACAATACAGCAATGACACAAACAATTCATCTTTAGTAGGATCCGATTACAAAATAAATATTTCCAAATCAGGAGAGCGGAGGACTTGCACGTGATCACGATCCACCAAGCCACGGCGATTTCTACCCCTTCGCACCGGTGTCGGACCATGGAATGGACAAGTCACACAACGGGTTTCAAGTCAAAATAGTTCAACCAAATTCAGGGTATTTCGATTTGATACAAGAGCACAGAACACACAGAACAACAATACAGCAATGACACAAACATTTCTTCTTTAGTAGGATCCGCCGCTGATCTGCAGCCAGGGGTCAGGTTTTCGATGATCAGCAGTTGAAGAAAGAAGCACGTACCACCGCCTTGTCAGCAGCAATCTTGTGGCCCTTGCCCGCCGAGGTCACTTTAAGACCCGCAAAGTTCCAGTTTCCGGAGCAAGCGCCGCAGTCAATCACGACCGACTGCGCGCTGCTGTCCACCGCGACCGTTGTCGTTCCACCCGTGAACGCCACGTTCGAGATCGGCCCGCCCTTTCCGGGCGTGCCGTCGTTCGCGGGGTAGCTCTGCGTGATCAGCACACCGTAGTCGCTGATGCCCGAGATCACGTTCCTGGGGGGAGGAGGCAGAGTCAGTGCGTCGAACCGACGGTCCACACCCATTCACAAAGCAGACGCACGAGTCGTAGGTGACATCAGAGACCTGCGCGCCGGTCGCGCTCGCGTCGACCTTGATGCGCAGACCGTACAGCCCGCCGCTGATCGTGTTGCGCGCCGCGCGGAAGTTCGTCACCGAGTGGCCGGACGCGATCGACCCGATCGAGATCCCGTGGCTGCCGATGCAGGTCGTGTCCTGGATCGTGATCGCGTTGCCCTTGTTGACCGCGACGCAGTCGTCCTGGTTCATGACCTTGCACTGGGACACGGTCACCGAGTCGGCGCTGATGTCGAACCCGTCGGTGTTGTGGCCGAGCGAGGATCCGGCCGCTGGTGGTTTTGCTGGGCGTCAGCAGGGGATGATATCCCAGATTGACCACGCACAGTTGTCGACGGTCACCTGCTGGATCAGAGTAGCGCCGGTGGTGCCGACGGAGATGGCCTGGGCCGGTGAGTTGAGGACCGTGACCGACGCGAACGTGCCAGAGCCCTTGAATCTGAAAACGTGCTCGTTAGCTTCAAGCCTCGGCGACACAAGGCAGCGCAACTTGACGAAAGGATGGGGCTTGGTCGAGCCGCCGTTGGTGCCTTTTCCGTCCCAGTAAGCAGCACCGTTGCCCTGCAAATCCGGTCAATCGACGGCGCTGTGCAACGCGGATATCGCAACCGACATTGATCTTGTGGTTACCGCCGTTGAAGTTGATGTTGTTCGTGTTGAATGTGATCAAAGGACCCGCCGCTGCAACCAATGAGTTTTCCATGAATAATCCCGCGCGGGAGTCGAGGACGCGAACTGACAGGATGTCTTGGCAAACGTGATGTCCCCGTTCATCGTCACGGTCGCACCGCTGGCAGCCTGTGAAGCGGTTGAGTTCGGAGACGGTCAACGGCGGCCGATCGACTTGCCGCAATGGTGAGCGTGGACCCGGACGGGACGGTGAACGCCTCGATCACGACATTCGAGCAGCCCGAGAGCTTGGCCGCGCTCGAGACGCTGTTGACCGTGCACGTCGCCCGCTTGGCGGTGTCGGTGCGGGTGACGTTGTTGGGCATTGCGACCGCGACCGCGACGAGCGTCGCCAGATGCAGGAAGGTCGACAGAGAGAGCATTTCAGTGTCGGTGTCGGAGTGTTACTGACGAGGGAGAGAGCGAGAGAGAGACTTAGTTTTCACCAGCTCGCTCTGCACCTCTTTATACAATCCACGAGCTGCGGGTTTAGATCCAAGTTGGCTCTCGCACACGCGGGCGATGGTGGCCATAAAGATGGCGAATCCGGACGCGCCGGCGCCCATCGTTTCTCCCGAAGAGGAACCGCCTCGACAACTCGGTAATAGGTCAGGGAATGCCAAAATCCGCGCATCAGTATTCACACGGGAGCGTTCACATGGCAGCGGGGTTGCCAACCGCTGACCTAGGGTTCAGTTCAATATTCCCAGATTATAGTCTCCGAGGCCCGTGATGAATGGGTGTAAACTGCAAAAAACGTCTGAGAGACGCACGTCAGAGTGAGGAGATCACGCCGATCGGGGGAACCTACTACGGCTGTCCACGCCTCTTTCGCACACCAGATGACCCCATCCTGTTTCGCCTGAGGAGTAGCTGCCGATTCTGGGTGCTGCAAAATTTGGTGTCGTACCATCTGAATGCGATGTTGATGAGACCAGCAACTTGAGCCTGAGCATCCCCTGAGCATCTCCCGAGACTTTTCAGTGGTCTTTCAAGGACCAAACACGCGGGTAAAGCCCACGTTTAGATCTACGACGCGGTCCGCGCTGCTCCCGCTCGGTGGGGTTTCGGTAATACAGGTCCTGAGGTCGGGGCATATGATGCTTTACAGGATCAGGGCGTCCAATCGCAGAGAGAGTCGGTTACGTACCCAAAGTTACTTCGATGCCAGCCTTGACATGGGTGTCGACAGACAGCCGTGTGCAGTAGTCGCGAAGTTGAGATTCCCGAATAAACCTAAAGGAGTCTCGTTTGGTTGTCAAGAATGTTGCTCCAGAGTTCCCGACCAACAGACGAGGGGTAATAGGGAAGGGCCCACCTAGTCTAAGCTGAAAGTCAACATGCCTAAGAATAGAGATATGTAAGTGATGATCATCAGCGACGTCGGCCCTCTGAACCGACGGCTCGTGCGGCGGCCGCTGGATGTGTCTTCGACGAATGACCAGGCCAAGCAAATTCCAGGAAGTTTTGCCATTTCAAGCAGTGTTCGACTCATGTGCTAACAATGAACCCCTTCAAGCCACCCTCGGCACGCCACTTCTCGAGCACACCCACGAAACTGACGATTCCATCGCCCCACGGGGCACCGCGAGCGCTTTTAACCTGCTCTGCCATGTCCTGCGGGCGGTCGCGCTCTCCTTCGAGGTTGATATACCCCGGCGTGCAGCCGGAAACACCCGCGAACCAAGCAGCGCGTTGGAGAATCTCGCCAGCCCACATTTCCTCCGCCTGCTTGTCGACCTCGACCACAAGTCTCTTACCGGCTTCTGGCTCGAGACCGCGGTGCGCCTCGGCCAAGATGCCCGCGACGTGGTTCGCGAGCAGGTCGAGGGAGAATGTGAAGTTGACCGTGACCCCAGCTTGGGACGGGCTGGGGAAGAACAAGTTGGGGTACCCGTTCGATGAGACTCCATGGAACGTCCCGCAGCCTTCTTCGATCCACTTCTTCTCCATGTCTCGCCCGTTCCGCCCGAACACGGACAGGCCCCCGCGCGTCGCTGGGCTCCCCGTCCCTGCGGCTGGTGAGACGAATCCCGTGCTGAGGACGAGCACATCGATCGGGTGCTCGATCCCATTAGCGACGATGGCAGTCGGGGTCAACGAGTCCACGCCCTTGCCGTCCGTGTCGACGAGCGTCACGTTTGGCTGATTGAATGCTGGGAGATAGTCCTCATGGAACGTCGGCCGTTTGCACCAGACGGGGTACCAGGCCTTGAGTTTCTCGGCTGTTTCTGGATCGCGCACAATCTGGGACACCCGGTCGCGCACTCGCTCGGCGCGAGGGAAATCCATCGCATGTAGCTTCTCTACATGTTGAGGAACCGTATCAGGTGTGACTAGACCTGGGGCACCGATGATGCCGCAGTATGCATCCGATCGACACCACGCATCAGAAACGAGGTCTTCTCCGTCAGGTGCATTCATCAGTTGCGAGTTGAAGTTCATCGACCGGGCGTACTGCCATCCCTTGCCAACTGCAACCTTTTCCTTCCACTCTTTGGGATCCGTAGGCCGTTGGCCGCGCTCGTCGACACTTGATGGCGTGCGCTGTATCACATAGAGGTGTTTCGCCCACTTGGCGAGCTCAGGGACGACTTGAATGGCTGTCGCTCCCGTGCCGATGATCGCCACTCGCTTGTCTTTGAGTTTCTCCAGCGACCAATCGTCGAATGATCCCCCAGTGACGTCGTAATCCCAGCGCGCGGTATGGAACATCGAGCCCTTGAACTGCTCCAAGCCCGGCAACACTGGGACCTGCGGAGCAACGAGCGTCCCTGCAGCAACGAACACGAACTGCGCCGACACAGAAAACGAGCGCGAAGACTCCTGGGGGCCACGATACTCGCTCAACCGGACCTGCCACCGCCTCGCTTCCTCGTCCCACTTCGCGTCGTGGTACTGCGTCCTGAACGACCCCGTGCCCTCGAGCAGCCCATAGCGCTCCGCGATCCGGTCAGCATGCGCCCGCAGCTCGTTCCCATACGCGTACTTGTGCTTCGGCATGTACCCCGTCTCCTCGAGCAGCGGCATGTAGATATAGCTCTCCACATCGCACATCAGGCCCGGGTACCGGTTCCAGTACCACGTCCCGCCAAAGCCACCCGCGACATCGACGAACCGGATATCAGATGGGGAGAAGCCCGCCTGGACGAGGCGCGCGGCGAACACGAGTCCGCCGTACCCCGCGCCGAGGATGAGGAATTTGACGCTCTCGCCGTCCGTCAGCACGTGCGGCGCGGCGTTCAGTGCTGCGTGGTCGACCCACGGGTCAGCCTCGAGGTGCTTGTACGCGTCGGACGTAGATAGGCGGACGAACTGCGAGGCACCATCTGCGCGGAGTCGTTTGTTCCGTTCTTCGATGTATTTCTGGCGAGCAGCGGGATCGGGCGCGGCGACCCCTGGTGAGGCTGTGGTGCGGGACATAAAGTAGACTTCTTATCGATGGGATGGAACCAACGCATGCTCCTCCTTTTCATAGTGGCACGAACGCAGAAGCCCCGATGTTTGCGACGTCTCACGCTTGCACTCTGGTCAGCAGGCTTGCCCGAAACGGAGATTCCCACACAGCAGATTGGATCGGATATCGTAGAAGAAGAGCCAGGGTTGACATTGAACGTAAGTAGACACGGCGACCAGACTGTTGACAGAGTCGGGAGGAAGAGCGATGCAAGGATACCGCCCTCAAAATGATGCCATCACCATTGATTCCAGTACGAGTGGCCTGATGCATAGCCCAAGATGATGATCGTGTCTGCTTCTCAGACGGTTTAGCTGATGCTGGATCGACTGGTTAGAGTCTATCAAAGGGCCATTGTGTCAGGCTGCAAGTGAAATCGTTGGCCCAGTGACGAGCTCCCGACTGCTTTGACTGTGTCACCGGGCCGGCGCTGATTGACACGACAGAAGGCACCTCAGTTGCAATGGGCATTATTGGCGCCATCAGCCACCCGCCAGCGGTCTACGCTGCTCAAGTCTCGACCGCACTCGAACGGTCTCCCACGCGGGCCTCGACCGACTCTCTGACGCTGTACAACCGCTCAAGAATGCTTCATGGAACGAACACAAGCTGGGACTCGATGTCTGGACGATCGAGGCAAGCCCAGAAGGACAAGATCACATGAGGACCGCTCGTGCATTGATAGTTCGCAATTTTCCGCCCTTGGGTTTCCTTTTTGGGAAGCACGTGAGCGCCGCCGGCCGCTGATGAGATCACCATTGACCGGCAGTTCTCAATTTTCCGCCTTTGGGTTTCATCAAACATCATTTCTTATTGAATAAATAGGGTACAGATACATGGAGTAATTACTAAGTGTTAGAAATATACTTAGAATTCAAGGAGTTTTTTTAGAGCTCAGGAAGAGGGGGCAAGGAGGTGGCATTTACATCTACATAGAGGTACATACAGCACTGTAGCTAGTAGAGACAAAAAAACTGGTAGTTACTTAGGTACATGTACAGCAGAGGGCAGGAGGTGCTGTGTGGCACAGGAGGAGGGAGAGGGGACGACGTGAAAAGGGCAGGGGATGAGGGGGTGGTGGAATGAGGAGGGAAGGGAGGACATCGGAAGTGTCACCGTGACCGCTTGCTCACGGCGTCATGTCATAGTTCGGCCACTTTTTCATCTTATCATCGACGATCTTATCTTATCTTGGCACGACTTATCTTATCACGGATCATGGCATCAGACGGTCCGGACTAGGGGTTCCAGGGATTATCTTCATCGATTCGAGGCTGTGCGACATATGCTCCAGAAGGTTCTACTACGACCTATGACCAGCGTTCCATGCGGTACATAGCCCTATGACTCATTAGTTGTAGATATGACTCAGACTGGATTTGGGTATAAATACTGTAGCTACTTGGTTGTATTCTCCAGTCTTCGAATTCACTTCTCTTTTCGACTTTGTTTTTGGGTTGATTGTCACATAATTCGAAGACTCCCCTCATACCCTCCTACCTCATACCTCTTACCCTGCATCTTGCACCGCTACGCCCGCTATATCCTCTTAACCCTTATCACCCCACTCACCCTTTTACCGAATCATCTAGTCGTCCTCCACTATCGCAGTGAAGGGTTCATATCAAGCAAACAGCACCAGGCCACGGGTAACGTTGAGCCCGACCCAAGCCTTACGGTAGCTACAAGGAGTGCTGCGGAGACCTTCGGGAAAACGCACCTCGGGATCATCGGGCACGTGAAGAGCTAGGCCCGGGATCTTTTTGCTAGCAAAAGAACCCTCCCTCGAGTGCTTGTACAGCACACGATTCCACCATTTCGTACCGATTCCCATCGTCGTCTGGGAGTCCGTCCCCTCCCCCCATCGTACCATCATCGCCCGATCTGGCGCATCAAAACCAACCCGGGCCCTCCAACCCCTACCTCGCCCTCCCACCGCCTGAAGACGAGATCCCCGACCTCGACGAACTGCCCTCCGAACAACCACCCTCGCCTCCACCTCACACGCCTGCCCCTACCATGTCAGGGCATCACCGCATCACCCTCGCCGCCAACCCCCCCTACTTCGATGGCGACAAGTCCAAATACCTGGGCTTTGTGGACGCGTGCACCACTTACATCGGTGCCTATCGATCGGAGTTCTCACAAGATGAGACCAAAATCCTCTTTGTCCTCTCCTACCTCCGTAACGAGAACGGCACGAGCTGCGCTGCCTCGAGATGGGCGATGAACTGGAAGCAGCACAACTTCGATGGCTTCCAGGGACTGAAGGCAGGAGTCACATCAAAGAACTTCCTGGAGGAGCTTCAGAGGGCGTTCGGGGACTCCAATGCGGAACAAGTCGCCGCTGCTCAGCTTATGGCCCTGCGTCAAAACAAACGGTCCTTCGCGGACTACATCTCCGACTTTGAGATGTTGGCCGCGGATGCAGGCTACAATGTGGTTGACACCACCGACGACAAAGGCGAATACAAGAAGGGGGACCAGGATAATATCCTCATCGAGTTCCTGGAGCGCGGACTCAGCAGCGAGATCGCCAGCCGTCTCTACAACACCGGTGTCCCTCTGCCCAAGGCCTATGGAGCGTTCAAAGCCTGGTGCATCAACATCGAAGCCAATGCTCTGCGTGACCAGCTGCGCAAAGCGTCGTATGGGCACCCCACACAACGACCACCTCCCCAGTTCCGTCCCCAAACGGCACCAGTGGCGCCCACACCCGCTCCGGCCCGACCCGCTGCCAACGAACCGGTTCCGATGGAAATCGATCGTACCCACGCCCGCGGCCGCAATATCATCTGCTACAACTGTCAGCAGCCCGGGCACATTGCGCGGAACTGCCCGGAGCCCAAGAAGAAGCGCACGTTCTTCAATCGGGCCACAATGCTGGAAGAAATCGAGAACGGGGACAAGGACAACGAGTTCCTGAAGGAGATTGCCGAGAAGCTGCGCGAGAAGGGTTTTTGAAGCGCTCCACTCCTCTAGCCAAGGAGGTGGAGCGTCCGGACTATGGACGATTTTCTGTACTTGTTTCGATTAAAGATACGGACAATATTTCATCTACATACACGATCTCAGACTCACTACGTACAAATATTCACGATTTTCTTATTGCCGAGATGGAAAAAGAACGCCAGGAAAAGATAGCTCTAAATAGAAAATACTTACAAGATAAAAAAGATCAGAAAGCTGCAGATAAATTATTTTTGGACTCCTACGTATTTATGGCTCGTGGAGAAGGAACCACGTCAACAAAGACCGAAAAGGGGAGCATCGCTCCGAAGGCTCGATCCTTGGAAAAGGAGGAAGCGCCCAAGGAATCTGCCAAAATCGAGGTTCCAGAAGCACCCAAACGCACCAGGGTGCCAGATGCCATCCAGAGGAAATTGGCGGCCGAGAAACAGAAGGGCCCCCAGCCCAGCAGATTGGCGCAGGAATTGCGCAGTTACCAAGCCGAAAGAAAGAGGCATTCGATGGACGTATATGTCCAGATCACGGGTCTGGACTCAGGGAAAACGCGTGGAGTCAAGGCACTGCTCGATAGTGGCTGCAGTACCTGCTGCATCGACACCGACTACGCACGGGCAGAAAAGCTGGATATCCAAGAGCTTCCGCAACCCATTGTGGCTCGTAACGCCGACAACACCGAGAACATCAGCGGTCGGATCACGCACTACGTCGACTTGAGAATGAGAATCGGTCCTCATGTGGAGACACGCACGTTCCTTCTGACTTGTCTGGGAAAAGCCCGGATCTTCATCGGCCTGGATTGGCTGACGGAACACAACCCCGAGGTGGATTGGCAGGAGCAGACAATGAGATTCAGCCGATGCCCAGAGCAATGTCAAATGAGGGGTCACGAGGAGCACCAAGCGATGATCGACATGGATGCAATTGACCTGGACGCGGGTGCACCGGATCTGGAAGAGGGAGAATCGATCTTGTTGATCGACTTTGGAAAGGAGGTAGACCTACGGCTGAAGGAAACGCCGGCGCAGAAATTCGCAGAAGAAGCGGAAAAGGAGAAGGAGAGAATGACCGAGGGAAAGATTCCAGATCAATACCGAGAATTCGTCAAAGTATTCGCCAAGGAATCATTCGACTCGCTACCGGACCGACGGGCATGGGATCATGCGATCGAGCTCAAACCAGGCTCCAAAGCAGTGGACTGCAAGGTGTACCCCTTATCGAGAAACGAGCAGGTCAAACTCGACGAGTTCTTACAAGAGAACCTAGCCAGCGGACGAATCAGGCCATCAAAATCACCCATGGCATCGGCATTCTTCTTTGTCAAGAAGAAGGATGGCTCGCTACGGCCTGTTCAAGATTACCGGAAGCTGAATGAGATGACGATCCGAAATCGGTACCCGCTACCGCTGATTTCCGAACTGGTCCACAACCTGTGCGGCGCCAAGTTCTTCACCAAGCTAGACATCCGGTGGGGATACAACAACGTACGGATCAAAGAGGGCGATGAGTGGAAGGCTGCGTTTCGCACAAACCGCGGACTTTACGAGCCCTTGGTTATGTTCTTTGGTCTCACGAATTCCCCGGCAACTTTCCAAAACATGATGAACGACATACTCCGGGAACTGATCAACGAGGGACATGTGGTAGTTTATCTGGACGACATACTAATCTTCACAGAAAATCTGGATGAACATCGACGAATCACCAAACGGGTACTCGAGTTGCTCCAAAAGCACAAATTATACCTGAAGCCGGAAAAGTGCGAGTTCGAACGCACGGAAATCGAATACCTGGGTGTAATCATTGGACACAACTCGATGCGGATGGACCCTGTCAAGATCAAGGGCGTGATGGAATGGCCGGAACCAAAGAGCGTCAAACAGGTCCAAGCTTTCCTCGGATTCACAAACTTCTATCGGCGCTTTGTTCGGGGATATGCGGAGGTCGCCAAGCCGTTGACGCGGCTGACAGGGAAGACAGGATGGTCATGGGGTACGGATGAACATGCGGCGTTTGATGGGTTAAAGAAGAGAATCGCGGAGGATGCCGTCTTAGCACTGCCAAATGACACCGGTCAATATCGTCTGGAAGCCGATGCTTCGGAAGGGGCAACAGGATCTGTTTTGAGCCAAAACCAAGACGGCATTTGGCGCCCAATTGCATTTATTTCGCATGCATTAACGGAAACCGAGCGAAATTACGAGATCTACGACAAGGAAATGCTTGCAATCATGTTATCGCTCGACGAATGGAGGCAGCTACTCTTGGGGGCCACAGAAACGTTTGAGATCTTCACTGATCATCAGAACCTCGAATACTTCCGGAAGCCACAAAAGCTCAACCGACGACAAGCACGATGGATCACAGAATTAGCAGAATTCGATTTCACCTTACGACACCGGCCCGGCGCACTCAACCGCAAGGCGGATCTCTTATCTCGACGAGCGGATCACGATCAGGGCAAGAACGACAACAAGGATATCACTCTGCTGAAACCCGAATTCTTCCGGTCACAAGAAGTCACATTCGAGGGGCAAGATCAGCAGCTAATCGATGAGATCAAGGCTACTCGATCAATTGATGGAAGCGTCAAAGCGGCCTTGGAGAAGTCACTCGTTGGATGGAAAAAGGAAGATGGGCTCATCACGTACCATGGGAAGCTCTACGTGCCGAGGAATGAGGAGCTACGAGACAAGATCATCGGACTACACCACGACACACCTTTGGTCGGACACGCTGGGATCAACCGAACGCAGGAGATGGTGGAAAGGAACTACTGGTGGCCAAGGATGGGAAACCAAATTCGGAAATACATCCAGACGTGCGAGGCGTGCCAGCGGACCAAGACCAGAAGAGCCAGGACAGGGAGTTTGCACCCGCATGCAGTTCCAAACGCGCCGTGGGAAATCATCTCCATGGATCAGATCGGACCCCTGCCGGTCAGTAACGGGTATGACGCAATTCATGTGTGGTGTGACACCTTCACCAAAATGATCCATGTCGAACCAATTAGTACTGACATCAGCAGCGAAGGAGTAGCACGGTTAACCAGGGGCCGAATCTTCCGCTATCACGGGGTCCCCCGCAAAATCATCACCGACAGGGACTCTCGATACATCAAGGGCTTTATGAAGGAAACGAATCGGATGTTGGGCGTGGAAATGAATCCGGGGACCGCATATCACCCCATCACGGATGGGCAGACGGAGCGTATGAATCAGGAGATCGAACACTATCTCCGCATTTACGTCAACTACCATCAGACGGACTGGTCGGAGTGGCTGGGAATGGCGGAGTTCGCATACAACGACAAAATGAACACGTCTACCAAAATGTCGCCGTTCTATGCTAATCACGGATATCACCCATGGAAGGGAGTGGAGCAGCGGATGGAATCAAGGAACGAGTCGGCGGAGGAATTTGTAAAAAGAATCAAAGAAATACAAGACGAAGCAAAAGCAGCATTGGAAAAAGCAAAAGAAAAAATGAAAAAATACTACGATAAACAAAGAAAAGAAGTTCCGGAGTTGAAGGTGGGGATGAAGGTGTACATAGAGGGGGACAATATCGAGACGGACAGGCCTTCGAAGAAGATGAGCGACAAGAGATTGGGGCCATACGAGATACTGGAGAAGGTTGGAGCGGCTGCATGGAAGCTGAATTTGCCGGACACGGACCGAAGACACCCGGTGTTCAACGAGTCACTGTTGACACCCTATCACGAACCACCCCCCCATCGCCGAGAGAAGAGACCCGTGGCCAAGATGATCGGAGGAGCAGAGGAGTGGGAAGTCGAAGAAATCGTGAAAGAGCGAAAAGTCGGCCGAGGAAAACAGTACTTGGTCAAATGGAAGGGATGGCCGCACAGCGAGAACACCTGGGAACCATCACGTCACCTTACCCACGCAAAGGACGTCCTGAGAGACTGGCAGAGGAAACAATCAAATCCAGACACACGCATTCGCCTCCTGCCAACGCTCGAAGCTGGACACTGGGACTATCTCATTCATCGCTACAAGCCCAGGGACGAGCGCCTTCCATATCCCCAACGACAGCTCTTCGACCCTTACGAGAACGTCTTCTTACCCATTGGCCTAGTCGATGAGGACATCGACCCTAGAGAGGGGGTAATGTCATAGTTCGGCCACTTTTTCATCTTATCATCGACGATCTTATCTTATCTTGGCACGACTTATCTTATCACGGATCATGGCATCAGACGGTCCGGACTAGGGGTTCCAGGGATTATCTTCATCGATTCGAGGCTGCGCGACATATGCTCCAGAAGGTTCTACTACGACCTATGACCAGCGTTCCATGCGGTACATAGCCCTATGACTCATTAGTTGTAGATATGACTCAGACTGGATTTGGGTATAAATACTGTAGCTACTTGGTTGTATTCTCCAGTCTTCGAATTCACTTCTCTTTTCGACTTTGTTTTTGGGTTGATTGTCACACGTCACTTCCGATGCCCTCCCTCCATCAAGTATTGGCTTTACGTGCGCGCGCACATCGCGTGGCACGACCAGCTGGGGCGGGTTATCGTCAGGTTGGCGCGTCGAATGGGAGGCGGGTGATGGGCAAGGGGGAAAGGTGGGAGGTCACGAGACCATCAACAAACTTGCTTAATGGACAAACACATGAATAATTAAAATTAATCAGGATCGGGACTCCGGAGCCTCCGTGTGCACGTGCCGTACGCTTCCCAAAAAGGCAGGTCACGTGAAAAACCCAAGGGCGGAAAGTCAAAAACTTGCATTGATATAGCACACGGACTGGTAATATATTGGACCAATGCTTTGTTATTTTCTTTCATTTCATTGCTCAGGCTATATATATATTGTGATTCACTTATGCACAAGTATAAATACTACATGTATACCAATCCACAGAATCAGGATTCAGCAGATTTCATCCTCATTCTACTTCGGTGTAATTCACAAAATCTAATCAGTTCATTCTCTCGTGGAGTTGCCCTTTGGATAGCTCCCTTTGTCTTTGTTCTACTCTCCTCATTTTTTACACTGTTCAGCCCCTTTGCCGCTCATCTAGGTCCTCTCAGTGGGCCTGTCCTTGTCCAGAAAACCCTTGCATTATATTGCAAATTTCACTTTGGCTAGCGTCTCAGGCATCTACGTCATGTATCTACGACGTCTGCACTGCCAACAACATCACTTTCACGCACAGGCCTGCCCCAGGCACGACACCAGGCGTGCTTGTGTCACATGTTCGGCCTGAGAACATAGCAAAGGGATGTCTAACATGCCAAGATGAACATGATTCGAAAAGAAAAGAAATTTACGAGGCACCAAGCCCAACATTGCCAGAATCTTCAGATCAGAACTGTATGCTTGTTCTTCTTAGCAAAACTCTCAGACGGGGAATCGAACCCCGGTCGCCCGCGTAGTCACTCAGGATGACAGGCGGGAATCTTAACCATTGGACCATCTAAGATGGAATCCCACGCCCACTGTGGCATATGAATCTCCATGCTTCATTCGGGAAGAATGACCCAGCTCTCCCTCCAAGATATCTAGTTCGCTCGCGTTGCACCGGAGAGCAATCGAGTCTCAGGAAGTCAAAAGAGCTTCAGGTCTGAAATCAGCCACGTGGACTGTCGTTTCGGAGTTACCGGTGGGATAATATGAAGAAGAAGCAGTCTTCTTCCCGCATTGCCGTCTTTCCGCCCGCATGGCAATTGCCAGTTCAGGGCAGGGTGTTGTGTGCGCCAGGCGCCACACCGGGATGGCAGTTGCCGATCTGTCGAGGCTGTGTGATAATCCCCGGGCCTGGGCGGGCATCGATGTCCCGATTCCCGCCACTGTCGGATACGCATCGCCTCGCGAAGAGAATCAAGGAAGAAGCTCCAGCGTCCTGGCGCGCTATCGGTGCAGCAAATGAACCGATGGGAACGACAAGGTTATAATGTAGCGAGGCAGCTGGTATCGAAGAGCGCCAGACTCGCTTCATGGGCTCAGGACGACCCTGGCTGTCGTTTGCCGAAATAGTCGTACCGATTTCTGGTAGCTACTTACTAGTCATCGAAGTACGCACCGGGCTGTAGCTGGCTCGAGATGATACTGACAGACAGAAATCAAACGCCGACAAGTGATCGACAGACAATCACTTGGAAGCTGAACATTGGACCGTGCGACGAGGCTGGACCGCGCGACGCGTCGCCAGCGGCCACAACCCCTTGCGGCGAGAGAAGTTTGTGGGTCCCTCGGAGTCATCTTGGCCCCGACGGAGCTTGAGGGGATCGACGGGGTCGATAAGGCCGACCAGGTGCATGTCCTGAAGGCTGTGTGCGATGTTGATGCGAACGAGCGCACTGCACAGGGTCGGATCAACAAGATAGCCTCAAATCCCGAGCCTCGACGTCGGGTCAGGCACGGGAAATTCCCATACCCGGTAATCGAAGAGTTACGTTCGCGTCGGCGCTATCGATTTCGCGTACATCCCAAGAGAAGGGAGCTTTCCCACCCGGAGTGGATCGAGCTCCTGAGGGCGGGGCGGATTGGAGTAGTGTCAATCTGGCACTGAGCCTGGTTGTTGCGAGCACTGCGCGGGCGGCTCTGAGACGCCAGCAGCGACGCCGACAACCGCCCGGCGCTACATCTGGCGCACAGGTTGACGTGAGAAAAAGGCGCCGGTCAAATGATGCATGCTTTTGATGTGCACCGCCCGTCCATGCTCTGTCCCCGCCATGTCCTTAATTCGGTGCACAGCCCGTCCTGCCACACCGACCTTTAAATCTTGGCGGCTCATCCGAGCGTTTCATCGCAGTCATCACAGCTCACACCCCGTCTTCCATCCTCTCTTCTGGAAACCACCCGGACCCGAAACACCATCACTCGCCAAATTTTAAACGCTCAGATGTCGAACATGTATGCCGCCGCTGCTGCTGCCGCCGCCGCCGCATATCCCCAACAGCTCGACTACGGGATGCAGGAGGCCTACTACAGCTCCAACGGCCACTACTCCGCCGACAGCTCGCCCTCATCGCCCTCGCACTCGCTGCCCTCGATGTCGATGGTCGGCCCCCAGCGGACACACCCCTCCATCGCCGGCATGCGCAAGCGCTACGACATGGTCCCCATCTCCGATGCGCCCACCGCGCCGCGCAACTACGTCACGCCGTCCTCCACCTCGCGCAAGGACATCCCGTCCTTCTTCGCCAACCGGCGGCCCACGTCACAGCCGTCGGACGAGGAGGAGGACGAGCTCGCGGACGAGGTCCTCCCCGCGAACGCGACAGACCAGGAGCGCATCGAGTACAAGCGCCGTCAGAACACGCTCGCTGCGCGCCGGAGCCGCAAGCGCAAGATGCTCCACCAGCAGCACCTCCAGGACGCTGTCGAGCGGCTCACCCGCGAGAAGGAGATCTGGAGGACCCGCGCGCTCACGCTGAGCAACCTCCTCCGTAATCACGGCATCACCTGCCCCGACTTCCCCGAGGTGTAAACGACTAGAGACACGCCGACCCCTCGACTTGTTGTCCTTTTTTTCACTCTCTCCCCTGGGTAAACATAAAGGTTGCGGATATCCGCTCTGTAACACGCTTTTCGACGTCCGACATGTGCGTTTTTTCGTTTGCTTCCTGTTGTCTCGTTCAAAGGCTGATCCGATACGCAGATTCGATGAATTCGATATGTTAAAGCCGCGACGATCGAGCGGTGCAAAAGATGCACATATATAAGATTATAGCATGCTCTCGCAATGTCTCTCCCCCTGCCACACTCTATCATTTGTACTCATACATATCACACAATGTACTTGATCCTATGCAATACACCGCTGTTTTTGTTCAGTCGAAGTCCAGCGCACAAATTGGATCATGAGAATATGCGGTTGAGTCACACTTAATCTCGATATGTCCAAGAGACAAAATCTCCTTTCTTCATGGCTGACTGTGTGAGCTGAACAACAACGACCAGAACCTAAAAACAGACGATCCACATTGCAAGGGGGAATCAGAGTTGGGTCGGTGCGCCACGGCTTGAGGTGACTTCTTCAACATTTTTCTCTTTGTGTGAACCTCTGAAGGACGTAGTACACGGGGTATGTTCAAAATTCAGACTGCAGGAACGAGAGGGAGACTCGGAGGTAAAGTGGAGGTTATCAAACAACAGCAGCATTCCAGGTAGGGGGGACGGAACGAGTGAGCAAGCCGAACTGAATGAAGTTGCTGGCCCGTGACTAGTGCTGTGCACTGCAACAGTGGCGCGCGATTTCTTGTGTTCGTGTGATTACAACGAGTCAAATGTCATAAACCGTTGCATGACATGCTTTCGATTAGATTGATTCAGAACGGTTCCGGGATACACAACTGTGATTCCAACACCACCACCGCTCAGAAGCCAGCTCGATCCGGCAGGAATTTCCCGTCCCAGCACTTGAATCCGACATCATTCGAGACCTGCGCAGACAGTCATCAGTCCGTCATTCGAAACACCGCCTCGGGAGGAGAAGATAGATCGGCTCACAGTCGTCTCATTGCACATGACAGCGACAGGGCGGCCCGTCACCGTGCGCGCGAAGATGTCCTTGGCGACGACATTCGTCGCGGTGCCAGGGTACAGATCGAGGATGACAACCTCCCGGCCTGTCGCGTTCGGGACCGCGTACCAGCAGGGGTCCGTCACGCACGAGCCTTCGACGTATCCCGGGGTGCTGGATGGAGGTGTCAGTGGGCGGTAAATACGGGAAACGGCACAATGCATACTCCAGTATCGTTCCGGCAAAACCCTCGAACAAAAAGTCCACGATATGAGTGTTATTGATGTCACCGGTAGAGTTCGGCCGGGCACCGATGCCCTGGTCCCAGTAGCTGCACTGGAGTCAGTGACAGCAACAGCAAACAGCATGTCCTTTCTCGCACTTTTGTGTCACGTAGATCTGCAGAGAGATTTTCAGATGAAAGTCGTGTCGGTGGGAAGATGGACACACCGGGAACGGAACATTCTCGAAGGCGATGTTCTTCCATGTAATGCTGTCCGCGCTTTAGATGTCTATCCTGTCCGGTAGCGGGGTGTGACTCACTTGCGCGCGGCACCATTGCCGCCCGTCCAGCTCTTGAAACGCGCTCCGAAGAGAGAGTCTTTCTGGATGTCAAGTCAGGATGCCAGTCCAGACTCGCAACATTTGTGCACCAACCATGAATGTGTTTTCAATGCTGAGAGGAATGTCAGAGACGAGCGCAGAGGGAGAGAGGAACACACGGACTGGACATTCTGGACCTGCGCTACCGATCCGCCTTTCCCCAGAGACCCGATCGATAATCCGTGGCCACCTTCGCAGTAGGAGTTGCTGCGATGCTATATTCAGAAGGCAAGTGCTATAAAACCAGACGACGACCAACCGCCATGTGATGTTCGTAGCACCGCTGCCGACAGTCAAGCAGTCGTCTCCGTTGACGACCCAGTTATCCTCGAGCAAAATGTTGCTGCCACCAGCAGAGAAACCTGCACTGTCCTCAAACGACGTCGATCCCGAGAGACTGACTGTCCACGCACCATCGGTATTGAAGGGGAAGGACGAGGCGTTGTTCGAGCGAGCTTCGATGCGGTTGTTGTAGATGTGGACATTGTTGACGCCACTAGTAGCAAAGTTCCACCCAATGGGCTGCGCGATGTGAGCATCATTCACACACGCTCACGAAGTCTAAAGCAAGCCCCACCATCCAGATCTTCATGTCCCTGATGACCCCACTCGTGATCTTGCTGAACGCGATGCCGTGCGGGCGGTTCACTTGCTGGTTGGCGTCCCACCACTGCTGCCCGTGCCCGTCGATCCAGCCCCACTTAGGATGCTTCGAGCCGCGCAGGGTGACGTTCGTGCCGCCCGTGAAGGTGAGCCACGATCCGCCGTACGCCGACGACGCGACGACGCCTGCGCAGATAACAGCCCGGTCAGCGCGCGCCACACGACCAAGATAGAGGAAAGCAGCGACGCACTCTGCACAGCCGCGATGTCGTTCGGGTACGTCAGGTTTCCTTCGACTGCGATTTCGACATTCGTGAGCTTGGGGAACTTGATCGAGGTGAAGAGGTTGTACGTCGTGCCCTGGGCGAACAGGATCGTCGCGTTGGTGGTGTGGTTCCCCACGAGCGCGGCGAACGCAGGCATGTCGTCGGCGCCCGGCGTGTGCGGGACGACGAACGTGTCCCAGGCGAGCGCGACGGGGAGGATCGCGGCGGCGAGGAGCGTGCTGCAGAGGGACTTCATCGTGCCACTGACATGCCCTCTGTCCCTTGGCTCCACTTTTGTACGCGCTTGGCCAGGGTCACGGCGGATCTCCGGAGGCTTTGCGATTCATGTGACGAGAACTCCACGGTTGGCCGGGGTCATGAGATGCACAACGCATCAGCGTGCCGACAGTTTTGTGGAAAGGCACACCCGTGCGACTTCGATCTCAGAAGCTATGCAGTGATGTTGACACCCAGCCCGCGGCGTAATCTGGTAAGCCTCCGATGTCGCCGAATCCGCAGATCATATCCTTGCGAGAGCTGTAAGCAGAGACTGGAAGCCAGGAGGAGGGAAGATACGGCACCCGGCCGTGATGCGACTACCCAGCAGTGTCAACACGTGAGTTCGTGGCCGGGCCAGAGCGGACCGCCCAGTCAGGGACTGTCTGTGAATGTGAGTTGAGAGATTTGAGACCTGCCAAGTGATTCTTAACGAGTCAAGTTTGTATGAAATTGTAACGTAAGCTCTTGGGTCTCCGTACGTCCCACCAAGGCTTTCAATGGGCTTCAAAGATAGACGGAGTGCCTGAATTATCTTGAGCGATGAACTCGCCCGGGTAGCGAGCGACTCAAGAATGACTTGCCAAGGCCCAAGGTCGATCTCAAATGGAAGTCGCCAATGCGGCGAGTGACTGATGATCTCGTGCAGAGGGAACAAGTGCCAAAGTGCCAAGAAACCCAGTATCAAAAAGCTCTCAGGCGGGGAGTCGAACCCCGGTCGCCCGCGATGACATTTGACTGACAAGCGGGAATCTTGACCGTTGGACCACCTAAGATTGATAATGTTCCGAATAGCGTTGTGTTCACCAGTTGGCTGCTGTCATCAGTAATCTGATGACTAAGTGTTCCCCGCTGGAAGCTGAGATCACCCAATTACATTTGCCGGGATGTGATCTCCCGCAATCACTACAGGCTTCCGGTAAATCTTCAAGCTCGTTCGTCGCGGCCATGAACATTCATTCTCAAGCCTGAACGAGGATGAGGACAAGAGGAAATAGTTATCTATCCACGATTCGTCAGAGACTAGGGAACCTGCGCCATTTCTTCCTCTTGTTGACACAACCATATCACCCTGTATGACACAAACCCCAGATAGCTTCGGTACTAATTCCAGGCCAATGCATGGTTAATTCCAGTATGTAGTGCAATCAGTATGGTATGTCTACAATATGCGACATGTAAATCACTTTCCCACGACGCCAACTCTCTTCCCCCCGAACCCAGGCGGTCTCTTTCCGGGGCCGGGAGACGACGAGCGCTCCGCCTCGGCCGTTTTCTTCTGCCATTGGTCGATCAGCTTCCCCACACCCTGGTACGGCCGCTCGGGCGATGCCGAGCGCTCATCGGCTGTGGTCTTGCGCGAGGGGGTCTCGAGGAACGTGGACCGAGTGGCGCGCGGGGTCTCGGCTGGCGTGTCGGGGGTGAATGCCGCCCGCGCCGGGCTGGAGGGCAGCTCACTCGACTGGCTGCTCGGCGAAACGCGCCGCTGGACGGGGTGGCTAGCACCGGGTCGGAGATTCGGATTCGGATTCGAATTCGGAAGACGGGGCCCGTTCGGCATCTTGAGACCCTCATACAATTGCACCATGTCCGAAATGGAGGTCCGCCGATTCTGGGCGGTCCGGGCCCGCGGATCTTCCGGTGGCACCAAGGTGTTTGTACTCACGGCAGACGAGGACGAATCAGTCGACTTTGAAGGGAAGATGAACATGGATTGTGGTCTTGACCGCGGCGTCTGCGGCGAAACAGCTGCGGACGCAGGCGGAGACAGCGCTGCCGCTGAGCTTGTGGCTGAGACCGAGGGCATCTGTGATGACCTCCGTTGGGCCTTGGTCGGATCCTTTCGAGGCGCGATGTCGTCCAGAAGACTGGGAGTGACTCGGTCTTTGCCAGGGCCGCCGTACAGGTCGACCAGATCGTGGACAGAGCCCTGTCGTCCCTTGTGCCTTGGTTTTGACTTGAATCCGCCCAGATCTTCCGGTCCTTCTTCGTCAGCACTGGAGGCGGAGTCGAGGTCCTTCTGGTGCCGACGTCCAACTCGTTCCCGTTCTTTGTTTCGCTCTCGTTCCCGTTCCCGTTCCCGTTCCTTCTCTCTCTCCCGCTCCCGTTCTCTGTCTCTGTCCCTGTCTCTGTCTCGCTCTCTTTCTCGTTCCTTGTCCCTCTCTCGTTCCCGTTCCCGTTCTCGTTCTCGTTCCTTTTCCTGTTCCCTCTCCCGCTCTCTCCTCTCCACAAATCCCACCCCCGTCCACTTCTGACTCGACGATTTCTCCTCCGATAGATCAATCGACGGAAACATCCTCGCCGCCCTCGCACTCGGCGAACTCGGCGTCTCGGGCTCGGCATGGTGTTGGTGGTGGTGCTGGATCGCCGCAGATTGCTCTGCCACGGGTTTCACGAGGAGCGTCTCAAGGACCACCGACGCCCGCTTGCTGGGCGACTGTTTCATTACCGGTGTCGGTGCTGGAGACTTGGTGGTGGAGGCTGCAGGGGAGCTGGTCATGTAGCGCATCGGTGGCGCAGTCGCTGTCCGTGTGTGGTGGGAGCCCAGACCCAGCGAGGGTCCCCCATCGTCGTCGCCCGTCAACCAATCCTTCGGTGGCGGCGGGAACTTCGAGGGCGAGGTAGACAAGGCGGAGGAGGACGAGGCACTGGGTCTCTGAGGAAGCGGCGGCACCTCCTCAAAGTCGTGTCGCATGGTCAGGGAACTGCGGTGTTTCCTGTTGAGGGGCGGCCGCTCGTTCGGAACGGGTGATGATACAGATGAGGACGCAAGGGGAACAGGAGACGAGCGGAGCATGTCAGCGCTACCTTTACGGGGAGGGAGACTCGGTGCGGTCGGGCTCAGCTGTGGCTGTGGCTGCGAGTGTGACTTGGGTTGGCCGCTGAAGGTTTTGTCCAGCTCCTCGAGGGTGGGGAACCTCGACTCGGCACCATCTCCCAGTCCCGATCCAGGCCTAGACATGGAGGAGGGTGCCTGAGACAGCCATGAGGAGCCGGAGCTGGATGGTTTCAGAGCAGGAGGATTCGGTATGAGATGCGGAGAGGGTGAAGGTCGGCCAGGCTTGTAGTCTTTGTAGTCCATACTCGTGCCCATGCCCATGGCACTGGCGAGTCCCGTTCTGAGCAGCCGAGCTTCTCCTAGTGTTGGAGCAGGCTTATCGTTGGAATTGCCCAGCCCCAACCCGGAGAACGCATCCTTGTCTTTCGACGGACGAGAGAGCAATGATCCGGTGAATGCCGGGGCTTTCAAAGGCGGAGAAGTCGGAGCCTGGGCAGGCACGGCAGGGGCCTTGCCATTCTCGAATGAATCCCAAAGTTTCTCGCCGAAGTCGTCTCCGAAACCCTTGCCGCTTGGGGACGTCATCGGTGCCGCGACTGCAGCAGTGCTGCGGGAAGTCCATGCATCATCCATCGCACTGCGTTTCGGTGCACTGGTCGACGGTGCCGATGTAACAGCTTTCCAAGCCTTGTCCTCTTCCTCCAGCCAGTTTCCACCAGGTGTTTTCTGAGGGCTCGTATTTCGAGACTTGGATGGTGTAGATTGCCTTCCGCTTTCTATCGGGCGGCCCCTACGCATCGGTGCGATCGCTTCCAGCACTTTCTCCCGAGCCTGAACGCCCGAGCCTCTAGACATCGACGCCACAGGCTGCGGTAAGCTCTGCAAGTGCTGTTGCTGTTGTTGTTGTTGCTGCTGCTGCTGCTGCTGTGATCGGAAGGTGACGGTGGCATCGACGGCATTCCCCATGGGAGCGAACTGTGTTTGCGCTCGCGGTGTGAGAGGTTGCGGGGGAGGTATCGTGTAGGTGAATGGCGACTTCGTTCCACGCAGTCGATGGACAGTGTTCAAGAGCTCAAATACAGATGGGCGTTGGTTTCCATGTTCTCGAAGCATGGAGCCTGGTGATTGTCAGCATTGAGTTCCCAGAATGGGCAGCGACATCGCACGCACCAATCAGCGAGTTCATCTGCGTCGAGTACACGGGATACGGCGGTATTCGATATTGCACGTTGAGAATCGCCAAAGGTCCATGTTCCTCGAACGGCGTCGTGTAGTAGCAGAGCTTGTACAGCAACACACCCAATGCCCATACGTCACTCTTCTCATCCACCGGTCTCCGCAGATAAGGATCGACCATCTCCGGTGCGCGATACTGCATTGTAGTATGCCGATTCAAATCAGCCTCCAGCGCCCGGATCTCCTGTGTCGAAGCAGGTGGTCGTGGTGCAACGGTGGTCGCACTTCCAAAATCGCACAACTTGAAAGACGTTGCACTGGACTGCAGAATGTTCTCAACCTTGAGGTCCCGGTGGAGTAATGGGGGACGGGAGTTGTGCATGAAGGCGACGCCCTCGCAAACATCCACGAAGATTTGCAGGATTTCCGACTCCGTCAGGCGCTCTCGTAACCTGCGGTTCATCATGTCGATGATTCCTCCGCCTAAAATGGGACGAAATTCAGTTGAAGTTGGTATTGATGTGATGGAAACGGTCGGCGCACCGGGGCAAAACTCCATCAAGATGAAGACCTCGTACATCCCATCGGGCATGCGGTGCCAGGCAGCATCGATGAGGTGGACGATGTTTGGATGGCCTTTCAGCAGGCGCTGTTCGAGCTGAGCTTTCGGTGAGACGGGCATTGGCCGGGAACTCACCATGATGTCCACCTCCTTCCTCACTTCGTTCAGCATAGTGTCATTAGCAACAGCGATGCGCTTGAGGACATGATGTGTCGTGCCGTATACCGGTGCCGCAGTCCGGACAAGATAGACATGCGCAAAACCGCCTATGCAACGAATGATGGATTAGTCTTTCATTTCTCAAGCACCCCTCCTCTATTCACCTTGGGACAAGTACCGATCGACTTGGACAGTGTACTTGTTCACTGAGATAGTCTGGCCGGGGACAAGTGTCCCTGGTTGCTGCTGAGACATCGAGAGTGAGTGTGCCGTCACCCGCTACGCAGAGCGGGGAAAGATCACTGAGTTTGGGCAGGTGCCGCGGGTTGCTGAGCGGGAGGAGATGAGTTGGATGCACGTGATCCAACGTAATCTACTTGTGAAAAATTGATCGAAGGCTCTCAGGCATTCTCCGACAACCTCTCAACCTCTATCATGTCCCTGCTTCTGCCCTGCCCACGCGCAGTGGGCCACCAACTCCCACACGTGCGCAACATCTCCAGTTCTCCCTATGGCCGCACGCACGTGTGGAAACGCCGAAAACCCGTCCTTCCCAATCCTGTCGTGCCGAAATTCCCCCAACGTGTTGTCCGCGCCGACGGTTCCTCATTCACACACTGGACGACATCCCCGCGTTCTTCCATCGTGCTTACGCGTGACACCACCAGCAACCCGCTGTGGAATACCGGAATGTGGGCGGACGGACGGGGTCTTGAGGAGGAAAACGAGACGACAGGTCGGCTTGGGCGGTTCAATCGCAGATTCGACGGTATTGGTGGCTCTGGACAGTCTGTCGATTGGATGGACGGAGTTGAGAACTTGAGAGAGGGTGTGATAGGTGGAGAGTTTGTGCGCCCGGGGCAAGAGCCAAAACAGTACCATCCCAAGAGAAAGTAGTGCGTGCTGAATCCTTTTTTTTCTCTGTTATACAGCTGACCGTAATTCATATTAGATGAGCTGGTCATAATTACTGTCCGCTAATTTGATTCGATTCCTCTCTGCTTCCTGGCAAAAGTGCTCGAGCAACGTCACGACCTTTACCGGTCTCCCATTCGACAGCCGAGTCGGGTGCATAGACAGTGGCTCGCACTCGGGCTGTTTCGCCTCCTAGATCGACTGCCGACATATCCGCTTGCAACATTCTTGTTTTCGAGCGTTGCTTTGACTCTGGAATCGAGCTGTCTAGCTCGAAGTTCGGATACAGCGGGGTCATTTCCTCGACCGGGGAACGGTTGTGTAGCCTTCCGAACTCGTAGTCGCGAGCGTGGCTGACCGCTTGTGGTGGGGTCTGCATCTCAATCAGGAACTGGCCGATTGCCAGTGTCGTGAGCTGCGCGGAGAACCTCAGCATCCTTCACCGAGATCAGAAGCCTGAACCGCTCACTGCAACAAGTATTAAGCTGTTGTCACGTAGTCAGTGTATCGGATCCCGAGAAGAATGGAAGTCGTACCCGGCGTGTAGGCTCATAGCGATCAGCATGTACCCACTGCTCAGCATGTTGGGGCCTTATCCTGCATCGCGTGTGTATTCTACTCACAGTCGAAGGCCAGCTAGCACCCAATACATTCCCGCGCGCCATAGTGCGTTCATAGCGCGCGAACGCTGCACCCAAGAAGGTCCCCAGTGGCGCTCAAATGCGAAAGATAGAAATCTGCAAGTCAGTCAGCATCGGCACCGATTGCTGCAAGTCCATAGCCACCTTTCAACAGCACATGTAATAACAGTGAGGAGGGTCGCGAGGAGAAATCCCCGGAACGAGCCGAGGTGGATGAAGGAGAAGAGAATGTGATTGCCTTTGAAGGCCCAATGGAGTGCGTCCGAGTATTCTTCGTAGTCGGAGGCGGATCCGGATCCAGCGGACATGCTCGTGCTACGCATAGGCACACGGGTGAGATGCGCCCGTCGAGAAGTGAGGTGGATGGCGAAAAGGAGAGGATGTCACCATACCACAGGCGGCCGTGACGACATCAAAGATCGCAAGTCGCCGCGCAGATTTCGGTTCCACTCAGCATCCAAAACTCGGGCGAGTGCGTCGACTAATGATATAACAGTAAATGAGTGGTAAAGTTACAGGGCCTTGTTTCGTGAATGACAAGATATTGCTCGTGTGTTGCAATGCCCGTTGCTTCGTAAAGTGATTCATCATAAATCATGGTCCAGGTCGCACCGCCTGCCACTCGTCCAGTAAAGCCTGCCCAACCACAGGTTCCAGCTCCGTTCCATCTCGAGACACTTTCACTTCCCGATCGTGATTCCATGGGTTGCGAAGATGTCGCGTTTTGGTGAACGGCAGTCGTTCGGTGCAGAGCCACTCCAAAGTAAATTCCTGGCCCAAACTGTCTTCCCTCGTAGCCGCCCCCGGCTCCGTGACCACTGGCCCCGCCTTCTTCTCCTCTGGCACAGATCCCAGCGATGAGCCCCCAGACAATCCCTGCTCGATCGAGGATGAAGCCACGGCATTCCGAATGGCTCGTATTGGAGCCAATGGATTCAATTTAACAGGTTCATTGACTGAGCTGAATTTGAGTGCCGGGCCAGAACCGCTGATCGCCCGATGCGGCTGTCCCAAGATGGCTGGCGCGGACTGGACGTTCAGCGGCGAATCAATGCTGCGTACTTCCAGAGGTGAGGCATCAACGAAATGGCCAGCGCTGAGAAGGGTGGATTCAGTCGAAAGGAGAGGCTGTGATGATGTTCCCACAGGCCGTTTTCCTGAACGAATCGAACCCATTGGTCCCGTCATCCTGCCCGCAGATCAGCAGTGCACTACTGGGAAAGTGACAACCTGCGCAAACCTCGCGTAACCATAAAACTCGCCACTTTTGTTAACGCTGAAGATGAGGAACACGTCCTGAGAGTTTCGGAAGGCCCGATCCAGCACTCCTTCGTTATGCTTCTGGGTTGACCAGACACCCGTCTTGACACTCAGATCCAGATCCTCCCGAGTCAGGCTCTTGAGAATGAAGTATCGCTGCGGAAAGTGCTGCCGCAACAAGCTGGAATCTGTCGAAGCATGCGATCCAGAGCTAGGGGAACCTGTGCCGGGAGGCTGCACCACAGATCTCTCGTCACCCGAAAGCGACAGCGAACTGAATTGCGGATCAAGTGAATGAGCCACATCAGAGCTATCCAGAGACACCTCCGAGTTCCTCCTTTCCGCAGCCTTTTCCTTGACCCATCGAGCGTGCATCCCTATTCCCCGCTGTCCACCCACTCCAGCACGTAGATCATCATCCTTCCGTCGAGCGCGGCACACCAGACGTGGACATCGCGCGTCACCAGCACGCAGGGGGACTCCATTGAACCGGGTGATGGCGGCGTTTAGATGCGTTTCCGTCTCGTAATTGACAAACGCACAGCTTGACCGAGATATAAGAAAGATCGATAAAACACCATTGACGTTGGTAGACGTGCTGAGTTCGGGGGCCGCGTCGCTGGCGCTGGGATCCTCCTCCGGCTGAGTGAAGAACCGCCACAATTCGTCATGGCCCGCATCGCTTGGCACGTTGCCTGCCCACATCACCCATTCTGAGCGATGTGCAGGGGGATTCGGGTGATACGGGCGCCGGACGACTGGCTTTTCACGACCGCCCGGGGTTGGGGACGTTGGGCCAGATTCAGATGCTGATGAGCGGCTCGATGGTCGCGGAGAGGAATCCGCGGGCGGCGCCTCCTGCGGCTGTTGCGATGGGATAGACGATGGGAAGTAAGAATACTGATTTGATGGGCCAGCCTCGTAAGATTGCGGTGACTGAGAATGTGACTGCTGGCTGTGCGGTGGAGGCACATACCACCAAGTGCCACCGTCGTTTTCCTGGCCTGCTGAGTGTGGTCCATACGCCGGGTACGCTCCTGGTGGAAAGACATGCTGCTGATACGACGAGGGATACGACTGCGGGTATGGGTTGTATCCGGGAGACAAGGATGGATAGTGGAACTGGGAGCCTCCAGAGGCGGGCGATTGCGGAGCATAGTTCTGCCCATCGGGTGAGGATTGATACTGGGGGTATGAGGGAATGGTCTGATAACCGGCGTGTATGGAATGCGGCTGTTCGTGACTGTGAAAGTAGGCGTATCCGTACTGTCCCCCATAACCTCCATGCGGAGGCGTGTATTGCACCGGTTGTGGGGAATAGTGGGACGCGTGATAGCTCTGACCCGCGTTCTGAGAACCCTCAGGCGCGTTTAAGGAGGGGTGGCGGGAAGGTTGTCGTCTTTGCTGAGATTGACGCCGACCGGACGAGCTCCCGCCACGCGATTGATCAGCTCCACCTCGACCATGCCCAGACATATAAAGGTCTCCTCCGCCTCCTCCCAAATGATCGTTTGAATCCGGTGCACTCCCAGCAGTCGTAGGCGAAAAGGCATAAACAGCTACTTGGCGCGTCAAAATCCGGGCGCAAAGCGCGCAAATCACGTACGATGGCACTCCGCCACAAAATCTGTACAGGTTTCTGTCAGAAAAGAAAGTAGGAACGGGACATAGGAAAGGGAATGAGGAGAATAAGAATGGACGTGAAAAAGACCACGCTTTGTTGATCGATCAGTCAATTCAGATGATATCACGTGCGCGGATAGCTAAGCGATCGATCGCCTACCACGCCGATGATTCCACCGGATGTTATTTTGGCAGTGTGCGATGCGTCTTGTACCTGGGAGATCGAGAGCGCGTGCAATCGGCAAAGTTACTCGCCGGCCACCGAACTGTCCTCTGCTGCACTGTATGTTCCTGCAAAGGATATGTTGGACCGCTGCGGTACAACCCGAGAGAACTTCCGGGCCTTTCCGGGACCGAAGTTAGAATACTCTTTCGAATTGAGTAGCCATCGTGCGAACAAAGACGTCATCACGGAAAATGCCTCGTTTGCTCCCATTGAAAAAGGACTGGGGCAGACAGTCACTCTCGATCCACGCCCGCATGTGTGAGGATTTGCGCGCCTTCAGTTCAGGATGAATAGTTCTACACGCGAGCATCGGACGCCTTTCGGGGGCCTTTACAGTAGATGTATACAAATTCCGAGCAAACGCCAAGTCCCATTAGCACACGACCGCTCTAGGGGTACATAAATATAGAGAGTAAGCAAGTACTGTTTACCCAGGTCAGCAATTACTTTGTGATAGCACGAAGGACACGGAAAGCAAAACCAAAAAATACACCGAGTTAGTAGTCGATCATGACACCCTCATTCATTAGCCTCCCCCTCCCCCATCTCTGCCGTCGGCTTCGGCAGCGACGAATGCGTACTCGAAATGTTGCGCGCCATCGCCTGCAGGCGAGCCCATTCAAGTAGGACAAGGGAGAAGTAGCAGTCGTTCTGCCCATCGGTCATCACTCGCTTCACGAAAGCAGCACCATTCTGCTGGATCCGATAGGCTTCGGCATCGTGCTCCGCAGCCCATCTGAGCTTGTCCACGAGATCCGACAGGTCGGGGAGCACCGGGATGTAATGCTCAAACGGCCTGATCCAGTCGTTAAAGTATTCACCAAACACAGTGGACTGCGGACGATACGTCAGGGATGGGCAAGCATGACAGGCGATCCACACACCTTGAAGACCAGTGTCCCGCTCGTCAACAAGCCAAGATACCGCCCGCTAAACGAGTTTCCGTCCACGTCAAACACATATTTGTACTTGTAGACCTCCTCCCGTGGCGAAGAAACGTGGGCAATCCCGTACTCGGTCTTGATGGCCTCGGCATCGCACTTGTCGCAAAGCTCGTCGTGAAAGCCCGAGAGTTTGACGTCCATCAGACTGCCGTGCGTCTTGGCGATTTCTATGAGCTTGAAGCGCGGGAAAGCACGGTAGTTGTCACCCGAGATCTTGCCACCCGAGGTCATTCCCCGCCAGTCTACCCAGGTGTGAGTCGTAGAAACATTGCAGCACTTGACACACACTCACAGATTTTGGGAATCTTATCGGACCAGGTGATGTTGTTTTCGTACTTGTAGTGGGGCGACCAACCCGAGTCAGAGTAGTAGAACTGCGGCACGCATGAGCATCCACGGAGAGCGAGAGCGTGATATTTTATTGTCTTACCTCGCTGGGAACCATGATGTCAGAGAAGCATGGCGAAATCTTCGTCATGCTCAACATGGGATACAGGTCCGTGGTGAATTGCTCGCTAGCGGCATAGATCATGACTATATGTCAAGAGTGGATGAGCATGAGGCACTTGAACAAACTGCATTGACTGACAAGCACTGGCATCGTTGGCTAGACCGGTAAATCCCTTTGGCTGGTTGGGAACAAGGCAGTTCGCCTTTTTGAAATACTCCCCGGAGGGGCGTGGCGAGTTCTCGAACGGGGTTGAATCGGAAACTCGCAGAGCCGTTAGCTTCGTATCCGGCTGGCGGTAGTTGAAGAGCACGCGAGGCTCGTCCCGGCCGTTAAGGATGATGTTCATGTCGGGCATAAAGTAGCCGAACTGCAGAGTCCGTGAGTGAGAGCGCAAGCGGAGAGGGACCGACGGACGCGATCGAAAGTACGTTGCCAATCCCCAGGATACAACGTCCATTGGCTGTCCGTGTATGAGAACTTCCCCTTCTCAAACTTCCCCGTAGTCATTCCTGCTCCGTCCTTCTGCACCTTGGCTGACCCCAACTCGACCATCTTTTTGAAGAACGCCGGGTCCTCCTCCGCGAGCTGATAGAACGCCTCGAAATCGCGGGTGATTTGCTCATACTCGTCGATCAGGCACGAATGCTTTCGCGCGTAGTCGAACCATTTGTCGAAGTTGGGGGGTGGGGCGCGACTCGTGCGTAGCGAATACCTTGCTTCGGCCTGCGCGTAGGTCTTGGACTGTCGGGCGAAAAGTTTGTCGATCTGCACATTCGCAGACTTGGAAAAGTCTAGGAGCGGAGTTTTGGCATGCGCTTCGTGGAGGATCAGTTGCGCCACAGATTTTTAGCGCACGGGCAAACATACCCGGGCTTTGCCAGTCATCCCCCTCTCCAGTGGGTGGAGGTCCTCGTAATCGAGGCCTGAACAAGAAGTAGAGCACACCTAAACACCCTAGGGAAGCGACCACGTAGTACCACCTTGGCCAGCGTTTCCGCCAAGATCCCCGTTCATTCGACTCGAACCTTGCCATCTCGAGCTCGATCTCATCATCCTCGCCGCCCGTGGTTGGCAATAGGGGGTGGTGGTCAACACTCGAGAGAGGAGAGTATGCGGCACGCTTGAAAGATGCAGGCAGCCATGCCATTGGGAGGAGGACGAGGAGGGAAAGGAGGACGAGGAACGAAAGAAAGGCTTGGGCGCGCGATCACACCTCGGCACGCCATCATTTCAGACGCTTATCCCTCGTACAATTCCCGTGCTTCATGGATAGGCCGACACACACAGCCCACTTCACGAACCACGAGCAAATGTGGTTTGAGATGGTGGGGAGAGGTGAATGGAATGTAGCGTGGGTGAATCACGGTCACGGAGAAACGCCAAGTAGTCATACTTAAATTTGGTACGGCTTCGGGTTCCGTCTTACCCGCTTCCTTGCTCTTACCACCCACATCACTGCGGCAACACTCATAGACGCGACGGCGCGAACATCATGCTTGGGCACGCATCAATAGATCGTGGTCATTAACCCCGGCTTGTCATAGTCCTACCTTTGCTGCAGCCTTGAATCATTCTGCATCAAGTCTGTGCATCAGTGACTGGCCGTGGATGCGTCTCGGCCAGTGTGTAGACAGGCTCTCGACCTCATGCTTCCCACCCTCGGGCGGACATGTCAGCCATCGCATTCCAATACATAGCGCAATCCTTCTCGTGGTTAATCATAATTCTACAATCTGAACTCACGTTCAATTCGGGTCATCTGTGCGGTCCAGACTGGGGTCAACACTCGGCCGGGATGACATCGGTGACGGCCACAAATACAACTGGAAGCGGGCCAGAGCGCTTTCGTCCAGTTAGACTCAGCCCGTCACAGCGTTGCCATTGTCTGGTACCCTGTTTACTTGTCAATCTGTGCTCAATCAAATTGCAGCGCTTTCACGCACCCTGAACTCCACGCCCCAAGACACACATAGCCAGCCACGGAGAATGCCGACTGAACCACCTGTCGCTGGGCGCGAAGAGTGTCATCCCTGTCACGACTTTGCATGCGAAAGAGACTGACCTCTCTAGCAATAAAAGGTTCCGTGGAGACATGTCCATTAATCATATACGACACCGGCCGCTACCGAACAGTATTTAGATGGCCACAGGGACCCGATGTCGAGCACACGCACGCACCCGACATATCCGCCCGGGCACTATGGCTCCCATAGTGAGTCCCAGCCGTTGGCCGCAGTCTGAAACTGACGCAGATGCAGACTGCAGCTGATCCAAACCACCGCGCGACCGTCATTATCGTAGCCACCGCCAGCGCGATAGTGGTCACCTTTCTGGGACTGTCGGCTCTCTTTTTCCAAATACGCCGCCGCCGCATGCAGCAGAGCCAGATCGCAGTGACGAAGTTTCGACTGCAGCGAAAGCAACAGATCGATGTGGCTCTGCAGAAGCTCAAAGAGGCGGGCCAGGAGCAGGAATGCGATGACAAGATCAATGAACTCGCGGAGTGCGATCTTGGGCAGCCGGGCACGTCGCTGCAGGGCCCCGCGACGCCTGCCCGATCTGCTTCTCGTCGCACTGGCTATCACGTCCCGCGTTTTGCGTTTGTCGTCAATCGCCAGTCCCCATCCGACGAAGACGAGGTGTGGCCCCCACCGAGATGTGAGAGCGTCTGCTTAGATCCCCTTGGCCGGTCTCTGCCGCAGGAGTACCTCGACATCGTCTCAAGCATCATAAAAGAAGTGGACACCAACAGCCTTCGGCTGGAGGTGGGGCCACCCGACATCCCAACCTCGTCTCGCACTTCGGAAGAGTCCGTCCACACTTTGGCGGGAATCCCCTCGCTCTATCGATTCGCATCTGCCCCCTGTCTTCAGCCACGCGGTCCCCGTTTGATGCCCGTGCGTAAATCCGCAGACAGTCTGTGGTCGCACCGCAGCCACTCGGAAAGGCCGTTTCGCCCTCCGACGCCCGGGCCTAGTGCGGCGACGGGTGTATTGGCCTTGGCGTTGGCATCCGCTGATGATGCGGGACAGCGATAGGGTTCCTTCCACCTGAAGTGTGCAGCTGTAATAGGACTTTCGTGAATCACTGCTACCGACTGAAATTTTCATGTACATAGTCGCTGGGCGACGAGAGTCCTGTCACTTACTCGGATCTCTCCTGTAATACTAAAAATACATAATACCATATCTTGCTATGAGCACGTCCGCTGAAATGCTGAGAGGCCGGATTGCTTCGTTAGTCACGTGGACTTCTTTCCGACGTCACGTGCATACCTTCCGCTCCGAACATGCCTGGGGAATATCCTCGTCTCTCAAGATGGCGATCTACAGAGGGCTCGACGCCAGAATCCATCGATTTTTTGTTGGAAATATCCACGCTCACACAAATCTGGATTCGACATGCGTTGATACGGGCCTCAAAGAAGCTCGAGGGATGATCTCCTCCCGATCGGCTTCCGCTCCTCTGGGATAGATGTCATCAAGACTTCCAAAGTCCGGGTCCCGTGGGCCAGTTTCATAAAGAATGTCACGCGAGTGTGAGCTGCTCGCTGCCAAACGGGTCCCTCCTCGGCTAATGGACCGTTTATATGCCAATTGCATTCTGTGGCTCGAGCACAGCTGGTACGACGTCCTCTGCACCACACTCCTCTTTGTCTGCCGCAGACCGCTCCCTCCATCTGGCAATCAACGAACAAAAGTTGAAACTGTCTCGTCGTACCGCATCTACATGCCCATCTTTCTGATCCTACAGGGAATCTTCACAGTCTCAGTGGCCCGTCCGTCCTATAAGTAGGCTGAGTCTCGGGAGTGGCTGCGATGCAGGGCTCTGTCGTACCTTCGATGTCCAGCAATGTCTCCAACCCCTCATCCACGGCCGTGTCTGATTCACCCACTTCCTCTGGATCGCCGGAATCCAGCTCGAGTAAAGCTCTCCTGTGCGCCTATCTCTCTCTCGCTCTGTGCACGATCCGGTCGCTTTATTAACTTTGGACCGGTAGTCTGGTCGGAATCGTGTTCTTCTTCTTCCTCGTAGTCGGTTTCATAGCTCTCTATCGGCGGTACTGCCCGGAGCCTCCGCGACAGCTCACACCATCGGAGAAAGCGGAGAAGGAGAAGCCCGTCCTGCACGACTTGCAGCTGGCAGCTGAACTGGAAGACGGGAGCGCAACAGGCCAAACATGGCATAGCATCCAGGTATATGATGATGATAATCGTTATCCTCTCCATCCTCCCGGCTGACGGTCGATTGCCAGCCTCTCGCTGTGCAGGTGACACCGAGTACCGTCATCCGGTCACCCGGGTCTCCCAGCTTCAAAGCACTATCGTCGTCCATGTCTCTCGCGGCCTGGACGTCACCACCAAAACGGCACCCCATCAGCAGTTCCTCGAGCGACGCATCTCTGTACGCCTCAAAGCTTCTGCAGGACATGCACATCACATCGGCATCAGCACCGGACGCGTTAGGACGCGGATTGCGTGTAGCGGTCATTATCGCGATGCCCCTCGCGCCAGAGGAGACTGGCATGGACTTGAACGTCGGGATGGTATCTGCTGTACCATAGTCCCAGCCCTCGTTTACGGTAGAGTGTAGCATTGCACAGCGGCATTGAATCTTTTTATGCACGCGGATCTTCATCCCACGGCTTTTCGATCAATCTATCCGAGTCCGCGAGGTGGTACGCATCTACAAAAGTTGTCCTGCCGTAGATCAGTGGATAGCAGCAAGAAATCACTTGTCCTATCGAGTCTGAAAATAATTGCCAGTCCTCTATGTAAAGTTTTGGTTCCTTTCGACGCTTATTCGCACCGTCTTGATTGATCGTTAGCCATGCACGACCAACTCAGACCTTCTTTCGGGAACGTGACGCCTGCAGAGCGCTGGAATGAGCTCAAGGTGTCTCTAACGATTGGGGTCGTCTCTTGTGCTTCCAGACTACAACTACAGATCACTGAGCTAGGCTTCGAGCATATTCGACCAGCCCCCTACGATCACGCATGGATCAGAGAGAACATAGGACATATGAAGACAAGAGACGAACCGCACAGAACTGCCTGTCATACCACGACCTAAATACGCCGTGGGACGTGTCGCCTGTGCACGTCGCCTGAGAAAACCAAATACGGTGCAGACTAGCGACTTACTTCCATGGTTCCCGCAATGTCGATGTGAGCCCACTCGATCGGTGCTTTCCCATCCTCTGGCTCAAGCCCATTTACGAAAGCCTTGAGGAAGAGCGCAGCAGTACAGCTGCCGGCTGGCCGACCACCGGTCTGGGAGCGGTATTGGTCAGTTCTGAAAGCCACCGTCTCCAATCAGCGATAAAACACACGTTCTGGAGATCCGCGTTCGAAGAGTAGATCTGGGGTCCGTAGTCTTCGTCGATCGGCATCCTCCAGAAGCGGTCGTATTCGGATTCTCCCGCAGCGTGGAGCTTTTCCCACAACGCATCAGACGACGAGAAGACTCCGCTGAACACTTCTCCCAACGCAATGTCCATCGCGCTGATTCGCAGTCAGATACTGCTGCGGATACTGGCCACAGAAACACGCACCCAGTGAGTGTCGCGACGTCGATCAGGGTGTGTGCATTGAATTCGGTGGACCCGTAGTACATGGCATCTGCTGATGTGAGCGGTTTCACTCCCGTGACAAAGGCACATACCAGCCAACACCAGTCTTCCCTCGGCATCTGTGTTGTCCACTTCGACACTCTTGCCGTTCATGGCATAGATGCTGCACGCACGCCGTCAGGTTTGTGAAGACAGAAGACAGATGATGCACTGACATGTCGCCGGGTTTTGTCGCAGTACCACTCGGCATGTTCTCCGAAAGAGGTGTAAGCACCACCACATTGATGCTGTAAATGTATTAGTCTGGAGCGGTATGTCGATGAAGAAACGCACGGAAGCTTGAGTTGTGCGATAGCCTTGAGGGCGGCAACAACAGCCGCAGCACCACCTGTTGCAAGGCGTCAGTAAGCCATATTCTTACTGTTCAAGAGCGGCGCGCAAACCCATGTCTCCACGCATCAGTTTCATGGCCTGCGTGGTGATTAGGCAAGTCAAGCGATTCTCGGGAAGGAACGCACCGCAGAGGGCTTGATACTGATTCCACCAGTGTCGAACGTGATACCCTTGCCAACGAGCACGACGGGTTGTGCATCGGGAGAAGCAGCACCTTTGTAATGTCTGCACGGTCTCAGTATTCGCATCATGTTGGATAAACAGCGAGGCTGACATCTCGACCAATTTCGCGGGTTCGGCGCTGCCTCGGCTGACAGAGAGGAAGGTCCTCTAAAAGAAGGGGATTAGAAAAATGTGGAGGAAGAAGGAATCGCCCGAACCATGCCCTTGGCCTCAGCCCAAGCTGTAAGCAATGAGTAAGCGCGAGCAACAGTCGCATAGAGACGGACAGACCTTCGTCGCGGACGATGACTTCGACGTTTTCGAGTCCGGAAAACTCCTTCACCATGCGCTCGGCAAAAATCGTCGGTGTCATCATATTGCCAGGCAGTTCCATGAGCTTTTGACAGTTCAGCAGTGTGCGCGCGTGAGCATAGCGACTCACTGTACGCGCGAAGTTTTGCGCCTCGGCATACACGACACCGCGCTCCCAGTCCGGAGACCCCTGCGCGGGTTTGACCGCGATCTTTTCTGCGACGGGCTCGACGAGGTTCGGGTTGAAGCGCGACGGTGGCTCCGTTTTGAGGGAGAAACTATACAACGCCAGATGCGCAGCGACGGCTGTCGTACCGATGAGCGAGAGTCGCACTCGATGGCCGAGCTGCATACGCACCAGCGGCATGCGGATCCGCCTCCGCGTCCACGACAAGCTCCGTCACTTCGTCCGCGACGCGTTTGACCTCATTGACAGCCCCGCCGACCGACCTGCGCACGGCCTCTCGTTTCGCCACCGTGCCCTTCTTTGTGTAGTCCGGTCCGAGGGAAGACAGCGCAGTCACCCCGGTGTTGTTGAAGAACACGCGCGTGGCCCCGACTTTGGGAGCTTTCGCTTTCGAGGCGGGCCATAGATCCGCGGCAGACGTGGAGGAAGGCGATTTCGGGTCGAAGAGATGAATGGACGCGGAAGTAGACGACATTCTGTGGTGGGAGCTAACGCGGAGGCGTGATCTCACACCCAGTCGGAGCATGCGCTGTGCTAAATTCGGATGAGTTCCGCGTGATAACTGCAGCAACTCATGAAAAAATGGGAATGGAAGAGACCAGAAACTGACTTTCCGGAATGCCGATACAACTTTGAGGGGGGGGGATTCTCGCGTGAGACGGAGAAGGAGAATGTACGAGGTGCGGGACGCAAAGAGTTGGAACTAAACAGGCCCGAGTGGGCCGGGCGGTGAGGTCGGTAACTAGAGTATGAGCCGGGGCACTACAGTATGGCACAGCAGAGCAATCTACCAAATTCATGAACCGTACTTGTGAGACGCTCTTCCATCTTAGATGGTCCAATGGTTAAGATTCCCGCCTGTCAGTACTTCTGATTATCGCGGGCGACCGGGGTTCGATTCCCCGTCTGAGAGCGTTTTGCTCTACCGGCGTAGCTCTCCATACAATTCAAATGCGTCAGTCATTTTCTTGTCGATCATTCACTTTCCCCGGTCCACCTGCGAAGAAGTTGCAGTAATTTTTGCCAATCTGGTCGTTTCGTCTCATCCGGAGCACATGTACGCTCGTTGGATCTGCATGTTTTCTGTTTTCAAGCCTTCATCAGTACATCATATGTACATCGTCATTCATCAATTCGAATGACCGCGACGCATCATGTGACCGTTTCCCGGGCTGAGCTCTTTCTCTTTCACCAAGTAGGCATGTACGGCCAAAAAGCCAAGCGAAGGACGCATGTACGACCAGAGCTCACGGAAGAGCAGAAGCAAGAAATCAAAGAAGCGTTCGAGCTATTCGACACGGACAAAGACAAGGCGATCGACTACCACGAGCTCAAGGTCGCGATGCGCGCCTTGGGCTTCGACATGAAGAAGGCGGAGGTTCTCAAGCTTCTGCGAGACCACGATAAATCCGGGCAGGGACTCATGGAGTTCGAGGACTTTGCGAAGATTAGTGCGTGGCTTGCGCGTGGCGGGATTTTGCCGCGTTCTGACCACCTCTCAGTGAGCGAGCGAATCCTGGCCCGAGACCCCATGGATGAGATTCGACGGGCGTTCCAACTATTTGATGAAGAGGGTACTGGGAAGATTACGCTGAAGAATTTGCGGCGAGTGGCGAAGGAGGTGGGGGATCGTCTGGAGGACGAGGAGCTGTGCGGGCTGCGTGTCATTTCTCTGGAGCTTGAGCTGACTGCTTTCTTTCAGGCAAGCTATGATCGAGGAGTTTGACCTCGACCAGGACGGAGAGATCAATGAGCAGGAGTTCATCGCCATAATGACGGATGATTCATGAAGATTTACGACTGGCGCATCTGTACAATATATTCCCTGCATTTACATTTTTACAGTTAAAATCACACATTCAACATGCTTTGACTTAAACCAGCACCCAAGCCGTGTCTTTCCCCTCCCCACCGATGCGGCGAACAACCCCTTCCCCTTCCAACTTGCGCAAATGCAAGTCAACCCCGTGAGCAGCAGGAAGCCACAAAGATTCAGGGTACGCCGCGTAAATATGTGTCACGATTGTCCAAGTCGTCCACGGGCCTCCGCTTAAGGGCGCGGTCTTGATCACACCGAGGATCTGCGCCTCCCGCTCGAGCCGATGCTTGATGTAAGTTTCGATGACCTTGCGACCATCGGAGATGACGGGTCCGTGCCCCGGATAGAGTGTGGAGATGTTGTGCGTGTTGACGAAATCGAGCATCTTGCGTAGACTGGCGATGTACGTGGCGAGGTCCTCGAATACGGCGGTGCCCTGCCCGAGAACGGTGTCGGCGGTGTACAAGGCTTCGTCTTGGGGGAAATAGATGCAGATGGAGTCGACGGTGTGTCCCGGAGTGTGCAGCACCTGCAGGCCAGATACTGTCGATCCATCTGTCAGCGGGTGGAAATGCTCCCCATCAGCTGCGGGGAGAAACGCTCCCGTCGGTAAGGATGCGAATATCGAAGGAATGTGATCATTCGTATGGCCCGACCCAGGGAACTTGTGTAACCGCGGTGGCTTGAATGGAGCAGAGACATTGCGCTCGTCCCAAAGCCGGCGCAGAAGTGCTAGCACCGACGGGATTCCTCCGACATGGTCTCCGTGCCAGTGGCTGATGATGATATCGGAGATGTCGGGTTCTGTCGAGCCAGCGGGACTTTCAGCATCGCGAAGAGCGGATTCGAGGATGGGAATGTATTCATCTCGACCTTCACCCGTGTCAACGAGCGTGAAAGGCCTCTGCTTCCCAAATACGTAGGTATTCGTTCCTGTGAGCCATTTCAGAGATAAGTTCTGTGCTTGTGGGTGAAATTCGACCTTGAAGCGTAAACTTGCCGGGATTCTGTGCACGCAGGATGAGAACTTGCTCGTGGGATGCAGAGGGTATTCACCTGGCCCAAGACCCGGATGACACTCTCGCTCAGCTGTATCTGACTCAGCACGTTGTCTGTTTACCTCTGAGTTGTTCACACACGCGCGTAATGGATGCCAGAGTTTCGAGTTTCTCCATGGGTGGTGGTTGTGAGATAAGTCACTAGATACGATCGTGATCGGCTCCGGCCCGGACATCGCTTCCTCTCTTTGTGCCATGTCGAGTCGACGGGTCACATACTATTACGATCGTACAGAGTCCCACCTGCACGATTGGCTCCGCTGAACCTGTTACTGCAGCCGATGTCGGGGCGTATTCCTTCGGATACAACCAATACATGAAACCCCATCGCGTCAAAATAACGCACGACCTCGTTTCGGCGTATGGGATGCTGGATAAACTGAACGTACTGGTACGCTGACCGGCTGTATCCCTCTGCCCTTCTCAAAAGGCATCTCAGAAACCGAATCGCGCAGGGCCAGGCGCGTGATTCCGTCTACGACAATTGGAAAACAGCTGAACCAGAGACCCAGAGGCCATGACGCGTTTTCACACCGACGAGTACATCCAGTTTCTCAACAAAGTGACACCGGAGACATATACGAAGCTGAGTTACAATGGCTCACGCTGTGCGCCTCCTCCGTTTCTATCCGGGTCGCCTACTAATCGCCACCAGTCCTGGTCGGCGACGACAATCCACCGTTCGAGGGTCTCTTTGAATTCAGTTCCATCTCTGCAGGCGGGTCAATCGGTACGCTTTTTCCTGCTCCATTATCCATCCGCAGACATATGTCTCCATCAGCTGCCGCGGAACGACTGAACGACGGAGCGGCGGACATCGCGATTAATTGGGCTGGGGGCCTGCACCACGCGAAGAAGAACGAGGCATCCGGCTTCTGCTACGTCAACGACATTGTTCTCTGCATTCTCGAGCTCCTTCGGAGTCTCCCCCGCGTGCTGTACATCGACATCGACTGCCACCACGGTGACGGCGTCGAGGAGGCGTTCTACACCACGGACCGGGTGATGACATGCAGCTTCCACAAGTTCGGTGCCTTCTTCCCCGGGAGCGGTACCCAGGAGGATCAAGGTCGCGGCTATGGCAAAGGCTATGCGGTGAACGTTCCGCTGAAGGATGGGATAACGGACGAAGCGTACAAGAGCGTGTTTCAGCCGGTGCGTTCTGCTTCATGCGCTTGACTCCCGCCTCGAGCAGATCCCCCAGGTTATCGCTAAGATCATGGAGGTGTTCCGCCCTTCCGCGGTGGTCCTCCAGTGCGGGGCAGATTCCCTCGCTGGGGACAAGCTCGGCTGCTTCAATCTGACGATGCACGGACACGCGGCCTGTGTGCAGTTCCTACGGCAGCAGAACGTCCCGCTCGTCCTGCTGGGCGGTGGCGGATACACCGTGAAGAATGTTGCGCGGGCCTGGACGTACGAAACCGCCTGTGCGATTGGGATGGAGGCGGAAGTCGACCCACTCCTGCCGTACACGGAATACTTTGACTGGTTCGGGCCGCGGTTCAGGCTGGAGGTGCCGGCGAGCAACATGGACGACGTGAATGTGCTGGACGGCTCGCTTAATGTGGTCAGGTAAGTTTTCGTGCCGCTTTTGTCTCAGTGCATCGGCGAAACGTTGTCCACAGGGAGAAAGCTCTGCGACAGCTGGCCCAGCTACCCCATGCACCGTCTGTCGGCCTCCAAGATGTCCCCTCTGAATCGGTCGCAGAGCATCTGAGACGGGGGATGGACTACGATGAGCTAGATATGGAATTAGCGCGTGCGTGTGATCTCCTATGCACTCGAGCTCACCACAATCTCACAGCCGTGCAGAACACATCCGGTATATCAGCCACATGCAGGACGAGGATTCTGAGACCGAATCCGAGGACTCGGAGAACGAGTCGCTCCCGCCTCGGAAACGACCGCTCATGAGCATCATGACGAACGAATACTACATGCCGCCCTCGGCTCCGGACCCGACGCGCAAGTTCTTCACGGGACTGAATCCGTTTCGCGCGGACCGGGAGAACGTGCTGGTCCATGCTAGAGACGATGCGAGGCTACGGATGCTGTGATCTATCTGCTACCTGTTTTCTTATCTTGTACTCCTTTGTAGTCGATAGACGTGATGTATGATGCACTTGCGCTTGAAAAACTTGGATTGTTGCAGTTCGATTTGGGGTTCTGGTCTTGGGCATGGAACTGCGTAAGAAGCGTAGGAGCTTGATAGAAATGTCCAGCTAGAAGGAACAGATGGAAAGATGCCGCAAAGGCTAAAAAGAAGAGAGCTCTCAGACGGGGAATCGAACCCCGGTCGCCCGCGATGATCAGAATCTAACTGACAGGCGGGAATCTTAACCATTGGACCATCTAAGATGCGATCAGAAACAGCGTTCAAATAATTAGACTTCACTGGTTGCGGATGCTCTTTGTAACTAGCCACCTCCACTACTCCTCAGTGTTGATCTAGTATCAACATGGGGGAAAAGAAGATCGTCAATATTTTGACTAAGCTCTCTAGTCAGCAATGGAGATAAACGAATGAATTTGACGACGCGACTGGGCAGGAAAGTCGCGAGGTACGAAGCGTCAGCAGCAGCTTCCGGAACCAGGCGGGCCAGTCTCATGAGTGGAACCTCGACCGCGTTCATTCTCGTTGTACGGCCCCGTTCGTTCATCGTCATGACTCGTGCGCTCCAAATTCGCGCGACCTGGTCAGATTCTCAAGCTCGGACACCGAATCAGGGCATACTGATACATTGAGTTCCTCGTGTGGAAGCTGATGCCCGTCGTGCAAGGTTGGCTGGCCGAAGCGGAGAAGTGCGGCAGCAGCAGCAGCAGCCCCATGCTTGCACCCCATGCTACGACGCTCGCCGTGAAGCCCTGCCATCCGATCCCGTGTTGCTGGCAAGGCTGCGGGAGCTGTATTTGGTAATATGGGAGAGGTGTTGGAGGTGCAAGCGAGATGAAGCGGCTGGCTGTCGGTCCGTTGCTTGACTTAGCGAGCCCTGCGCCAGTTCGCTAATTTGCATCGCGTCGAGAGCGGAAGTCGGCCGAGGGAGCGGCGATTAGATGAGCTGCGCCGTCGTATCTCGGCCTTCGCTGACAGTGACACTTTCCCACACCCCGGCGGCTTAGTCTTTATCAGAGTTCCCCGCCGAGGCTTCTGCCTGATCGTCGGTGCTGTCGGCAGCGCTTTGCCGAATGGCGTGCATGGGAATGACAATCGCTCTGAGAACATGTCCAAGTATGGGTGATGAGTTCTCTCCGTTGGTGGTTTCTCCCAAGCTGATTGTTGCGACGTAGACGGGCTGACAGAAGTCAGAAGGAGATAAGAGTACTATGAAAGTTTGGAGCAGCGAAAGTGAGGCTGGTGAGTTGAGTGTAAACAGGATGCCTAGTCTCCGTCTCTCAAGGCTTTGCGCATGAAGATAAAGCAGACCAGGTTCGTAAAGTTCATTGAGTGCGTCCACCGGTGTTCAGAATTGACTTGCCGGAACGGTCATCTGAATGTGCACCGATCGGCTTTGCATTGCAGGTGTGCTGGGATTGACCTGAACAATGTCAACATATAATCTGTAGTGCCATCCGATGGTCAATACGACGTACTGGCCTTCAGGGACGTGAGGACATGGTCGAGTCTGTGTACGTACTGGGTTCATTCGTGGACTTACTCAGCTACATGACATATTCAACCGAATGAATTGGACTGCCGGCTCCACGGGAGAGTCAATAACTGTTCACGGGTTCAATCGTGTCTCTGCGCCGAACGTCGGATGAAAACAGCTTAGCGTTGTCAGCAAACAATGCGTTGATACAGGGGCTACTACTATTGGAGCGGTCAGTGGAGAGAGCCGTGGAGGCTAAAGGGATGCGGAGAATGCGATCGACGTCGGGTCCCACGGGGAATTTGGATTTGAGATAGGGTCAGTGGTGCATCAGAATCCTCCGGACGAACGTTCGATCCCAGACACTGGGCGATATTTCTATCACGCCTTCGAGCGGTCAACAGTCTAGCCACATTACATTCTCTACGCGGAGGGCCCCCAAATGTAGACTCGGAATGAAATTTGAGGTCGTTTGCCCCTACTTTAAGACTGGTGCTCCATCACGCAGACCAACGAACAACAAAGGCGTGGGGTCTATTTGGACTTACTGGTATAGCCCACATGAAGCGTAGTGATTACATGAGCGCGCACATGCACCACCCCATATGATGGTCGCACGATGTCCGAGGACGGCATTTGAAGGCGTCCGGGAATTGCCTCGCTCACTTCCGGATCGACACGCACAGGTCTGGGCCATATGACAGATGGCAGGGATGGCGATGCAAAAGTCTTGGAAATGGGAAGGAGGGGTGTCCAGGAGGGTTCCCGAAGGCGAGAAGGCAAGAAGGTTAGCTAACCTTGATAACAAGGGAAACCCTAGAGGGATGCTAGAACGGCGCCAGGAGCCTGGAGCCAGAGAATACAGAAGAAAGGGTCTGATGCGGTAGTCGTGTGGGTACTCCGGCAAGGCACGACGACGGGACTAGAGGGCGGATTCGGGATACCCTGTGGGGACAGCGACTCGGCTCAATCGAGGGTGCGCTTCAATCTTCGAAACAGAACGCGGGCCGTTTTCTTCCATTTTCAAAAGTGGGGGATGTGAGACAGTCGGGGCACTGCATTCATCGGGATTGTTCGGACTTGGCGGGTCATGGTCGACTGGGAGAGTACGGATCGAGTGAGCAGACCGCGAACAGTGGGCACTGGACGTTGGCCGACGACGACGACGACGGACTGGGAAAGAATATCTGCTTGATAAGGGAGAGCAAAAAATGAAATGACTTCTCTGGTGTGTCGGACCGAATGGGGTACCCAATCTTAGATTAGGATCGAGGAAAAAATACACGGTGAGCAAATCACTTTTATTCAAAGGCTCGGCTTATCTTACCTCCCTCCCCCCACCTCCAGAGAGATCCTCGTCCCTCCCGCCGGTGTGGGCCAGCATAGCGAGTGCAAGGCAAGGTTTCACCAAAAAGGAGTGATGCGCTATTGACGTCACTGTCTTGCATTCCAGCATTTTCCAGGGACTTTGGTTCACTTTGGTCTCCCGTCGGCTTTCATCCCCTTGCCAGCCAGCTCCCTGCACATCTCTCCCGTCCCAGCGGCGCGCGTGCCATCCTCCCCACCGTCATCTTTCACGAGTGGTCTTTGTGTATCTACCTTAGGATGCCCTACAGCAACCCCTCGCATGCCCCCGTCCAAGCGCTCTCGGCTCCCACTTCCGCAGCGGGGGCTGGAAGACCGAATCACCGCCGTGCATGGACGCACCACTCGTACACCTTCGCGGCAGACACGGGCTCGTCCGGCGCCTTCGCCAGTCTGGGCTCTCTCCCGCGTCGCCAACCTGTGGCCCGGCCGCGCTTCCATCTTCATCAGGAAGACGAAAGTGACAACACGTCGAGTGATACCGACGAGGGTTCACGGCATGCGGCTGCTGGCGTGGAGGAGGATGATGAGGATGGATCACCGCCTCCGCTCAAGTTACGTGTAGGCGGCGCATTCAAGCTTACGCCACCTACTCCTCCTGGACTGGTGCACCGGCATACGCACCACGGGCATGTTCCAACGCATGGGCCTCAGAAACGCTCCCCTCTCGGCTCACCGCGAGTGTCGCCAACGCCTTCTTCCGCGCAGCTTCAATCACAACAGCAAGCCCCGCCTCGGACCGAAAAGGAGAAGCTTGCCGTGGACGTGACAGCTGTTCCGTTTCCCCGCTCCTCACCTCTGTCGTCCCCCTTCCCAGGAGTGGAATCGCCCACCATTGCTGGTAGGTCCACTTTCTTGATCTTGTTCGCCACATCCCTTTCTTTGATCTTGCGATCCACCCGTCATCCACAGTCCCTCGTGCCCTCGATCGACGTTTTACTGATTCCAGTTTCAGAAGCCCCGGCAAGGCCGTCCCTTCCGCCACGCACCTCGTCTCACCCTATCATTTTGTCGAACGGCAAGCCGCTGAAATCATCCCTGAAAGGGTCTAGGTCCAGCTCCACGCCCAACATCCCGGCAGTCCACCTCCGTTCACGATCGGCGCCAGCGACTCCATCCCTATCATCATCGTCTCTCTCTGAGCCGGGAACCCCGGATGAAGATGCATGGGAGACCGCCAGCCAGGACTCGAGCACGCCCAAGGTGGTGCATTTCCCGGATGCCGGGCTCGAGACGGTTCTCTTGTTCAAGCGGAGCGCGAGACCGGCGAGCGTCAGCTTGCCGATTGAGGACGAGACTGAGACCGAGACGGATACTGATCGCGACCTTCCGCGCTGGGCTGATGGAATCGTCGTCAATGGCCCTCCCACTCGCAAGACTTCCGCCAAGAGCCCGCTGGGTCCTGGACAGGATGCAGAGGGCTTGGCTTGGCGATATGTCATTCATGCGCCGGATGTGGGCACTCGCAAGATGGCGGAAGACATGGTTCGTCTGGAGAAACTGGATCTGGTCGTACCTGGCGAGGTGAGTGGCGTTGACCTTTCTTGTCCGGATATGGGATCTTGCTTGCCTTTTTGGTGTCTGGCGTTCTGTTCGGGTCCGCCACGTACATTCCGCCTGTCATTCTGCCTCTGGCTGTGTCGCTCTGTTTGTTCCTTACTCACACTCTCTCATCCAGGATGGTTCCATCTCGCTCTCTGGCACTTTGGTCGCCCGCAACGCGATGTTTGAAAAGCATCTGTTTGTGCGGTTCACACTCGACGCGTGGGCGACTACCTCGGAAGTCCGCGCGTCGTGGATGGAGGCTCTCCCCCACGTAGCTGATGAGCCTGGGCCGAACTGGGACCGCTTCTCGTTCAGCATCCGGCTCACGGATTACGCTTCGGCGACGCCGCGAGGTGTGTTCCCGCCCTTGCCCCCGCCTGGAACAACGCGGGTCTTGAGCGGGGAAAAGATGAGCGCTCTCGGCGAAGGCCGAGTCGGTCGCGGGCTGGCGGGACGGAGCATAGTGCTCGTTGTCAGGTACTGGACACCCTGGGTCGACGCAGCTGGTGTCGCGCCTTACCAATGGGTGAAAAGTGAGTGGTCGGCGCGCATACAGTCAGTTGGAGTGCTTACCCGTGTATGCAGACTCCCTGGCGTACCCTGAATCCGAGGCGATCAAGTCTGCGGTAGAACCGAGCAGCCATTCGGTGCC